TATTTTCTGGTTACCCATCAAAATTTACATCATTTAAGTAGAGTTTTGTAAAAAAATTTGCTTCCATAGCGGAACAGAAGGCGTTCGAAGTTTCAACTTTGACTTCGATTTTCTCCAAAACCGCGCATCAGATCCATTATTTATTAGTACTGATGGACTCAGTTTCCCTATCCCTACAAAGTCACTAAGTCTCAAATCACAACTGAAATGTTCGTGTCTTTGGCATCACTCTTTGCATTTCATTTGCAAGTTTAACCAGAAAATTGCTTTATTCACCAAGATATGGGTTTATATGAGTTTGTTTTGCTAAATAAGTTGTTACTCGTACGATTACAGCCCAAACATCATTGTTCAAATGCGCTAATGGAAAGTAATTGAATTGTATTGCATTATTAATTAGTAAAGAGATAAATTGGGGCAAGAATGATGATTGTATGTGATGCCAGTCTCGAAATGTCGAAGCTCAAAGTTGTGGATCTAATGGTCAATATCAAGAGAACTGTTGGTCTATTTAAAAAATTATTCAATCCATGATGTGAGGCAACAAGTTTTTAGGGACTAACAATAAGTTTCAGCTCACTAATTCTTACGGTCTTAGAAAAAGGCCGGTTTAACTAAAAAAGGAACTGATCTGTTTTACAGAAAAAGAAAAGTTTCATTTCTCAAAATGAATGTGTTTCCTGGTCGATCATTAGAAGATGCATCAGTGCTATGAGTTTTATGAAAAAATTTGCTTTCATAATTGTACAAAAAGCTTTCCAAGTTACAACTTCGAAACTCATTTTCTCGAGAACTGTTGATCAGAGAAATCTTTGAATCGCACAACTAAACTTATTTTTCATGTCCCTACAAACTAAAAGAGTCTAAATTTGAATGAAATTAATTTTTACCCGTTTACCACATTTGTGTCAATTTTCGTCAATTTGTGTATAAATCCGACAATTGTGTTAATTTTAACTTGCAGTAACAAGCTGTTTGGCCAAACATTGAATTTTTCAACTTGAAATCTTGGGAAAGAACGAAATTTAATTTATGTAAAATGGAATGATAAACTTACTCGTAATCTACTTGAGGTGTGTTTCGGTTACACATGATTTCATGTGACTTTGATTGTGAATAAAACATGATGCAAGTGATTTTCTTGTATTAAATAATATTATTTACAATGAAAAGTGTTACAAAAATCAAGGTTGAACTCGGTGAAATGGATTGAAAAGAAAAGCTTGTGAGTTGAATATAATCATTAGAATAGACAATTTGACTGTCGGCGTAAATTTTTGCTCCATAAACTTGTTCAGTTACCTGATAATTTAATCCAGTGGAACCTTTAAATGTTAAAGGTAGACTCCATGAACAGATGAATGGAGGATTGACTCGTTGCGACAAAAGTTGATCCGCCATTGAATACAAAACTCTATCAATTTTAGCATAAGCCATTAGTAAATTAGATTGAGGAAAACAGTCAAAAATTAATTCACCATTAGGTGAGACCAAATTCAGAGTAAAAACAATTGGTTTCAACCTGATAGACTGAATTTGAAGTGTAGTTGAATGGCGAGTGGGAACAACAACAAGTTGATACTGATCATTGCCATAAACCCGATGGCAACATTTCAAAAATTTCATCCTAGAAATGGTTAGTTGATCTGTAAGAGGTGAGACGATCAAGCTTATGTCATTCCGTTCAAGCACAATTGAAAACTTGTCATCACTTATCAAGTCAATTGGTTGGCCCTTAAAATGAGGCCAAACCTGATCTTTAATAGACATTGTCCAAGAGCAGAGTAAGTTTCCATCAAGATACACAGATGAACCATTCCGAAAAGCCTTACCTTCAATAGTAACGGAAGCATCAGTATCACCAAGGATTGAGATCATTTTACAAGAATAAACATTTTCAATTCCATCGGCAGTCAGTAAAAGTGAAACGCTTTCCATGTTCACTTTGTAACCAACAAGGTCTATTGTCAAGTAATTTTCACCATTGACCTGGCTAGGCTTGAATGAAACTCGGGCTGCACATTGTTCCTCTGAGGGACACTCGTTTGTCCCATCAGTGGATAGGTAATAAGTTGTGGTTAAACAATTGTCATTACAGTTGGTTGAGGATTGACTGGTTGGAATTGAAATTATTACAATGAAAAGGTAAATTTGCTTCAACTTGTCCATTTAACTCGTTGAAGAGCAATTTGATTACAGAGCAACGTTTCAATGTAGAAATGATTTAATTTCGTGATTATTTTACCAACTATTGTCATGAGATTGATTCATTCAAACATGAGTTGACGCACATTGAGATAGTATCTGAAGCTTTATTCAATTGTTCAAAAAGAAGCGTTATGAGCAAGTTGTAAAAATGCAAAAGATTTCATTTCAAAAAGGATTTCATGGAAAAGGTTTATTAATAATATTAAAATGATAGAGTTACATTGAATTCAAATTGATAACAGTTTAATTATTATTAGAATGATAAGGTTCATCGATACACTCGATAGGGATGGAGATGAACTTCTCAGTGAGATGTTTTCCTCTGAATAGACTAGATGATCATCTGAGTTAATCTGTAGATTAAAAGTTCCTTTGGAAATGTCAAGGCTTGAATGGGTTGAGGAAGCATTTAAATATGAGTGAATTGACCAGGAACACCGACTGTTGTAAATGTAAGTATCGAAAAGTTGGTCATTAATTGTTGTTGATTTGGTTCCATTTTGAATGTAACCCTGAATCAATGGAATTTTAAAGTAACACTTGAATGCCAACACTGTTTTATCCACATTTGTCAATGCAATGGTCATTATGGAGGGTTTAACATCCATTACTTGAGCATAAAAGTCAGTCTGGTCTGTTTGGTTGATGATCAAAAGGTAATTGTCTGTTCCATAAACGTGATTACAGCATTTCAGGAATTTCATCCGATAAATGGGCAGTTCGCTCGTGTCTTGGGCAACAGTCCCATTGAGTGTATCATAGTCGAGTTGCAATGCAAATGACTTGTCACTTATCAGGTCAACTGGGTTGTTGTAATAGGCTGGCCAGATGGGATCTGATCGCGAGAATATCCAACTGCAAGTGAGCAAATCTTGCTGATAATATGATGAACCCGAGCCATACTCGGTTGACCCTTGAAATACTGAAGCTTTGGTTGCACCGAGTGGAGACTTGTAACAAGTGAAAATGGTTTTGGCCGAGTTTTTACGGAAACTCAACCGCACTGTGTGATCCTTGGTCGCTTCAATGTTGTACCCAGTTAGGGTTAAATGCAGCATTTCAGTTGAACTGGACTTCTTAAGAACCCCAAATTGAGCTGTTACCAGATTATTTTTAGAGCATTGAGTTGACCCATCGTTTGAGAGGCAATAGGTTTTGGTTAAACATTCATCGGTACATTTATTTTTGTCAGCCTCAACGAGATAAAATGGACTAATTATCACAAGATTTACAATTAATGGCAAAATTATTTTCATAGTTTAACGAGGAAGGTTGCTTCCTATGATAACTTTTTCGATGTATGCGGATGCTGAACTGTTGGAATTGGGAGGCAAGAATGAAATGAAAATAATTTCATTTTTACCTTATCTAGTCATATCAACTGATATCTTGTCACGATTGAGTTAAGCCGTTGAAAGAGTTGTAACTTTTGTGCTTTTTGTTTTGTTTTAAATCATTGTTCAAGCAATCGAAATGAAAAATGAAAAAGCACAATTTATCACAATGAAAAATGAATTTATCAATTAAATAATTTAATCATTTATACTTGATTGTTGAAATGGATATGGATGAAATAAACTCAAGTCGAGTATATTGAAATTAAATACATTTTTAGGTGACACAATTAGAATGATTTTAATTTATATTTAAATTGACACTACACATAATCATTATAGCCAGAGATCGGTTCCAAAATTGGAAAGTGGTGGTCAATTGAAGCACAAAACCAAAGATATGGTATTTGAATGCTTCGAATACATGCTTTGAAAAGGTTTTAGACAAAACTTTTGTATTCATCTGGCACTTGAACCGCGAAATGTGGATACTCGATTCCTGAGACGATAACTAGTCTAATTTTGAAGTTGTTTGCGTATAAATTTTAACTAATTTGCTTGAATAGTCTTGTATAATTATTGAAAGTAGAGTAGAGTCTCATCCGATTCCTAAAGCTACTTTTACATAATTCATATTTGAACATGTTCTTGAAGAGTTGGGTTGAAACTGATTCAGTATAAGCTAGCACAGTCTTATGGTATTTTTATTTCACAAAGAACGAGTTTGATTTTTTAAAGTAAAATTCACTTTTGTAACTTTTTGGTGAATGATTTTCACTACCTAAAACAAAAAATCTTGTATTGATCCAGTTGTCGAAGTGGACCTAGAAAAGATGGTTCAAGATAGTGTTTCTCGATAACGAAAATCAGTCCTGAAGATATCAAGTATTTAATGAGTTCTGTTAAAGCATCGGTCTGTGTAGTGAGTAACTTTAAGAGTCTCTAGAAACAACTGGCAGCTCAACTTTTCTCGATTCCGCGATCCTTTGCCTGAAAATTTCACAAAATCGTGCGTTTTTTGGTATCGGGTAATATCAATATTGGATTATCAAAGTATCCATACTTTTACTAGGGTTTGGAAGGCAGTTTCTTTTCTTCTGCAGACTCTTCAATTCTCTTAGCTAACCAAGTAACATTCAAGCGTCTAGCCATCTCTTGAGGAGTATCACCATGCACATTTTGTATAAAAACATTGGCTCCGGCATTAAGCAGATTGGAGACCATCAACCGAACAGGATCTTGTCTACAGAAGGAGAAAATAATTAGATCATGAGGATAAAATCATGTTATATGACGGAAAATACTCACTTAGCAGTTCGAAAGGCTGCCAACAGCTCGTCCAGTGAATAACCAGTTCTGTGAATATTTGTAGCTTTGTAAATGATAAATCTCAAGAATATTTAATCGGATATCGTTCAAAGTCGGATACTTATCATTATACTTGACTAAATTTACTTGTTGATTATTTATAATTTATTTTACGATCTATTGTAACATGAAAATTGTATACACTGAGAATGCACTTGAAGTAATTGAAAGCAAATTGATAACAAGTAAGTTGATTTTGTATTGCATGCAAGTGGTAAAAATAATTGAAATAATGAAAAATATTTGGATGAATCTAACTATGAGTCTAAATTATTCATCAATATTTAGACTTCTTTAAAATATAATTGTAAAAAGTATATTTTTGGTATATTAACAATCAAATTGATAAAAAATAACATTTTCAAAAAATCTACTTTGCATAAAGGGATTCAATTGATTGTTTATAAAATTTTTGAATTTCAAGTCTTCGTATTTTAAGGGCAGCTGTCGCCAAACCATTATCAGGAGTCCATTCCTCTGAACATAATTTGATTTTATTTGGTATTTCAAATCGCAATAGATTTGCACTTTCACCAAACTCTCTTAACGTTTCCAGAACAGAGTTAACAATTTGCTGATCATTACAGAGCTCATTGAATGGCACATCTTGTTTACCCAAACTTTCAGCCAATCTTTTCAGACTATTACGTTCAGGTAAGATAAATGCAATTAAATAACTGTGAAATGAGTCTCCGTAAACACAAATATTATCAACAAAGTTACAATTCTTGAGAACAGCTTCAACCTGAAAAAAGAGAGAAAAAAATGTCCATTAAAATCAAGTCGAGACTGAAAATAAACAATAAACAAACCTTTCCAAGTGAAATGTATTCTCCATGTTGGAGTTTGATTAAATCTTTTTTACGATCAATAATTTTGATTGTTCCGTCTTCAAATACTTCACCAATATCTCCTGATCTCCACCAACGTGTCCCGTCCTCATCAACCCAATATACTTTGGCCGTTTCCTCTTCATTCATATAATAACCCATTGTAATTGCAGGTCCACCAATTACCAATTCACCTCTAGGATTGGGTTGATCGTGATTTGAGTAACCGCCTAAATAGTGATTGAAAATAAAATACAATTAATCAAGATTAATTTGGAAATATCAATTATTTTGTCTTCTGTTGAGTGTTCATTGGATCATTTTTATATCAACTTACAAAAAGGTGAAATCAATGTGATTCAATGAAATTTAATACGATCCAACTGACACTAATTTACTTTGGATATTGAACAATTAATATTAATCAAGGCTTAATGAGAACAAAAGAGTAACCTTTTTGTTGTTGAACAATCTCCATGAATATAAGTGTTCAATGTTCAAACAATAATTTGAATCATTATCATTGAAAACGGTGCAACAGAAACAAAGATTGATCTTAATATTCATTGATTCTGGCAACTAATCACAATTATCTTTTAAATTGACTACGAAATAAATATTGTTTCACTCTCTATCAATCCTCATTCAAGGCTTGCTATCATTCAGCTTCATTCAGCTTCGATGTGAAAATAGATTAGCTAATCGTTTAACAATAAATGAAGTTTACTGAAATGTTGGGCCTTGTAGATGTGGCGAGAAAGTTTATGTGCTTAAGCAACGCCCATTTAATCTTTAACCGCTCTTTCTATGCTCAAACTAACTGTCAATTTCCTATCCTCCCAATCACCATTAATTGTTACACATTAATAGCTAAATTAAGGACACAATACATACAAAATAAATTCATCTTGTTATACTTTAAATTCAATCTAAATGCTTGGAAATAGAGAGATGCTTAAGGCATCAACCCCTGACAAGAGCTTCAACGAAGGCTCCAAATTTTAAAGGAAAATTTCATGCCAGTTTCAGGAAACTTATGATATAATTATCAGTTGATGCAAACAAAATTGTTGATGAATAAACATGATCTAGATCAAACAATGTCAATTTTTTATCTCAATCTGCATAAAAGAAAAACTAAGGACAAATAAATACATGGTTACTTAATGTACTTTCACTGACATTAGAAGCTTTCGGAAAATCAATTTTTCTAGAAATAATCTTTTCTAATCTATTCTAAATATTAATAGTTTCAAAGTTCGATTGAGCCTCAGACAACTTTTTAATCCGATTGATTAGATTTAACTATAATAAAACATCTTTTGAGTGTTACAGGTATCATAGATCATCTACAATAAGGCAACATCTTAACGGGTAAAAATGTGGCAAACCAAATCAAGAGCAATCTGGTTGAGAGGTTGTTGTTGGATTAACATTCAAATAGATAAGGAAGACTTGATCTATGATCATCATTACCTAGTTAACTGATATACATGCAATATTAACCTTGATCTCGAATTGATACCAAAGTATCACGAGGTTAATAAACTATACTTGATAGATTCATGGCATTTCCAATCAAATTGATTTCAAATGAAAACCTACCTTCTGGCCAATCGATGAGTTTAAGTTTAGCACCAAAAAGAGGAGCTCCACAGCGACCAAGGGAACGATCTTCCATGTCCATCAATGCAGCACACGCAGTACCTTCGGTGGCAGCATAACCTTGCAGTAGTTTGACACCAAGTGTGAGTGAAATAAATTGCTGAGTTTCAACGGATAAAGGAGCTCCACCAACAAATATTAACTTTAAATTACCACCTAATGGTTGACGGACCTTTGAAAATGCAAGGTAATCCATGAAAGGTGTCTCAAACCCAAATAGAACCCAAAATTTTTTATATTCAATGGCAAATTCAAAGAGATATTTGAAAAATTCAGAAGTTGACAATTTATCTTCAATTGTTTTCTTGATTCTATCTAAAATCAATGGCACTGCAGGCATAATGGTAGGCTTGATAACACTGATATCACCTTTACAACCTTTTTTAATAGCCGTTGAACTATCTAACATGGTCATTGGAGAAGAATAACATATCGGGATTCCCATGGAAAACATCAATACTTCAGCACCCATCTCAAAAATATGAGCCAATGGTAAATAGGCCAAATAGGCTTCATGCTGACTATGTTTGTAGCTTCCAACTGCTGAGGTTAATAAAGCTTGCATTGCTGACATGAAGTTTGCATGTGAAATTTGAACCCCCTTTGGAATTCCAGTTGATCCAGAAGTGTACATGATACATGCAATATCATGAGGTGATGGTAAAGTTTGCCGAGTTTCAGGTGCATCATATTTGTTTACAAGTTGATTGAAAGGAATCATTTTAAATTTAGAAAGAGAAGGCAATGGCGTCGGTTCTTTCCCGTTTGCTCCTTTGGCACAAATGATTGTGGTTAAATAATTGAGTTTATCAGCTATTTTTGCCAGCTTATCCAGACTATCAGCTGAGGTAACAATGTGAGTTGCTTGTGTTTGCTCCAGAATAGCAAGTATCCCATCAAGACCAAGATTTGCATACATTGTAACAGTAATGGCACCAAGTTTCCAGATAGCAAACGCAGATAAAAGCCATTCTTCTCGGGTTTCAGAGAAAAGGACTACTTTATCACCCGCCTTGACTCCGTTCAACGATAATCCATCGCCTATTTGTTTGACTTTATCTTTAACTTGTTTATAAGAGATAAAAAAGTAATCATCAGCGAGAAGATATTTCTTCAGGATTTTTCCATTTGCTTGTTTTTCTTCACACTCGGATAGCACTGGACGGGAACCCATACAATTGGAATCGCCAAATTTGGCAGTCATTGTGTCAAACCAATGAGCAATGGTAGGACTCTCCAGGACTTGTCTGTCAAACTCAAGAGGATCGCCAATCCTTACAAACGGTGATTCAGGATCATTTTCATCTTCTCGAACAGCTCTTATCCTTCGAGTGGCCAACCAGGTAGCCCATGGCTGTTGATAGATTATTTGAGGAGTTAAGACCAAAAAATCAATTATTACAGCAAGCACTTTGATACAGAAAACACCAAACCATGACCATTTGACCATGATAAGGAAGGGAATGGAGCCCAAGAAAACAACAAGTAAATTTTCCCAAACGGATGATGCCATTCTGATGATTGTAATTTGACTTGAAAATAAAATCCAATAGAAACCACGGAAACGGAAGTTTAGTTGTTATTATAAAAATATTAAGCGGATGAGTTTAAATTAATATAGTTTTAGTTAAGAGTAAAAATGTGTTGCACAAAAAGTAAACAGTAAAAGTTAACAGAAGATAGTTTCAACTCGTAATCGTTTGATGTTCAAGCCATCTTGAGTTATGGTCACAAAAATACATTAAGGGTTGATTAGTTATTGTAACTGTTATACACAATTGAATCCAAATCTTAATTGCTTAACAGCAAAATATGCTAACTGTTCACTTAAACAATTTCATCGTTACTGGCAAAACAAAAACTGGAGTCATTTTTCTTTCTCTTTAATCAATAGCTTCACGAGTCACTTTCCCTCTCTTTCGATTTCTCTTTCTCTCTCTTTCTCTTCTTTAAATGAAGATCTGTTAAAGATGATTGGTGAGATCAAAGATAACAACTTTTAAGATAACAACAGAGAAAGTATTAACCAATTATATTGATTGAAAATGTGGTTAATGATGAGTTCGTTTGTTACGAGATATTGGATTCCAAAATAATTTTCCAACAAATTATCACTGTTAAGATATTTTCCTTCATGTTTTGAATGTTTTAATCACAGATGGTTTGATATGGGCCGCAAATAACACTATCATAAAGGTAATAAGATGCAGGTAATCATTAAAATAATCAACCAGTCTTCACGTACTTGGGTACAAAGAGTAAAGAAGCGACAGCTCTCCAGAGGTTGGTGAGCTTTGGCTAGAGGCGCTCACATCAGTCTCTCTCAATTTGATTTTAATCTAATTTTTCAATAAAAATATCCAAAAATTGATGAATGAGAGAACCCTCTTCTCCTCTACTCTTTGGGTACGATATCAATATCGCACACTAGCATATGCGCCAGGTTCAACCGAAAACAGAAGCGATCTCTCTCTTGTTGAAACAGACAATTTTATTCACCGAAAGAGCATTTTCTGGTTGGCTAAACTCACACAAGGAAAAAGAGTTTGATGAAAAAATCTGGTTCCATAGTTGAACAAAAGGCAATCGAAGTTTCAACTTTGGATTCAATTTTCTCGAAAACTGTCGATCGGAAAAATTTCATTAAAACTACAATAATGAGTTCGGTTTCTATACCCTTACAAGCTTACTAAGTCCCAACTCTTGTCTCGAAAGTCAGATTTTTACGATTACGGTTTTTTAGTCAACACCTATTGAACGACACAAGGATTAGATATGAATCAAATTTTTACTTTATTTGAAAATTTGAAAATTAAAAGCTGAGATTAATTTATTTTTTGTATTCATTGAATTGCTCGAAACTTGACATCCTCTTGAAATTTTAGCCTTTCAATGTCAGTTTTAATGATCAACTATCTTTTTGAGTTTCATTCTCACAATGTTTATTTACTTCATCTTACCTTTTTAAAGAGGATAATTTTAGCTGATTAATATTTAGTCGAGTCAACTTGAATTTATCTTTTTAAAATTCAAATATTAAGAAAAATCATGCGACACTCTTGATGAATCTAACAACGTGAATGGTGAGTGATGATAAATGTTTATTATTATCGTAAATATACAACATTTAAGTAAACAAACATATTATCAATTATTATTTTCACCCATAGATGGTGCAAGAGCGGAAAATCAACATTAATCAATTTTTTACTTTTCAAGTGTTTCAATATTTAAGTGACTCTTAAAAGCTACTTTCATGGTAAAAAAATGGTTGGAACTGATGATCCGGATAAAAAATGAAGTGAAACTGAATTACCCATTAGTCAAGAATGAATAGCCTTTATTTTCGATATTCATATTGACCATTATCAACGCCAAGAAAGATCTTATCATTAAGATTTACCGAAAGTCTTGGATCCATCTTCGTTCTTTATTGTCGACTAATTGTATGGATTTCATCCTTTATGGAAGTATTTATACTTTATTAACATCCACCAGTGTATCCACAGAAAGCTTTGTCTTACCAGAGGATTCTCAGAATGGGTCGAGCTACATTAAAATTTCTTGAAATCATCGATAGTTTTACTGAATGTATGGTTAAGTTGATGGTACTCCTGGTACCACGAATAATATTATTGCTTGAACATCCGACTTTTCATATGAGCTTCACATCGACATTGTGTTTCAACATCATTTCATAAATCAAATTTAGTATGATTCGCATCTTGTACAGATATGAATCAATGTGCCTTCAGTCGATTCTGGAAATTTAACCATTTGGTCAACAATTACTGAGAAAAAAGTTGAAGTAATTTCCATTTTCCTTTCTTTAAACTTTCAAATTTAATAATGTTCATTCAGCCATTATTGTTGTTACGATAAAGAGTTTATTCGTGAAACCTGAATGAATTTCATACATTTTGTATTTGTCCTAAAACTCTAACCTTGCTTTGTCTTCACTTTCATCCTCATTTCCCTATCATTAGGAGGAATACAAAGTGCTGGCTTACCTTCAAGTCCTTACCATGTGATAAAATGAAGAGTTAAACAAATTGGCCAACAAATAATGTTAATCAATGATCAAAACTAATCAATCTTTTGTTGGCCTTTTTACGTCCATTCCTATAGATTTTTTTGTTGGTACCGTAAATTGAAATACATCAGTGGATAAGCAAATGAAAAAAAGGATGAAAAGAGGAAGAAGAGAAACGAGATGTTACAGGTCAAAGAGACTGATGTGAAGCTGATGATGATGGCAAGTGATGCTTTGGCTCTCCAGGGATGCTGACTTATTCACATGTAAATAGCTAATAAAATGAGTTACAATTGTGTTTAATGTTGGGATCAACTGATTCCATAGGGAAAATAATAAGCTCAACTAATATTATTTTGTTTCCTCTCTTAAGCTCTATCACCGTGTAACTGAATAAGATTGGGAATAGCTCAAGGCGCAATCAGAAAAGTCACTTTCTCACCCAAATTATCGCACCTTAATTGATTTTCCCATTATCACAATCATCTTCTGTAAGACAACAAGAGAAATCTCAGCTTTGAATACAAGGTATGATAATGAGGCCAAAAATGCCAAACAAAACGCCAAAGGTTCTTTTCGTATCATTGATAATTCATAAAAATATCATTTTCTGGCTAAAAATAGACTTGAAATATCAAAAGCTATTTGCTAGACACAATAAATGGAGCAAGATGTCCAGTTATGAAAACCAGTAAACCACTGTTTACCTAATTTTACCTAAAATCTCTCTCTGGTAAAACCGTTAAAGTATTGAAAGAGTCAAATTGACTAACTATTTGGAGGAAAAGAAAGATAAATTGCTGATTAAATGAATTAGTCGATCGTGAGAATTGGATTTATTGAGGAAAACTCGGTCAGTGTGAAACCTAAAATGGATATATTGACAATTTTCAATGATTGAGATGAGTCTTGGATGACAAATATCGGTCCAATTCACTTTTAATGTTGACCATTTTTGTTTCAAATTTACTCGTTGTGATATCAGGCGACAGTTGACCAAAGGTCCAATGTAAATGTTGACCATCCTTTTGTTACCATCACCAATTGACCCCTTTTATTGACCCAACATTTACCCTTTTAAAGTTACCCAGTAAACTTTCACTTTCAACCTTTATTCAACAAATGTTAATCCAAACAGTAAATGATAATGATGAATGTGCTTCAATAGGTTATGATGTCTAATGGACCAGAAATGAACCAGAAAATTGTCTCACAGAATATAAAAAAAGGGTAAACAATTAAAGGTTGAATCAGAGCATTTTAGGGCTTAAACAAGACTTGAAATGATTGGTAAGAAAATGTAGAAAGTTAATTTAAAGGTTTCTAATTGTGATTAAAGGCCTACTGAAGCAATTGGTTGACAAATTGTTATGGTTATGTTGGACATGAAAAACAAAAGGTTTGAAAAAGGCTGGAAGTTAAACAAATTGTTGGCCTCATTGATGATTCAATGGTTAGTTAAAGATGATTTAACTATTTATATTTATACAGAGTTTGAAGAGAGGAAGATGATAAGAATGAAGATGAAGATGATGAGGAATGGAAAAGGAAGCAAGTTATATATGGATTAGTTGAGGACGATTAGTGTTGTTCAAGTGAACTTGAAGTAGCATTTTAACAGAAGTGAAGAAGTGCCGTTCAATTGTTACCCATTCATAGTAACCAATCCTAAAGATGGGAATAAAAGGTGATGATGAGGAGGATTATGATGAGAGATGATGAGAGATGAAATGAGGTCAGAATAAGTGGCTGAGAGTGAAAATATTTTTGCATGGTAAACATTTGGATTGACAGGAAAAGTGTGACCAGAAGTGGCCTTAGATGAACAAGTTGATATTGAACAAGACCAGCACACTGATGATAATATTCAAAGTTATACCAAACTACACTGTTCAATTGGTTTTACTGAGGCACTTAAAATGGGTGATAATAATAATAATAATAAAATAATACCAACAATAATAAGCTGAGACAGTGTGAAAACATCAACATGGATATAAAAGTGAAACTAGTTTAGCGTCTTGATTAAACACTAAACTCATTTGATCACTTCAATTCAGATTAAATCATGCAATAATCTGAATAATCGTTCCAGGCCCAAAAAAATAAGAGTCGAGGAAGAAGAAAAAAAATCCTCAAAATTGTTCATGAATAATGGTAATGACAAATAGACTCTCGACTGTTCAAGTTGAATTAATGATTGGATTTGAGTCTTCGACTCTTCTTATAATAATGATTAAACTGATTCTTAAATATTTCAATGAAATGATTAAAAAATTTGATGAAATTGGTGATAATCAAAAGGCAGTCTGAAAAAGTGCAGTTCAAGGCTTAAACAAAAGTCAACATCCAGGTTTGATCGTTTATTTTATGATGAAGCTAAAAAAAAGGTTCAATAACATGATACTAAAAGATGAACCCAATAAGAAACTCAATTGATGATCATGATGATGATTATGATCATCATTATTATCATCATCTTTGTTTATTTTTTTCTGTTTCGACTTTTTTTTCCTTTTTTTCCTTCACTATGGGTTTATATGTTGACACCATCATTTGTACAACAGGTTTTTCAAATGGCTCTTAAATTGTGTTCACAGTATATTTTTTTGCCTCCTCTCTTCTTGATCATCATTATCATTATCATCATAACGTCCAAATAAGCAGTCAGAATAGTTATCATCTCATTCATCTTGTATGCAAGGGAAACAAGATGAAGGCAAGAAGGAGGGAAGAGGAGGAGAGGAGGTTGACGAGGTTACGGGGACAACACTATTAATATTGAACTGTAGTTTTTAGTCTTCCTATTTTTTTAACCTTACTTTATCTTCCTCCTTTCATCATCCTCTTAATCATCTTAAGGTCGTTTTTTCCCTATCAACATTGACATTTAACATTCAACTTGTAACCCATTTGTCTTACCAGAATTGTCATCCTTTATCAAGTGAAAGTGAGTCGAACCTTAAAAAATGGGAAAACAAATTTGCTTTCAATTTTGTTTTCTATGTAAGATTTTTCAAACAATTAACGGTTTCATTCAATTAATTTGGGTTAATTGAGGTTGAGATTAATTAGGTGTAAATAATGAAATGTGAGTCGAGTTATTTAAATTTTCATTTTTTGATTTTGTTCAAGTTAGCAAAAAATCATTTATATTGATTGGGGACTTGAAATTTTTACATTAAATGGTAGATATTTTTTTTGCTTGCGTTTAGGTTTTTCGCATGTTTATCAGTGTTTTGTGTAGCTGTTATTTTCAGGTATATTTTGGGTGGAAGGGTAAATTAATTTATAACGGTCAAAATGATTGGCAATAAATAAACAAAAGTATTTACATTTTATAAGAAAAATTTGAAGTCGATTTGTTAGCTTTTTTTGGTTTGGATCTCTTTTTGGCCTCTTTTTCTTTGGTATTCAATGGTTTGGCAATGGTCAACAGAATCAATAAATAATAATAATTTACAATCAGGTAGCTGGTTTCGTTATTGTTACAGAAATAGAGAGATGGAACTTGAATCTTATTAATTATAACTGATAACGAGGAAGTTCATTTGATTTTATAGATCTTTGTTGATCTTTCATTATCATCTGTACCAAGTTGGAAGAAACTTAAATCTTTGGATGAGTTGCTTTAAATATTGTTGTTGTTGTTGTTGTGGATGGTAGAGATGAAAGTGATGATATTGTGATTGGTAAGCTCAACCTTATGAGAAGATGATAGTGGGATGATGGTAAGAAGAAAATCAAACTTGAAAATATGAAGATGATGATCCTATAAACAGAGACGAAAAGAAGTTTTCTCAGAATAATATGAGAAAGTAAGAGGTGATGAGATGATGACGAGAAGTGATCTGAATTACATCAACATGGGGTTAACATGGAGATGAAAAGATGATGGATGATCATCATAATCCAGGTTCCTGTTGAAATGGTTTTGTTATTCGAAAGTTGTCCGGAAGTCAAGAGAATGTATTTTTGTTCTCTCATGGTGAACAAGACTAAGATGACGATGATGATGATGGTGATGATGGTGATGAAGGATAAGATGATTTTGACTTTTATCTCTATGTAAAGTTGTTCTTAGATGAAAGTATAAAAGTTTGTGCCTTCTGCCTGGTAGAGGTTTTTTTACAAAATACTGAGCAACTTTTAAGATTCGAACGCAGAAGGGACAAAGAAAGAAATGGATATGAGAAGAGATCAAACATCATCTGAATCATTTTATCCTTGGAATCTTACAAAATTTAAAATGGATTTAAAACAATTCAAATAATGTTTTCTTTTTTCCTAGTTACTCGGTCCCAGACATTCACATTCATTTGAATTAAAATATGAATTCTGCATTGAATAAAGTTTATCAATAGGTGTCATAGAAGAACCAAAGAGACCATTATTGGTTGATCCATTCGAACCCGAAGGTATATTATTACTATTATTATTATTATTGTCCATTGAAGATGATCCTTGATGGTGATGATGATGATGATGAGTATGTGGATGATGGGAAAGGCTCTCATCACCTCCATTACTTGCTCCATTCCCTTGTAACACATCATCTAATCCACCTAAACTGGTTTCACTATCCATTCCTAAGTCTCCTTTTGAATAACCATCTCCGTGAGGTGAATAATAAGAATCTGAGATTAATAATGATAATATCAAAGACAATGTTAATTAAATTATGTGTATGTTTACGTGTGTGAAAGAGTGAGAAAAGGAGAGAAAGAGTAAAGTAACAAAGGTCAACAATCATGTTGATTAGGAAAAAGTCAAGAATCAATCAAATTGATAATCCTTTTTTCATTTAACTCTCACTCTTGGATAAATATATGTGGATTATATGTTAACTTACCATCATCAGGACTATGAGATAAATATTGAATTGGAGCTACAGAAAAAGAAGGCGAGTCTACAGATGAATCAGTTAAATGACCACTTCCACTATGACCTAATCTTGAGTAAGGTGACATTTTATCAAGATTGGATTTATCACCTAAACCAGCATTTGAGTCGCTATTAGTTGTATGTTGTTGGTGTGATTGTTGTTGCAATTGTTGCTGTTTGCGTTGGATTTTCTTCAACTAGTCACCACATTAAATCCAAAACAAACGTTTGTGTACAAACAAATAGAGAAGATAAAAAAAGGTATGAGCCAGGGAAGTATGTGAGAGAGACGATGATTTGATAAAAGTTTATCAAAATCCATTCTAATAATAATGGTGGATTCAATCAACTCACTTTTGCTCTCTGATTTTGAAACCAAACTTGCACTATTCGAACGCTTAATCCAGTTTCTTTGGCTAATGATTCCCGGACCTAAAGAGAAAAAAATGTTTATTAATTGGTGTGTTAAATTACGGTGATAGGGAAATAAAAGATAGAAAGGTGTCGATTAAAAGTTTAAATTTCAACTTACTTTTCTACAAGGCTTTTGACTGACCTCGAATGAGGCTTTGAAGGCTCTTCTTTGAGCTGTTGTCAGAATGGTTCTTGGCCTTTTCGGTCCTCGACGTCCATCTTGTCGTTGACTAGAAGTTACTGAAACGGTTGACCCAGTATTTTGGCCACTTGGTATTGGACTATTTTGATTATTGTTTGGCACAACAGCATTTTCACCTTGAGTCAAAAATTAAAGGGACAAGAAAAATGATAGAAAAAAATATAAAGTTATGTTGATAGAGGCATTAATGTTGATATTGCATATTGCATGTTGATCCTAACATCAATATAACACCAAGATAACGATTAATTGTTTCAAGTCACGTGCAATATTTACTCAGTAAGCGGACCCCTGTGACCTGATTTATGGTTTATCTTCATTTATTTAATCCGATTTGGGAGTTTATATTGCATGCTGTTATAACCATAATATAATAATAATAATATCTAATAGTCAATTCTTATTGTTAAACGCCTTTTATCAACATTCACATTCAAATTACAACTCATCTTTTTACATGTTTACAGCATCATCTGAACACAAGAGCAGCACAAAAAAAACAGAGTTACCGCAGAGAAATTGATTCACAAGGAAACATTACCAAATCAATAAACAATCGAGTTAATCAATCAACGGAAATAATCAATTAAAAAAAGACGCTGCTCACGATAACAATCTAAAATAACATTTAAAGTCAAGTAAACGATTTGATGATGAGTTACAAGACACAAAAAGATGACTGCACAACGCAATGGCTTTGTGCATGAGAATTGAATCTTTAATTGTAATACCAAGCACAATGTAGCAAAAAAATTTGTACATGATAAACCAAAAAAGAAATGAGTGAATAAAAAACTGCTGAACAATTAATTATTATTAAATAAATCACAATTCAAAACATAAGATAAGTTCACATGGATTAACTCTTGTCTTTTGGCGCCTTCTTAAGGGTAAAGAAAGGGGAATAAATTTACTGACCCCTTCAATTTAACCTCGCTCTTTTTAATTAACCAATTTTCACGTAAGATGGCAACAGTAAAAAGATTGATTTAACCCGATTTTAACCGGGAACTCAAATCTTATTTTTCAACCTTTTCAACTTTCAGCTGACAAAATGTAATTTTTTAACTCTTAATTGTTTTACTTACTTGTTTGTGTGGACATTTGAAGAATGGCAAGTTCCTTTTCGAAATCCGGCCTACAGAACAATCTTCCCGATCTGATCACATATTGGTCACCCTTTTTTAACTGCTTATTACAACCAACGCAGGTAAAACAATTGAGATGAAATATTGAGTCCAAAGCTTTCATAACCAATTCACTTGCTGATATTTTTTCACAACATCCTGTACATTTGGCACCATACAATCTATCAATATAGATGAACCATGATTAAAAATTTGAGGATCAATGAATTTAGTCAAACAAAATAGAAGGTAAGTCAAATCATTTAGCTTTTTTCATTGTCAGTCCAAGTCTTCAATGTCTGTGTGTGCATTTACTTTATCTTATTTGCTACCAATGGCTTTTTTGGTGACTTGATGAAAATTGTGCGTAATAGTTGCCATTTTAAGAATGATTTGAAAAATTTTACTTGATCAAATTTTATTGCTACCATTATTAATATTATTACCTTTATTTAACCTCATTTTATTGTTATTGTCAGATCATTTTTCAATCATTCATGTATGTTGCAATTTTTATATTTATACGTATAAAAGGAGTAGAGACTAAATAAATCTAAATAGCAATAAATAAGGTAACAAATAAACATTGGAATGGTGTAATATTGTAATGTGGAAACAATCAAAAGTCAATTTAATGGGCAACAAAGAATCAAGTAAAAAATGATTAAATAATTTTCTTTCATTTTCTTTTCTTATTTAAGATTGGTGAAACACGATTAAGGTGGAGGTAAAGATTCAAGGAGGAGTTATTAGTTTTTCTCTCATCAACAAATATCAACACAGAAATTGTCTTCATCATCATCTTTTCCCCATCATTCTCCTTTCACAAGATCAACTTGTTTCTAAATTTCCTTTCCACTCTGGATTTTTCGTCTTCAACTTCCGATTTTCATCATCTTCTTCCCTCAAGACTAACTACACCATCACTAAGGAAAGAAAGAAAGAAGACTAAAATAATATAAAAAGATGTTTCCCCTAATTTCCTCTTCTCATCATCTTTTGCTATCATCCTCATCATCATCTCCATCATCATTAGTTCTATAGGCTTTCTGTTGCTCTTTTTTCCTCTCTTAATATTTATAAATGAAACCTTTGAGATATTTATTGAATGATAAGGATGGGAATGATTGGAATGATGGACGAAAGCTGATAGAGAAAGAAGAAAAGGAAAAAAATACCAAGAAAGATTATGTGAAATTGGGCATTAAGATGATGATGGTGATGGTGATGGTGATGATAAGCATCAATATCAATGGTATTTATGGTTCTTTGACTCTTCACGGACGAGGTCACCTTTCTGATATCAATGGATACTTACTTTTCATTGAAACCTTTCACATCATGAAGAAGAAGAAAACAACCGACAAGAAAACTGAACAGTTTTGTTCCCATTTGATTCACTAAATTTCCTCTACAACCGATCTTCCCATCTATCAACATTAATCTCACCCTTCTCATCATAATCAACTGATTATCATCTTGATGGCTCAACAAATGAATACCACAAACCAGGCAAGAAATAAAAAAAACAAATTATATAATACAAAACTGTAAGTCCATCAATCAAATGACAATTATCATGTTTCCTCTCTAACTTGATATTATCATATTATTTAAATGCTGGCATAGAAATGCTTAAAAATACTTTTCAAATATTAATTAAAACTGATTAACATTTGAAATTAACCAATTACATAAGATTATTAATATTTAATCAGCAAAATATCGATAACATTTGCTTTTTGTCAATTCGACATTTATGATTATATTTTTTTCATTTTTTTTATCATTTAGGACTAAAAATAATCTGGAAATCAAATGGCACCAAAATATTTTCCTCCCAATATAATTGAAGCGTAAGAATGGTCGAGAAGAATCTTCAAATTCAATAATAATTTTTTCTTGTAAAACTGATCAAAGTATTTTTTTCAAAAAAAGACTTGAGATTATATAGCATTACATGAAAAGGTAAGATTCTGAAACAGGTTCTTCAATTGCTAATAAATTAATCTCGGAATGATAAGAATTTCCATGTTGCACAGTTTCCTTATTTTTCCTTGGATTTTCCTTTATATTCCCTCTTCTAAATCTTTCTTCTACTTTTTTGTTCTCTCTTTTTCCAGGAGGCAAGGTCAAGGCATTGAAAAATATAGAGCTGAACAAATGAAATGAATTCAACTGGATTATTTCAAGTCTACGCTGATAAACAGTCAATGATAAATGAAGCATAATGTGAAAATATACAGTGGAAAATATGGAAGGCAAATGGATTGTTGTTACATTCCTTATTCAGTGAAGAATGCGTTTCCAACGTAAACTAGACCATCAAAGATTCCCAAAGATGCTCAAGAATGCATCAATCATACATCAATTTGCAAACAAGTGAGCGAATAAAGGAAAGCAAGAGAAAGCAAACAATCTTTTTCCTTCCCTGCATTTCACTTACAATTTTTTGCCTGTTTTTGTTTTCGCCTCAACAAAACAAAAATGCATCTCATATTTTATCAATCCAATATAAAGGGACTGAATAAAATTTGTGAAATTCACCTAACTGCACTGGAATAGAGACTTAATTTTTACCTCCAATCATTTATCGACTGTTTAATTTGGATGGAAAACATTTTGATGAGAAAATATCACAATTTTGGCAGAATCAATTCATACATAAAGTTTGCCCTGTTGTGATGGCTGAAATCATCCTGAAAACCGAATTTTCTATCAAGCATAAAAGTTACTCGAATATTTTAACGAAAACAATTTCATCCAAGGATGTTCAGTGAAATGAATATAACTGTGTATATCAACGCATTATATTTTTACCTTGGATTCAGTTGTGATATTGAAACTATTCTGCAAAATATCTTCTGACAAATGCAAATCTTTTTTTATCATCAGTGGATGAATGATTTTAGCTAAAAAGGTTAAGTCTCTATCGTGCAGAAAAATGCGCAAATGTCGAAAGCCTTTCAAAGCTCGTTATATTTTATTCAAGTTTAATGAGTGGATGAAAAGACTTTTTTTTCTTGCTTTTTGCATAAATGAAAATTATGGAACTTTTTTGCTGCTTCTTTGCTAAATGATGTTAGTCAATTGATGGTATACTTGACAAAAAAAGGATTGGTAATCTTTATTGTTTATATTATCAGCTTTTATAATATTTTTAGATAATTTGACATTTCATCCTTTTCCAGACAAGAATAACAATTTAAGATGATGACAATAATGATGATGGGCAGGAGGAATGCTGCTTCAAGGTATTAACAAGAAGGAAAGGAGCTGTTCATTTTTCATCGTCGTCTTAAACAAGGAAACCAGGAGAGAGAGGAACAAAAGTAACAATAAGAAGATGATTCATTGAAATTGAATAAAAGATAGAAAAGGTGAAAACTGTTGAAGATGAAGATGATGCTGGAAAGAGGATGAGCAGACAAGAAAAAGGAGGAGAAAGAAAGAGAAAAGATAGGATAGAAGATTCTGAAAAGGAGGAGTTTTGAGTATGAAAAAAGGAAAAGGAGGTGCAACAGACTTTGTGGTAATCTTTTTTTTCTTCATCATCTTCATCTTCATCTTCTCTCTCTTTTTGATTTTGTTTCTTCTTATTTTTTCTCTTCACTCTTAGCCTCTTATTCAGCATCGTCTATAGCTAGTTGAGGATGGCAAAAAAAAACTCAGTCATGTTGGAAATAAAAAGCAAATATTGAAGAGAAGTGAGCCACGATGAAGATGAGGATGAAGAAACTAAAGGAGTGACATTTAACCGTAAGACTCATTTGACTCTCTTTTTCTATTTTACCAAAAATTCTGAGCTTATTTTTTTTCTCTCTTCTAATAACAGTTTTTTTTCCTCTTCTCTAGAAGCAAAAGCGAAAAAAACAAACCTGGTAAATGGTGCAAAGCTCAACTTCAGAACTTAAGAGTGAAACAAAAAAAAAGGTAAAGGATGATAAAGATGATGATTATTATGATGATAATGATGATGTTGTTGAAGGTGAAATGATGAAAAATAGGAACAAATCTCTCTTTTTTTTCAACATTTTCCCTTCATCAGATTTTTCATCTTTCAATGGAGGGAAAGAACAAGTTTCAATGAAAAGTCAAATTGAATCTGTTTCATCCATTTCAAAACTGAAATGTTATTCACAGTCAAGCTATTGGTATAAATATATATTTATATATATACATAAATAAATGTTTTACCATATTATTAAAATGAGCAGATAACGGTAACACTTTTTGCCAAATCAATTATTAAGGTGTTCATATTAAATAGCAAGAGTAAGCTAAACGGGGATAACTTATTTATATCTTTCAACATGAAAACTGTATCATCCATATTTTTCCTCATCTGTTGTTATATTCAATAATAACTAATTCCTGGTTCGTAGAGTTTGAAAAGAGCAAAAAATGCAAATCAAAATCTTTGACGCTTTTGATAACACAATTTATAAGAGCAACTTTCACTGATTCAATTTAGATGAAAGTATAATTCATAGAGAGCCCAGAAAAAAAGAGTGAAATTGTGTGAAGAAGAAGAAAAAAAATCCGGAAATTGGCTGATTAGTTTGCATTTCATTGTATAAGATTTGATGACAATGATGATAATGACGAAGGATAAACCTTGGAGGATGAATGGAGATATTTATTTATTTATATTTTTCATCAACAAGTGTTGCAAATTGAATAACAATACACTAAAATAGGGAAATAATCAGTGACATGGAAAAGTGAAAACAGCTTTTACTATTTCAATACAAATTTATCATTCTGCTACTTCTTTTTTGTGTTCATTCAACAATCTTCATCATCTTTCATCATTGAGCATAAAATTACGGTTTGAACCGTCTTCTTTCCCATCTCATCAGATCAGTAGACAAAAAGCACAAAAACTGTTGTTTCACCATTTGATGCAAAAATATGTGTTTGATAAACAGTGATTAATTTTATTTCTACTTTCTATTTTCAGGTTATTCTCATCTTCTTAACTGCCTTTCATCAGATTTTTATTTTAATCATGCTAATCAGTGAATTGGATTTGCAAAGGGTTGACATTCAAACATTACAAGACACGAGACTTAACATTTATCACTGGACATTATGTTTGTTAAACTGGCAAAAATTGATTCAATGGGTTGAAATGGTTGCATTTTTTTATATAAGGATTCATTTCAATTTACTTGTAAAGCTTCCTAATCATCATAATCATCGTCCCTCATTATCATCATCATCACCACTATTACTAATACTTAGGGTAACAAAGACAAGCAATCAAAGCCTCATCTTCACTGCTATTTAAACCTTTCAAGCCAAGAAAATGAAGAAACTTAATAATGCCATTGAATATAATGACAATGATGATCAAGGCTTCTCAACTGTCTTCATTGGATTCATTACGTTGAGACTTCTTGGTATTCACCTATTTTTTATCATTAAATATACAAAGTGGAAAGACATTATAAACTTAAAACAAGGACATTGATTGATTAACAATGGTAACTAGATGCAACAACAGGACCAATATAAAAAAAGGAAACTGGACTTTCAACTTGACTTCCAACCTTCAAATTTGATGCCTTGTAACTTTTGATGATCGATCTAGTAACATTTATCCATATATAAATGTATAAATCAAAGAGTGGGAGAAACAAGAGGGAGTTATAAAGCAAAACAAGATGAAAAAAACAAGGAGCAAAAAGATGGATGAAAAAGTTTGCTACATATGATGCATTGATGAAAGAGGGCCTAAAATCTTGTTGACTATTTTGCCTTTTTTTGGAAGTTGATGGCGAGTAGCTAACAACTACCTTGTTTTGCCGTGAAAAAAAGGATAAAGGATGCATAAACTGGAGGAACAGGGAAGTCTTTTGAAAATCAATTGCGTAAAATGGATTGGATATGGAGGGTGGAGAAAGAAGGAGAAAGATGAAAAGTCATTGATGGAAGAAAAAAAAGAAGAAAAATGAAAAGGGAGAAAGAATCCGTCATCATATAGTTTATTCGATGGAAAACAATAATATAAAGAATTGCTGATTTAAACAATTGTCGAAACAAATCTGAAGCTAAATCTGTTATAATCCGGTCAAAGTGGCTTAAGATTAATACATCCATACACATATAAAAGTGACATTGTTGATGAAGGAAAAGTCAAAGGCAAGATGAAGAAACAAGATGAGGAAGAAGATGAGGAAGAAGATGAGGAACATTTAACATGATTTTTGCTTTGACTTTTTCATTTTTAGCTTTTACTTTTCATCAAGCCAATTCATATATTTTTTTTTATAACATTTTTTTTCCTGCTTGCTTAAGCAAACCACTTTGATAACGTTAGTCTGATCTCTAATCTTACATCATTTGACTTGCAATACTTTTTGTTGTTGAGCATTAAACTGTCTTGTAAGCTTTTCAACAGAAGCTTCATCCCTTCAAAGAGTCAGATGAAGATGAACAAAGTCTCTTTTCACTGCCTCTTTTTTTGTTATCCTCCTCATCATGAAACGCAAAGATAGACAGTTTTTAAGTAATAATATATATTTATTACAGATATGAAGGAACAGTCCAAACAAAGGAAAGAAACAAAGAGTTGAATGGATGATAAAAATAATGTCAGTTGATGTGAAGGTAAGATGAAGAAAGTAAAAAGAAGACAGAATAGTGATGATAAGTGAGAGATGAAGCAGAATTGATGGCATAAATAGAATGAAATGGATTCTCTTCTTAATAACAAACTAAGGTGATAGAAAGAGGAGAAGACGATGATGATAGAAAAAAGAGAATATTTGAAATTCTTTTCATCCTTTTCATCCCTTTACAGCTACATTATTCCTATTTTTCCTCTTTATCATCATCATTATTATCATCATCTTTTTGCTTTACTTCCTTTCCTTGCATTTTTCACTTGCTCAAGCAACTTGCTAGCCTTAGAGTCTCTTTATGTTTATACAGCTTTGGCTGCTTCAACTTGCTATTCCAGGCTATTGATGAAAAAAAAGTTTTGTGTTACCAGGAGAGATGAAAAGGAGAGCATAAAATGGAGGCTGATAGAGATGATGAGGAGGAGAGAGAGAGAGAAGAGTGATTACATATTGAAAGGTTAGAACGAAATGTCTCTAACAAGTTATCAATAGTTACTTCTAGCATTTTTATGTCTATCACATACACTTTAGCTTTGTTGGCTGGATCAAATGGAGGGAAGACGTAAAAAGAGAGCATTTTGTTTGAATGATTCACATTGACCTCCCTGGGATGAGGATAAATATTCAGAATGGGAAACTGCAGGATCAGGGAAGATGAAAAGTGAAAAAAAGAAAGGTTAAATCTGAGTCAGGAAAGGATGAAACAACACATCAATCCTAATTTACCTCCTTCCAAGTTAACCTTAAAAGATATCCAAGGTTCAGCTCATCCTTTTCATCCTTTTTTCCTCTTCTTTCGTTCATCTTTTTTATCCATTTTGTTCATTTTTAAACATTTCATTTACAATGAAATGCAAGTTCAAATCCAGTTCAAAGATGAAATCTCGATATTACTTTTGATAACTGATTTCACTGATCACTCTAATGCATAAGATAAGCCAAGACATTCAAATAATAACTAGATTTCAAAAATAGAATCAATTGCAACCATTTTTACAATTTATATTAATGGCTTAAATTGTTGTGTACAAAATGAATGTTAATAAATCGATAGATTTTTGTTAACAGAAAAGTCCAATTCTCAATCTTTACAAATGCGTTCAGTTGAATAATCAAATGTTGTTTTACATTTGAAACCGTTTGGTTATCAAGTTATTGATTAGTTGATTATGTTAACCAGACTGAAGAGGTAAAAATTAGCAATCATTTACCGATCATCATAAATCACAAAATGGCAAACTCTTGTTCTGAGTTTGTGCCCTCAATGATCACATGAAAGTGAATGTGAAAATTTCAACTGTAAATAGCCTGCAGTGAAATCACCAATCATCATTATCATTGCTCTCAACTTTCATCTTATTGTGTACCTTTCAGGAATATGAAGATGATAAAGATGAGGCAAAAGAAGAAGATTAATTTACTCTTCCTTTTTTTCTCTTGCCGTTCTTCCTCATCTTCCAAGCCATCCTTGACTTGTAGATACACATATAAACACACCAGAAAATGTTTACTGTATATTAGCTTGAAGGGACTTTGATCATCTTTTTTTTCATTGCGCTGTTGACTGTGAGTTTGCTTATGGGTAAAAGTTACAGTAACATTTGAGACAATATTTACTCAATTTTTCAACACTCTTCTCATCATCGTCTTCATCATTTCTTCTCATCATCTTTCCATGGCTTTAGGTTATCTTCAACTGTAACCATCGTTTGGATACTTATTCAGCTTGCATCCAACCTTATGCCTTCCCTCACTCCACTATTTAAACAACCATAACTATTATCAGGAAAAAACTCGAATCTGGCCTTGACTCACATTATCACCATCTATAGGATGAGCATTGGTTACTCTAATTATTTACATTGTGACCCTTTTTTATTGACCTTACACCGTTGGGAGTCGCTCCATGCCAAATCATTTAATATCTCAATTTATTGCCATCATTTAAATTACAGGTATAAAGATGTTCACTTTTCCTGTCTACTATCAACTCTCCAATTCCCTAACATTTAACCCTCACAAATGGTCAACTTATCAAAATATTGATAAATGCTGATCCAGTGAAAACAAAAATTGTCTTTGAAACTCAATTTTGCCATTTTTTCGTTTCTCATTGTTCAATCGTTTGATTAAAAGATTGCCTCAGTTAACCAGATAAAATATGGATTCAGTGTAAAGGTGGTATACAGGGTAAACAAATGCTGAATACATTTTTACAAAGATAACACAAATTCTGGTCAAAAGTTTTACCAAAAAATCAAGTATAGGATTCTTCATCTGTTAACCAGAATATTGGTTTGATGGAAATATCAAAATTTTGAATTCCAAAAAATAGAAATAATTTAACCTTAAATTTCATCAAAAATTACATTGAAATAACATTTAAATTAAAACAACTTTAAATGATAAAGTTAATATTGATAGAAGTGATTTTGTTTTAAAGTCAAGTTAATTTATTTTTAAAATTGAAACAATCTTTTAAGTCAATGCTTAACCTGATCTTGAACCAAATGCAAAGCTATTTACATTGATCTATGATAAAGGGTTATGAAATGATGATCTGATAATTATTTAGCATTGTTTGTCACCCTGTAAGTCAGTGAACCAAAGAGTAAAGTGAAAAATCGATTGGTAAACATAACAACATTTAAAGTTGCAAAGTCTCACCTCAGCAAGTAAAAAAATGCAAAACTTGATCGATCAGAGGAAGAAAGATGAAGATGAAAGGAGCGAGTTTACAGAGATGATTGAAGAGAGGAGAAGATTGAAAAGTCCATGTTAACCGGAACAAAAAATTGATGAATTAGATTATGATGATCATGTTTCATATTCATGTTTGGATAACCTCAAAAACAAACAATTTATTTAACTATCTTACGCAAATCAATCAAATCGCAAGACACCATTTCACCAATTAAACAAATGACAGTTGACCATTTTAAGATGAAAAATGAGAAACAAGATGACCAAAGAGGAAGAAAAATTCAACCCAAACCAATGTACAATCATTGAAGCTTTTGATAAACCACTAATTGTTACACTTTCCCATAACTTTATTGATACAATAACCAGAAGTTAAATTGTCAATATTTGTTGTTAATCTTTACCGGTAAAAATAAAGGTTAAACATGTTTCACTTTGAACAATTTGTTTCCATAGAAACTTGATATTCAAATTGTCTTCTGAATTTTATTAACATAACTGTTTATTGGATAATTGTTTGGCCAAAATCAACCCTTTTGCCTCTTTTTTATGCAACATTCAAGTCAATCTTGTTTGACAAATCACAATTTGATGAAGTTAATATGGCATCATTTAATGCTATTCAACTTATCATATTGTTATAATGACAATGTAATCAACAGTTGAAAGAGCTTTAACGAGGAGAGAAGCGAAATGAAACAATTTAATTTGTTGTACAATTAACCATTAAGAATTGAGCTTTCATTTACATTTTTAACCTTCTAATTACCTGGGAGTGAAAATGGCTTTTAATGTGATAATAAATATGATAAATATGAAAGTGTGCAGCGCCTTCAAACCTTGGTTAACCCAACAATCATCAAGGGAACTGAACAAATTATATTCTTATCATGATCCCACGATCATGAAATTTCACTCATTATCTCATGGGATTGTGGAGGAACACACGCGAAATTGAACTGTTGATAGTTATTTGTTTATTGATTGATAAAACAAGATTAAGTTACTTCTGGGACTGATGAAGCAGTTTAAGGGAAAAGTGTAAACCTAAAAATGTATCCACAAAGGTGTTGATTTAAGTGTTACTTGTTTGGGTTAATCATTGATTAGAATCAGTTTAAGGTCTAGTATTTGGTTAACCATTGATTATGCATCATTATGAGTTAATAAGTGGACAGAGTATTAATACAGTTTAATGAACAAAAAAAGAGGCTTTAGTTATTCTCGGGACAATTTAAATAACCTAAAGCAGATTAAGTTGAACAGTCGCTTGAAAATTGAATGTTGATTGAAAAAAAAGATAATCAAAAAGGCAAAATTGCAAGTTAAATCAAACATTGAATATGTGTGAACAAATGGAAACGTTTGCAAGGAAACTTGAATTTGTTGGGTTGTAAGATGTTCAGATAAAGATGAAGATGGTGAAGGATGAAGGATGAAGTGTAATCCATAGTGACGGTGGATGGTTAGGAGGAGTGAAGGGGAATTAACACGCGTTAACTGTTTCATGGCTCACGTGCTGGTCAGGCTTGAATTGTTATTAAAAGAAGCGTAAGATGAATTTGAGTTTAATCATTCAGAAAAAGTGTAGTCAAATGATGAAGATGAGGAGGATAAGGAGGAGATTAGGGATGGAAATGTGCTTCACCAATTAACTTGCGCTTCAATGATCTTTACTTGAAAGTGACCCTGTTTACAGCTAAACATTTAATAATCAATCAACTATTAACAAAGGTGTGTTGATATTCAACATTTAACAAATTAACTCTCATATTGATCAACCTTTCCCATTGTCTTCCATTGTTATTCGCTTTCTTTTTCTACCTCAAAGACTCATTGGTTTTGCATTATAAACTGTTAAATTGATTTCAAATTTAGATGATTAAATTCAATGTTTTTCACATAAAACAATGTTTGATTTATGGAGTCAAAATGATTTTTTCAAACCCAAATTTGAAAACTTGACAAAATTTCCTTCAAATAAAAATGTCTTTAATTGTTTGGATTGAAATGATTTTGCTGCGATTTAAGTATAATTGCTTTTTATAAATCAAATGGCAGTTGACTTAATTTGATGAGTGAATCGGAATCTTAACATTTTTGTTTCAATTCAAAGACAATGATTCTATTGAATTTGCTACATTTTTAGGTAAAAAGTCAATCCATGAAAAGACATTTTCTGGTGTTTGACTTGACTGTGAAAAGCAATAATCGTCCGTTTCATGAAACAATTTTGGTATGAAAATATTTTTGAACTTATCGTTGCTAGATGAGAGCATTTGCTCAAGATAATTCAGATTAGGATTTGGATGTGGATGAAGGTGGAAAAAAGTGATTATATAAAAAAAGAGGAAACTTGGATTAAAGGATGTAACCCTGATTAACCCATAAAACTTGTTTCTCAAAATGTTCATCATTTTGTCTTTTCTTTTTCTTCCGGCTTCACTTTTCATCTTCATCTCTACTTATCATCACCATCATCATCTTGATCATCATTGAACCTATAACAATCTTTATCCTTTCAGATATTTCCTTAAGAAAAGCCTATAGCCTGATGATGATCAATAGTTTTGTTGTCTTCTTGCCAGCTCTTCATCACAACCTGATCATTACCTTGATTCAAACAATTGTTAAATAATCATTCGTTTTCATTCAAATCATTGATTTGCTCATAAACCAAGGTTAATCACTTTTTTAAATTGTGGCTCAACACAGACCATTTAATTAGCTTATTGAAACCTAAATCTTGTCTAATTGCCTTTTTACCCTCAAACTGCAACCATTTCCCTTTTCAACTAAATTGTTTGCTTAATTGCTGCTAATTAAATTATTGTCTTTGATCAAAAACCTTTGATTGAATGTTGGTTAAATTAAATTGATTAAATGGTTAATCATTTTCAGATGAAAACAAACCTCGAAAGGAAAGACAAAAATATCGATTAATCGTTTGAATGACAATTTTGATTAATTGAAGCTTGAAATTTGGTGTTGTTTGAAAGTCAAAATCAATTAATATACTTGAGATAATTATCTCATCGAGAAATGAATGATTCAGATTGAATGTACAATCAATTTTGAATGGTGAATGGTCAGTCAGTGAAGAGACAGGACCTTGAGTTAGTGATGATGATGAGGATGATAGAGATGAAGGTTAAGGATGGCAAGTGAGGGATGACCGAGCGGAAGAAATGGCTTTTCCAGTCTCTTCTTGTGGACAGATTGACATATTTTTGCTTGTTTTAAGATAACAACATATTTATGCAAACAAAAAATGAGAGTGTAAAAGTCCTTTGGTTACAGCTTGGGATGACAATTTGATGAATTAACTGAACAACAGTAACAAATGATCAACGATCATTTAACTGTTTCCCTTTTGGTCAATACAATCATTCATACAGTCAATTCCTGGAGATTCATGTCAGAATGGCTAAAAAAATCTCTGTCAAAACAACACTTTTCAATGTAAATATTCATTAAGATGATACAGTTACATTCAATATGTTTTGGACCATTTACGTCTCTTCAAGGAGTCACAAACTCTAATCATCAAATTATAATTCAATTCAAAATATCACATAACTATTGCTCTGAAAATATTGTTTAATATCGATAAACAATTTTTGTTGCTTTAATGAAATGAAGACTTTAGCAAAATTACGAACTCGAAAGAACCGCGAAACTGTTCAATTTATCATTCAAGTTTGATGGAACAGCGAAAGGTTAAATTATGACAAGTTATTGTATTAATAATAGACTCTAATATGAATGAATGATCGTCTTTTATGTTCATGTTCAGATTGAAATCAAGGAATTGATCGGAAACTTTAAACTGTTGATTGAAAATAGTTTTGTATTCATCAATGATGCCTTTAGTCTTTGAATATTTGCTAATGAAAACAATCGACTTTAACAAAAGTCTGGTTAGTAAAAGCTTGGTTTATATCTTGCAAAATTTACTGGCTTTGACTGTAGATTGGTTTGATTTGATGATGAACGAAATTTTGGTTGATACGCACAATTAGCATCTTAAAGTAAATTCATCTTAAAAATGGCTTTGAATTGAAATCGCTAAATTGAATCAAATTTATCTTATCTCAAGATACCAGTTAGCTTTGACTAGACTCGGACTGCAGCTGATTTGCAACAAATTATCAATTATCTTTTATCAATAAGCTGATAACTTTTTGCTGTTCAACTGATCAATTGACCAAAAGTAAAGTCCAATGTTTCAATGGTTTTGTTACTCACCTGAAATAGTCTCGTTTACAAAGTAATAAGTCAGCTTTGGCGTAAAAAGTGTCCGACATTTTAGCAAGTGGACCTTCACACGATGAACACTTTAAACAATTTTCATGCCAAAACTTTTCAGCCGCTTCCAGAAGCCACTGTTCCTTGATTAACTCGTTACATCCTGAGCAAACGTGTAACCTTTCACCTATCATGGAAGATATTGAATTGCCAGATACTTTTCTCTCCATCATTTTCAGATGAAATAATCATCCATAGGGACACCAATGTGTATAAATACAAAGACACACAGTTAGACACACACACAGAGAGTAAGTGAGACACTAAACGTTGGCAAGATGTGTGTTTGTTTCTTGAAATACAAATGATAAAAGGCAGTAGTAGATGTGATACTAATAACAAGACAGTAAAAAGATGAAGATGAGGAAAAAACGAAACAAGTAGAAGAAGATAACTGTTAGGAATTTAAACACAATAAAGAGTAACCGGGATATTGAGTCTCATCATCATCTCTCTTCCCAGGCTGCCTCATCAATTCAATCCCATAAAGCACGCATGTATTTCAACTCTCAACCCAATCATCATCTCACTCTTCACAGACTTTAAAAGCAAAAAAGCGGAAAATGATCTACCTATATAACTCAGGAATAAAATGCGTGAGAGCATCGAACTTTTGTACTCATATGTACGTATATTGCGCCACTGATTACCTCAAGTTTCAGTCTTGGTGATGAAATATCAGGCTCAAAAACAGTCTATCTTTTGGACTTGACTGCAGCCACAACACTTTCAGTGCTCATTTTCAACCTGAGCCTTGTTATTCAACAGGCTCTTTCAAAAAATTACCATTTAAAAGGTTTAACACAAGTCGATTTTTGTTGTACCTTTCGTATATAAATGACAAAATAATGCGTACGAGTGATTCAATCCAATTTTGCTGTCTCTCATCATCTTTCCTTTTCTCTCTCTAATGCCGCGATTTGAAATGAAAACTGTTTTCCCTTTAACTCACTTTATTGACGGCCTCCTCAGGTCATTTCAATAAATTCAATAATCCTATCAAATCTTACAAATCATTATCTTTATTTCAGATGCTCACAGCCTTTTGATCGGGTTTTCGGAGTCAGGTTAATATAAATTGGTCAATTCTTACTTATGACTTTATAAACACTCTACTGAGGACATAATTCACATTCAGGCTGAGCCATTATCCGCCAAAGAAATTCAATCTAATGTTGGTAGTAAACTTACCGATTCGCTTACACTTTAATTAGTCAACATATAATTACAGATAACATGGAATACCGACCAACTAGAAATGGAAGGAAAAAACGCATACAAAATAAGGTTAGCAATGATTTCTGGATATAAAAGGGTTTCAAGTTCGGGTTTTGAAGAACTGCCTGAAGGATTGTTTCGAGATATATTCACGGAGTATGTTGACAAAATGCGAGAATCGTCTGAAGAGAAGATTCCAAGTGGCGGTACCGGTGCAATGGAGGTGGATCACAAGGATGCCCTCAAACCCCAGGCGGTGATTGTGGGGTGAATGTTTCAGCTAGTGAAGGTGGCAATGCTCTCTCAACAACTACCACTAAATAAGAATAATGTTATTGTTAGACAGTACAAACAAAGCTTGTTAATTATGATTTTTGTCGTGGTTAAAGAAAACAAAATAACGCAAATAAAACATAAGTTATGAAATAAATTATCTATACCAAAAATACCGAGTCTCTCCTTGTTTCATAACAACGATCAAGAGTTCAACTGAACAACAATAACAATCCTAAAAAAGGATTTCTTGTTCAAAGAAACTCTTATCTTGTAAACAAGACCAGAGATAATGTGCTTTCTGCTTTTGGATTGATTTAAGGATTTTTGGGGCGCTGCGCGAACGCAAACACCCCGCTACCAAAAATTTCACTCCCCATCTAGCTCGTTTTGAGTTAGTGGCGGGCTTCAGCCACCCTCGGAGTGCAATGAGAGGGCCTCGACCCGGAGTCCCCGCCTTTTTGATCACGGGGTTCTCGGAGCCAGGTAAGTATGAGTTGAGCCGATTCTTACTTGCTTTATATACACTCTAGTGAGAGACTAAGATTGTGACATTTTGTTGTTTTCCTTAAAATTCACTGTTAAATCAATTTTATCTTTAAATATTTTTCAACCAATTTACTGAATATAGTTTTAGTATCAATAATTTACATACAAATTTTTGTTCCGATCAATAAATCAACTCAATTAAGTTTGAAAATCAATTGGGCTTTTGCCTGTTACCCCTCTTTTAGGTTTTGTCTGTACAACATTGAACTGTCTGTACAGCTGTTTTCTCTGTTTTTCTGCTTCTCTGTTCCTAGGTTTGAGTGTACTTATGATTTTAATTTTTTGACTAATTGGCATGAATCATATTTTGTTTCATTGAGACATTCATGGGATACAATTTAGTTTTAATTGTCGTGTTTTTGTTGTTTGTGAAAAAATGAAATTTGCAAAATTTTCTTGTCCAAAAAAGTGTCTCATTGAACTTTAATTGAAAGTATTTAAATGGTTGTTTGGGTGACAATTTTTTTAAATTTGCTGATAGATAGTCGATGGTTAATGAATAAACAGTGTAAACTATTAACAAAAAAGGACCTTTTTGTTGATCACATATTTGATGTATTTGTTTGCTCCAGCAAAAGATCCCAGTCAATGTTGAACTGAAAAACTTCCCTTTGAAGCCATAACTCGTAATTGTTTTTGAATTCTTCGGTTAACTGGAATTGTTTGCTTAAAACACTTGCGTAATTATTGTCTACTGGTTTAAATATATCCATTTGCGCTGCATATGAATAGTTATCGTTGAGAGGATTATTACAAGAATTGTGACCATTCATAGAGTTGATTGAATGGTTTCCTGTTTGTTGGTTTGGTAAATGTGAAGGGATACCGGGTAATGACTGAGATGTATTGTATCGTCGACAGTGAAATCGAGATATATTGGCCTGTAAACTGAATTCTTCTCCTTGAAAATCCCATGGTCTTGTTTCCATGTCATTGCCAAAAGCCCAATCGTCTGTTAATCGATGTCTAACCATTTGATAAATAGCACTCAATGTTTTCATATTTGATTTCCTCCATTGGCGTCCCAAATATTTTGCTTGCATCTTGAGCAATTTTAAAACGTACAATTGAAACATTGCATGTCTGACTCGAAGGGCTCTTTTAAGAATGGGTGCAGATTTGAAGACTACTAACATCATTATTCGTGACATCTTCCACTTTGTCAGTTTATTGAGTATACGGACCATATTGATGCATGAGAATATATTTCGCCATGGATAAGGTTGTTCTTTAACACTCATTTCTAATAATTCTGCTGTTATTTCGGGTTGAACACCGATAACACAAGCAGGAAAATCAATCAGGGCAATGTTATTGCGTGAAATTATATATTGGAAGATATTTTGATTGAAAAATTTCAATATTAATGGTATACAATTTGCAAACATCAACTGTTGGCTGACATTTTCAAATTGGTAAATATTGTTAATTTTAAAATGTTTGAGAAGAAGAATCAAAATGGCAGAAACAGCTTTGATGATAATTTCTTTATGTCTATTGATATCAGTACCAAATTTCATGGATTGGACAACAGTCATTGGCATATTTTCAGGTAAAACTTCACACATTATATTAACTGACTCCGTTTTAGCTTTTGAGGTTGGTGCAGCAGCTAAAAGTATTTTAAGTAAGGCGATCATATATTGAGGTAAGCTTGGTAGCATATTCTCGTAGAGAGATTCAGCTGGTGATGATAATGGTTTAGTATCCAATTCCTCAAGAGTCAAGGGATATTTAGCCATTTCTTCTTCCCTCTGAATCTGAAGTTCAGATAATGAAATGTATAAATGTTTTTGTAAAGTTCTTAATCCTTCTAATATTGGATCAGGAAGACCTGCTATTGTTGTACGATTTTGTGGTATGTTGAAACCAATGAATTTGATACGAGCTTGTTCGAGAAATGCATCAATATCCTTATGCCTAACTTTGGGCATCCAAGGCAAACCTTTGCTAATACTTTGAACTTCGCAATCAGCTTCAGCATCTTCATCTGCCTTGTTTACTGGAGTTGACGGTCGAGGAGATGCAGGAACATAACCAATGTCTACTTTTTCTTCAGAATTTTTATCATTCATTTCCTCCGTTCGTTCGACCTCGCTTGATTCTGATGCTTCGGCTGCTTGTTCAACTTCGCCATTTGTCTCGCCTGTTTCTTCCATATCATTCATCATATCATCAGCCATCAACGATTCTTGTTTGCTGATCATTCTTCGCTTGTTCAATTTAATTTTACGAAGTTGAACATCGAAAGTTTCACTTGCGGCTACGGGAGGTGAAGCTGCTCTCATTGTTCGAGTGATTTCTAAGGTATCATCTGGAGCTGGTGGAAGGCCAACACGAGATCTATAATAATTTTTGAGATTCTTAAGCTCTTCACTACCACCTAAAGTAATTAATATTGTTTTCCAGAGAAGTAGTAAAATTTTTTTGATTGGAAAGTGAGGTGCAGATCCATTACAAAATTTTGTAGTCATTTGAAATAATGTTAAAGCTAAAAGCTCATTCGTGGTTGATATGGGTTGCGTTAACTCTTCCTTAAATTGCTCTTGAAGTTTCTGTTAAAATAAAAAATTGTGATTAATTTATAAACTATTCAAAGACAAACGATTGGGTTTACTTTTTCTTCATTCGTTGCTTGGTCATTTATGCTGTTGAAAACTTCGACTATGGTGTAGATTATGTTTAAAATTATTCTTAAATCAGTAGAATCGTTTTTGTTGGATGGAGGACGACGAGCATCCGGAGAATTCAAACTTGTCTCAACTTCCATCATTAGAAGTTGAATGAGAGTTGGAAAAAGTCCTTTCTCGTAAATCCGGAAAACATTTTCTTTTGAATAACTTTGCTGTTCTTCGATGGACCAGCATTCATTGAAAACACCTTGAGCCAAATATAACAGAGCTTGCAATCCTTTGAATCTCAGTTCCTTTTTACCAAGTTCAACGGTTTCACAAAGTCTTTCAACAAACCAATTTTTCTCATTGGAATCCATTGATGACCAAGATTTTTTGACATTCCATTCATCGCACAGATCTTCAAAGCTAGTTTTGTTCAACTCAAATTCACATGATTCAGTATAAGAGTACAGCTCAGCAATTTCATTGGCATGAGTATCACAATCAGCATAAACAAAATCTAATTCACATTCCGGCTGAGCCATTATCCGCCAAAGCAATTCAATCTAGTGTTGGAGGTAAATTTACCTATTCAATTACACTTATATTGGTCAACATGTAATTACAGATAACATGGAATACCGATCAACTAGAAATAGAAAGGAAAAAAAACGCATACAAAACAAAACAAGATTAGCAATGATTTCTGGATATAAAAGGGTAACATGCAAATCTCAGATGCATTGGATAAATTACTCACCTTGTTATGAAAATTGGCCAAAATCTGGATATTCTAAATAATCTAAATTCTCGATTGTAATTAAACTATCTCAACGACTAAAAATCTGTAAACAAATATTACTTAAAGACTGTCATCTCAATTTTACATTGTTCAAGTTTCTGATCCAAAGGTTACCAAGTTTTTTTGGTTCAAAACAGTAGTGCGCCAAATTCAAAATAGAAACTGCAGTCCATTAATATTAATAATAAATGAAAAATAACTATAATAGTTAGATCTAACAATTGTAAGATAATTTAATCGGTATTGTTTTTTATTAATTTTCGCAAATTAAATTCGTTTACCGTATAATGCTCATTATCTTCCAAACCGATTAATTCTTTAAAAGTGGAATAATCGAGCAAAGCATTTTTATAAGCAAAGGAGTACAAAAATTTTTCTTGCGAGCCAATAGTAGAGATTAGTAAATTGTAAAGGATAGAAACAGTCCATTTGTCCAATTGAAATTTTTTTATGACAAAGAGCTTTCGATAAAATCACTTTAAATGATCAAACTTCGATCGCTTTTGGTAGCGACTTTGAACTAGGTTTTCCTAATGTTATTCTTACACAATTGACACAAATGGGTGAAAACGGGTAAAAAATATTCTCTTTCAAATTCAGACTCTGTAGGCTTGTAAAACCAAACAAAACTCATCTAAACCCTTTTCTTGGTGAATAAAATAATTTTCTGGTAAAACTTTCAAATGAAATGCAAAGAATGCTGCCAAAAGCAGGAACATTCAAGTTGTGATTTGAGATTTAGTGTCATCTGCAGGGACAGGGAAACTGAGTCCATCAGTACTAATAAATAATTGATCTGATGGACAGTTTTTGATAAAATCGAAGTCAAAGTTGAAACTTCGAACGCCTTTTGTTCAGCTATGGAAGACGATTTTTTCATAAAACTCTATTTAACTGATGTAAATTTTGATGGGTAACCAGAATATGCCCTTATTTTTAAAAATAAAATGTTTTATTTTCTGTAAAACAGATAAGATCGATTTTCATTAAAACCGACCGCATTCATTGACCGGTAGAGTTAGAGATCTGAAACTTATCATTCGCACATATAAATTGTTAGTACACACCACGGATTGAATAACTTTTCTAATATACCGACACTTCTCTTGATTTCGGCCATTGGCTATAGAACTTTGAACTTCAATATATAGAGACTGGCATCATCTACAATCATTATTCTTGCACCAATTTATCTCTTTAATAATTAATAATGCAATACAATTTAATTACTTTCCATAAGCGCATTTGAACAATGATGTTTGGGCTGTAATCGTACGAGTAACAACTTATTTAACAAAACAAACTCATATAAACCCATATCTTGGTGAATAAAACAATTTTCTGGTTAAACTTGCAAATGAAATGCAAAAAGTACTGCCAAATGCTCGAGCTTTTTAGTCAAAAGTTAAGACTTTGTGCATTTCTAGGGACATGAAAACTGTATCCATTGGTACTATTAAATAATTGATCCGATGGACAGTTTCGGAGAAAATCGAAGTTAAAGTTGAAACTTCGATCGTTGTTTGTACAATTATGGAAGGAGATTTTTTCATGTAAACCATAGAATTGATGTAACTTTTGATAATCAATCAGGAAATGTATTCACTTTGATGTATAGAACTTTTATTTTTCTGTAGAACGGATCAGTTCGATTTTCAAATAAACTGATCGTTTTCTATGACCGCAAGAGTTAGTGAGCTGAAACTTATTGTTAGTCCCTAAAAACTTGTTGCCTCACAATATGAATTGAATTATTTTTTCAATAGACCAACAGTTCTCTTGATATTGGCCATTTGCTCCGAAACTTTGAGCCGAGATATTTCGAGAATGGCATCATTTAAAATCATTATTCTTTCATCAATTTATCTCTTTACTAATTGCTAATGCAATACAATCTAATTACTTTCCATTTACGCATTTGAACGATGTTGTTGGGGCTGTAATAGTACGAGTAACAATATATTTAACAAAACAAACTCAAATTAGCTCATATCTTGGTGAATAAAACAATTTTCTGGTTAGCATTGCAAATGAAATGCAAAGAATGCTGTCAAATGGTCGAACATTTGAGTTGTGATTTGAGACTTAATACCGTTTGTAGGGACATGCAAACTGAGTCCATTGGTACTAATAAATAATGGATCCGATGGACAGTTATCGAGAAAATCGAAGTCAAAGTTGAAACTTCGAACGTCTTTTGTTAAGCCATTGAAGTAGATTTTTATAAGAAACTCTATGCAACTGATGTCAATTTTGATGGTGAACCAGAAAACGTATTCATTTTGAAAAATAAAACTTTGGGTTTCCTGTAAAGAACATAAGTTCGATTTAAACTTGAACCGACCTTTTTCTTTAACGATAAGAGTTAGAGGACTGAAAATCATAACTTGTCAATATGCACTGTTTTACGCACCATTAATCTAATAATTTGTTCAATAGACCAACAGTTCTCTTGATATTGCCCATTGGCTCGAAAACTTTGAGCTTCGATATTTCAAGACTGGGATCACATACGATCATCATTCTTGATCAAATTTATCTCTTTAATAATTAATAATAAAATACAATTTAATTACTTTCCATTAACGCATTTAAACAATGATGTTTGGGCTTTAATCGTCCGAGTAACAGCTTATTTAACAAAACAAACTCATCTAAACCCATTTCTTGGTGAATAAAGCACTTTTCTGGTTTAAATTGCAAATGAAATGCAAAGAATGCTGCCAAAAGCAGGAACATTAAAGTTGTGATTTGAGATTTAGTGTCATTTGACGGGACAGGGAAACTGAGTCCATCAGTACTAATAAATAATGGATCTGATGGACAGTTTTTGAGAAAATCGAAGTCAAAGTTGAAACTTCGAACGTCTTTTGCTCAGCTATGGAAGACAATTTTTTCATGAAACTCTATTTAACTGATGTAAATTTTGATGGGTAACCAGAATATGCCCTTATTTTGAAAAATAAAATGTTCCATTTTCTCTGAAACAGATAAGTTCGATTTTGATTAAAACCGACTGAATCCATTGACCGGTAAAGTTAGAGATCTGAAACTTATTATTCGCTCATAAAAAATGTTTGTGCATATCATGGGTTGAATACTTTTTTCAAAAGATCAACCGTTCTCTTGATTTTGGCCATTGGCCATAAAACTTTGAACTTCAATATATCGAGAATGGTATCATCTACAGTCATCATTCTTTGACTGGTCATTAGATTTTATTATGGGCTATAGTATAATATTAGTGAAATTAAAGAAATCGAAGCTAATCAATACAATTATGAACATTAATCTTACACATATTAAGTAACCAGTTACCTTTGTTAATCTGGTATAAAATTTGACAAGCTAACTAATACAATGTTATTACTTATTTTTGAGTTTCTTGAATTATTCAAAATTTAATCATATCATAGCCCATAATTAAATCTAATTTTTAGTTCAATAACGATTATTTCAAGTTATGCCATTTTCGAAATATTGAGGTTCAAAGTTTTATGGTAAATGGCCAAAATCAAGAGAACTGTTGATCTTTTGAAAAAAGTATTCAATGCATGACATGAAGAAACAGTTTTCATCAACAAATCATAAGTTTAAACTCTCTAACTTTTACGATCACAGAAAAAATTCAGTTAAACTGGAAATCGAACTTATCTGTTTTACGGAAAACTTAAAATTTTATTTCTAAAAATAAGGGCATATTCTGGTTACCCATCAAAGTTTACATCAGTTGAATCGAATTTCATGAAAAAATCTTGTTCAATAAATGTACAAAAGGCGTTCGAAGTTTCAAATTTGATTGCGATTTTCTCGAAAACTGTCCATCGGATTCAATATTTAATAGTACCAATGGATACAGTTTTCATGTCCCTAGAAACGCACAAAGTCTTAACTTTTTACTAGAAAGCTCGAGCATTTGGCAGTACTCTTTGCATTTCATTTGCAATTTTAACCAGAAAGTTGTTTTATTCACCTAGATATGGGTTTATATGAATTTGTTTTGTTAAATAAGCTGTTACTCGTACGATTAAAGCCTAAACATCATTGTTCAAATGTGCTTATGAAAAGTAATTGAATTGTATTGCATTATTAATTAGTAAAGAGGTAAATTGGTGCAAGAATAATGATTGTAGGTGATGCCAGTCTCGAAATATCGAAGTCCAAAGTTCTATAGCCATTGGCCGAAATCAAGAGAAGTGTCGGTATATTAGAAAAGTTATTCAATCAGTGGTGTGTACTAACAATTTTTATGTACTAATGATAAGTTTCAGATCTCTAACTCTACTGGTCAATGAATGCGTTCGGTTTAAATGAAAATCGATCTTATCTGTTTTACAGGCAATAGAACATTTTATTTCTATAAATAAGGGCATATTCTGGTTACCCATCAAAATTTACATCAGTTGGATAGAGTTTTATGAAAAAATCGTCTTCCATAGCTGAACAAAAGACGTTCGAAGCTTCAACTTTGGACTCGAATTTCTCAAAAACTGTCAATCAGAGACATTTTTCAATCACTTAAATGGACACAGTTTGCATGTCCTTACAAGTCTACAAGTCTAAATTCGAAAGAAAATAATTTTTACCCGTTTTCAGTTCATTTGTGTCAATTTGTGCTTAAATGCGACAATTGTGTCTTTTCAGAAACAACCTTCTCTACCAATCCATGGCTTTTCATCAGATCCATTCGCACAATCCGTCGTTCCATTACAGAATTTTTCCTCTTCAATAAAACTCTTGTCTTGTCAAGCTAACATACTTTAACAACAGTTGTCCCAAACTAATTACTCAACTCTGATGGTAAAATAATCCATACATTGTAAGACTATCATAAACTATTATAATCCTTACTCGTTAAAGTGCAAATGAATTTCTTATTCAATAAATTGTCTAGTAGTGATGTAAATAACATTCAATGCGAAAAGTTCACAATAACTAATGTCGATCAAAATCAAAACCAGAATTAACAGGGAGAATAGCTTATTTAGTTTAGTGTTGATATCATTGCAGCTTGTAAAGGCTTCAATAAAACATGTGAAAGACAAAGGTAACCAGGACAATTTAAGGTTCATTAATCATAATTGTACAATATTATAGTCAGGTTAAAGATGAAATAAAATCAAAATAAAAATGGAACCTTTCAGTGGAAAAAAATATTCTTAACTTCTTATGCTCATGGGTTTAACAGTTAAAGTCAGAGGTTATCATGTACCGCACCCAAAAACAAAATGATGATTAATTTGATGCAATTCAAGCTCACTTTCAATGTTCAAGAAAAGATGAAACACAGAAAATCTTGGGTGTAACATCAATCATGGTAATTCCAATCGATTTCAGCTGTAAAACTCTTTTCAATAATAAACTTGCATTCCCTCAGAAGTTTATCACCTTTAAAGCTTAATTAATTAGCTAAAAACTAATCATTTTCCCATTCATTAAATCTCAAGTTTTGTTACCTAAACGCAAAAGGCCAAGCAAAGACACAACATAAACCTAAACTGAATAACTCGGCAATTCTTGGTGATTGTGACAAAGTAGATCATTTTATTTACCTTCATCATCAACTTAAATGACCTATTTCAAGTGAAATTAATTGCAAGGGTTGAATACTTTATGGGAAGAGTTAAGTCTAAAAGCTTCAACTCATATCTAAACTGATATTTGTCCTGATTTTCAGGTTATTCACAAGCATTTCCTTATCATTCTGAATTGATCAGTTGATCAATTGAATAAGATTGAAAGTGAAAAATTTTGATAAATAAAAGACTTGAAGATGTCTTGTTTGTATTTAAAAGCCTAATGTAAAACACTTGAATTTTCACGGCAATTTTATTATTTTTAACAATAGCCGATTGTAGTTATTTAATTGCACTTCAAGGTAGTTTGGTGAATAAAATGTAAATACAATGATCAATTGACGTAAATTGCCGAATCAACAATTATTTTTGACAAGCTATTGATATAAGCTTCAAGTGGTTTCATCTTATTCATTATCATTCCGAGTCTAGTTGCAACTTTATTTTGTTGTTAAAATTTACACTAAACTCGATCAATTTTTGCTCAGTAATTTGTTTGAACCTTTGAAATTAATCTTACAGTTGATTATTCAATTGTTGGATTAATCACCTCTTAATGTATGATGGGTGATAAATGACGATAAAAGTTTATAATACAGCAAATTGTACATTGAATTATCATTAAATGCTTACCTTTCCATGATTTTCCGTTAAGATAACAAATTACATAGAAACTGTTGTTTAATCACTCAATGAAATGATCTTACAAGAATATAATTTTGAAAAAGAAAAATCTTTATTTGTAAAATAATTCTAGATTAAATTAATAACAAAATGGCAGATAACTGAAGCTGTATCATTTGCAAAAACATTGAGGAAAAGAAGAGGAAAAACATGAACATTTGAATATCATTAATTTAGATTTAGATTTAGATTTCAATTTAAGACTAAAAGTAGTAACGATGGATGGGATCAGTTAGGTTAAAGATGTATAATTAAAGGCTGTAATAATGTTTCGATGTAATAGTTGTCAAGAGATTGGTTAAGAGCTAATTCAATTGAGTCGGATAAAACTGTTGATGCGCTTAAATTGATTCGGTTGGTTGTTGCGTCCATGGATTTTAATGGTTGACTTGTCGAGATGAGTTAATCAACAGGTTAAGAATTTGAGTCTAATTGGAAAATTGAGGCGAAATTTGTAATTTGTAATGGAACCAAACCAATGTTTAAAATCATGCAATTGGAAGAGATGTTGTCAAAAAAAGTAAGTTCACTAAAAGATAAATTTTTTGGCTTTTATAGTAACTTTCAATATTTAAGTTAAAGGTTAATTGAGACTAGTATTATTATGACGAAAGAGTAATCGAGTCAGCTCATAACACCTATTAATTACTGTGAGCCCGTCAGCAGAATGGCGATTGTAAAGATTACTTCTCTGACATTCTTCTTTTCCAATAATCTTGCTAGCGTTTATTACCATAGTTATCGTTAAAGTCACTTGGAATGCGCAGGACTTTTATTTTTATCAGAATCTTCAAATTCTGGTTTTCCTCTCCTCTTTTCATATACGCAAATGATCGTACACAAAACAATTACTTCAGCAACAATTCCGAGGAATGGCCAGAGAGCAGCAAGTTTATCTTTGACTCGCACTGTCACAGTGTTATTGGCTTTGATGGCACCGTTTGCAGCCTCACAGATATATTGGGCTCTATCGGAAAACTTGACATCTTCCATTGAGAGGATCGATTTTTTGGCAACATAAGCTCCTGTTCCTGACTCTTCCACGTACGAAATATTCAGAGAAGTTATCCTTTCTTCCATCCCATCGCTGAACTTTCGATACCAAACAAAATCAATTTCATCGTCTTTGAAGGCTTGTTTCAACATAACTTCACAAACTAAATGTAAGTCATCGTCTTCAATCACATTGAATGAGTTCATATCCTTTGTATGGTCAGAAGCTTTAAATGTTGAGAATTCAGGTTTACCTAGAAACAAAAATCAGAAAAATCAATCAAAATTATTGACGTCATGCACGGTGAATAAAGGATAGATTCACATACCTCTAACTTTAATTGTTTGATTATTTGAGTTAGTCATGCAAACATAGTTGGCTTCGTCCGTGTTTCTTCTAGGATTTTCAATGGTCAAGACACGAGTTCCATTGGATATTATATATTTATCATCGTTCACGGATATTGCCTGAGGTTTAGTGATATCAATAATTTTAACCCTATTTCAATGAAATGAAAATTATTAAAATAAAACCAGTAAATTTTTGATCCAATCTTCATACCAGTTGACAAGTCCAGTCCCAGGCAAATCACATATCAATTGGATGGGTTCGCCAGACTCAAGATCAACAGATTTAGTTGACTGCATAGATACAAACTCTAAAAATACAAATAATTAAAAGAATGAGATTAGTTTATTTAATGTACAATGGGAATTGTGATTCTTGGATTGGTGTTTTGTTTACGAGTTGAAAGTTAACAAATACATTCTTTGAAAAGAAGATGTTCAAGATAAAATGCATTCCGATGAAAAAAATAAAGGAACTGATTTTGAATAACCGCCTGAAACAAGTCTACACACTTGATTATGTGACTCAAATTTTATTTTATTTGGCTTCAATCCAAATAAGAAAAAGTAACCGAGTCAATCTCATACGCCCAAGCTACTTGATTGTTCACCTTAAGTGAGGACACATTAAAAATTCAGATATGAAAAAATGAACCTAATTTTCACTCTCAAATGACTGTGATTTATAAAACAAATAAAGACAAATCTGATTATTTATACCGCTAGTATTGAATGGAAAGCAGACAATCTGATAACAGTAATGAAGCAAGGAGATAGTTGAAATTGTCTTACCTGCAATACAGATGAATAACAGGCATGGTAATAGTGTTTTGAACATCTTCAAATCAATTTAAGGCCGTTTTAGGTTAACGATTTGAGTAAAATTTAACTTGGGATGGCTTGATTGGACGGTATTAATTATAATAATCAATGTGGTTGACGCTGAAAGTGAGAAGAGAAGAAAAAAATTAGACTTGGTGGGAGAAATAAACACAACTTGGGCGTGAACAATTATTCGCCCTTTGTTAATTAGTAGCTAGTCATTAATAACTTTTAAGGTGAACAGTCACTAATTACTGCAGTCTCATTTTGTTGCGAATCAAAATGGGGTTTACTATCTATTCATATAAAAATAAACATACGTAAGAGCTTAATCAAAATTTATCCAAGAGTGGAACTTATCATCTATTGGCTAATCAGTGAAAGTACAATGAATGAATAGTTTGGTGGCAATATATTAAGATACATAGCGGGAAAATTATTAGCTATTCAATTTGGGTAAGCGTATTAAACTAAACTAGCATTGAAAATAATTTTAAACCAGGAATTCTGGATGAGTCAAGCTTCGAACAGTGAACCTTTTTTTCAATGGACAATTCAATGAAGAATGTGGAGAAATCAAGGAAATATTAAGACTGATGAAAATACAAATAAAATTTAAATATAATAGAAAAGTTCCGAGAGCACAAAATGAATAATTAGCTACACGAAATGATCAATTATAAAAACAATATTTTAAACAAGGTTTTTGGCTACATCCATGGACGTAAAGTATGAAAATACGCTAACAAATGTAATTTAAGTTTCATTTCCTTGGGTGGACAAAGATTTATTTTAATTCCCTCGACTGTAAAACTTAATCTGGTCAGTAATATAAAATATAAGGATGATGAATAAAACTTAAATTATAAATTAATTTAGGTACTGTAAGATTATCGATCAAATATACAATGTTCCAAGGTTTAATAGGTACCAATTGAATATTATTGCTATCTGTGGATCAAATCTGATCAAAGTGAGTTTCTAATAAACAACTAAAAGCGATAACTTACCTTAAATTTTTAAATAATTGATTGAATTAATGCGACAAGAAAATGAATTGAAATCCAAAATCAAGTGGAAAAACTGAAACACCTTATAGACATCAACTTGCATTTTATAAAGTAATAACATTAACCCAAAATATAAAATCTATTATTATGATAAGGTTTCGTTTTATGACAAGAGATGGCGCTATCTACTGGATGAAAAATTCATCATAAAAATTTCTAGCTTCATGAAAATTCATGAATGTATCCAATATCTCAATGAATAAACCAATATCTATCTAATTTTCACCAAAAACATTAATTTCTTTGACCTGGATTACTGTTTAAGAACCAATTAAACTCTTTGAAATCCTATTTAATGACCCTGAAGTCAGCTTTGGTTAACAATTAGAATCCAAATGAGCTTATTCAGCTCAGCATCAGTTCTGATTTATCTTCAATGACTTTAAAAAACATAGATTTGTTTTTGATTTTAACTCAACTTATCTTGATCAAAATTGGATTTACTTTAGTGTAGTAAAAATATAAAAATTTGTAAGATTGAATGCTGTTCATTGGATTACAATAAACATAGCACTGAAATATTGAGTCGACAAAACATTTAGACAAAATTTGTAATAATTTAATAAATAGAAATTATTTCAAGTTAATTCACTTAAAAGCATGATTATTTTTCGATATCTTGATTTGTAGATTTTTTTAAGCAATTTGACTAATCAGCTTTTTGTTCAAACCTGGATAACTGAATCTGTAAACAAACGAAAATTACAATAAAACAAAATTTGAAGTGGTAAGAAAGATTACCACACATTTAGAATTTAATTGAAACCAGATTTTCTCCAACAATTACAGTTATAGTCCCCTTACTGAACTTGTATTTGTTCCTTGATTATTGCAACGATCAGCGTAAGGTGTAACTGTGGGATGAAGAAAAAAAATAAGACCTATTGCAACAAAAATATATAATAACAAGAGAATGTACTGATGCGTAATTCAAAATTGTTATGACATTATGGCCACCACTTATTAGAAAAAAATGATGCATCAGCTTGTTAATACATCATCAGCAATGAGCTGTTCGAAGGAAGAAGATGAGCTTGCAATACTTGAAGCTGTGCTTGGCACTGCATTATTATCATCATCAGAATCGTCATTATCTCTGAGATCTTGGTCACCGTCAACTGGTCCATCATCACTGTCACCCTCTTCACTTGAGCTTTCTGATGAATCTTCGTTCATGAAGAAATCTTGTTGTTTGGATAATGGAGATAGGAAATAAATCATATCTCCTTTGTAAATTTCTATAGAAGGGTAAGCACAAAGCTTGTTTTCCTAAATGTGAGAATCAAAATTGAAGAAAAGAAAAAATTAATTCATTGATAATTTGGAAATAATTACGAATTACTACCTTTATATAATCGGTAATCACTGGATAAACTCGTTTTAAAGCAATAACTACCGATATGGAACCTTTGTTAGTGAATGTGGCAGAAACAACATGATTAACTTGAGGAAGGGTCATTATTTTGTAGTCTTTTGAAAGCAACATCTTTTCAACTGCCTCATTATTTTGTTCAAATAAAACACCCAACAGGGATTTGGTTGACTTGAATCCTAGAGGCTGAGTAATAAGAACGGGGACAAGAGTTTCATCTTTGAATGGATAGAGTAGAGCAGTTAATTTAGTAAAATTGGGTCCAATATTGGCAGAATTAGCCTTGTACATTTTGTATATAAATTTTTTGCCACCAAAGTCATATGGGCTTTCACCAGTTTTGACGGAAATTGTCTCAAAAAGACCAAAGTAACAAAGAGCCAAAAAAACAGTGACAGCTAAGGCGATTGATAAAAAAATTATAGATAGCTCAATTAGCATGATTGTTTTGGTGAATACCAATTTGGAAGGATGTGTGAATACAGATAGATCCAAAAGTTAAGTCAGCAATAGAAGAATGGAAATAATAAGTTCATCCAGGGTCCAAAGGAAGATCCAAAGTTAATCAAATAATTGATTTTGTTTATGGCGATATTGAAACCTTGGTGGGCTTGTATCTTTAAAAATCAAATCATTTTGGCTAATCAATCATCTTTGGTTGATTATCATTTAAAGGTTGATTACGTACAAGACAAAATTAAAATTTAACTTAAATAATGTTTACAACAAAAGTGGGTTGTTGAGGAAAAATTTGAAATTACAAAATTTACTCAAAAATGGGTTAACCAAAAAATTGGATGACAATCTAATGTAACTGAAAACCAGATGATTTTATAAACAAAAACACTTCAGTTTAAATGCAAGGAAAAAAAAGAAAGGAAAAATGAAAGATAAAAAGAAAGAGACAAAGAGTAAAGAAGAGCTTCTTTACTCTTTGGAAAATTTCGGATTTTAACAGTTTTCAGTTATTTCAGTTACTAGTTAATCTTTACTCTTTCATCTTCATATGACTAAACTTTCGGTTGAAATTGTGATTCAAACTGTTTTCCTCACAACTTCTGTCTCGATAGTTGTTTTTTTTGCAAATCATTTTTATTAATAGAAATTATTTTTTATTTTGTGCGTTCATTTTATCTTCATTCTGGTCATCATCTTGTTGAACAATCATGAGTGTTTCCAATAATCCATTAAATGTCGCTAAGCGTCTTCTCGCCAAAGGTCAGAACGACGAGGGTAAAAGGGCGAATAAAAATGCGGCAACTCCTGCAATCGTTAAAAGACAACAAGCCATCAAGAACCATGAAATATTCAATTCACCAACCGACAACTGCTTATCGCCCTGTTCTCAAGTTCTTTGGAGACCGAAAAAGGAAAACATTCTCCCGATGCGACTGAAATTGGATGACAGTCCATCCAAAGGGATTGTTACCCAAGTTTTCCAGGATGAAAATTTGGAAGAAGACCGACCAGCGCGTTTAGAGACGAGCATCGAAGAATTAAACAGTTCGACAAATGAATACAATTTTAAGTGATTCAGTGGAAGCAATTTGTAATGTAGAGACAACCCATTTTTTCCCATTTTGCTGTAACCTCAGTTTCTTTTTATGAGCTCAATAAAAATATATATATTCACTGAGTATTCTGCTTTTCTTTCTGTGATTACTATGTTTAAACTGACGTGATTTTGTTTTTTATAATTGTTTTTTAATGTGATTTTTTTATCCTTGCTTTGTATTTGAGGTATTCTTATTTAACTGTTGAGATGACCTGAGTTTTGTGAATCAAGCTGTTGGCAAGGGGGCCGGGAGTTAGCAAGACAAAGATGCAAGTTCTCAATTGATAGGAGAAACTAGAGAGAATGAGAACAGTAAATATTATAAATATACTATTCAAATCGTCTTAATCATCTATAAAAACACCGTTGCCATCAACTCTAATTGTTCTCACCTTGTAACTTTCAAGTAACCTTAATCGTTCAACACATTTTGCCCCATAATTGTCCTCTTTGCCTCTTTTTCTTCCTCTCTCTCTCCCTTTCTCTTTCTATTTTCAACCTTTTCCATACAGTAATGTATGTTTATTAGACAACACACACTTTCTTTTCAACTCATTTTTTTGTAAAAATTTGGATATCAAAAGGATATAAATTAATCGCTCCGATTTGCCAACTATGGCGGCTGGTCTATATGACATAACTAGTGAGACTCTTGGTAAAGGACATTTCGCTGTTGTCAAATTGGCTCGACATTGTTTGACTGGAGAACTTGTTGCTGTTAAAATAATTGACAAAATGAAACTCAAAAAAGAAGGATTACGACAGCTTGGATTGGAGATTAAACTATTATCACGTTTATCGGAAAAAGAACATCCTAACATTGTCAAGCTGTATCAAGTGATAGACACCAAGACTAAATTATATCTTGTCATGGAGTATCCTGGGAAAGATGTTTGTGATCTTTATGACTATATTGATCGGAAAAGCAGCAAAGGTCTGAAGGAAAATGAAGCTCGCCATATATTTAGGCAAATTTGTAGTGCAATACATTATTGTCATTCCTTAAGAATCGTTCATCGTGATCTGAAACCTGAAAACATCTTAATTGTCAACCAACCCTCCGATTGTAATATGTCTGATGATGGTCATCAATATCCTCTAGTTAAGTTAATTGACTTTGGTTTTTCAAATCAATGGGATGAAGGAGAAAAGTTGAGAACTTCATGTGGATCTTTGGCTTACTCTGCTCCAGAAATTTTATTAGGAGATTATTATGATGGAGACAAAGTTGACATCTGGGGCCTCGGTTGTATACTTTATATATTATTGTATGGTTATAACCCGTTCATGCAAATCAACGACAGTGAAACTTTAATCAAAATATTAGACTGTTCATTCACCACACCCAGGAGACCTTCCATCTGTGATTCTTCAATTCATTTAATTAAGTCGCTACTTCAACGTGATCCCAACTCCCGATTAACTATCAGTGAAGTTCTTGATCATATTTGGTTAAAAGGTTCTAAAGAAGATGACGGAAACGGATCTGAAGATGGTGTAGGTGGTAATGAAAGTAATGCTAAAGATGATATTTCCGCTGGCTCACCACATGAATCAAATGATCTCACTAAGTCATCTGTTAAATTAAACAAAACAGAATCAAACATTCATGATAAAGTCATTGATCATATGGTTTCACAAGGAATGTGTTCATCTAAAGATCATGTTGAAAGTGCCCTAAAAAAGACTCGAGATCGTGTTAATCGAACTAAATCAAGTGAATTAATTACATCTCCTGTTGAAATCTCAGTTCAGCTACCTTTGCCCATGAATGGAGAAAAATTGAATGAGAATAAATCTTCGCAAGATAATTATGTAACTGCCACCTATCATCTGTTGAAAGATAAATTAGTTCGTGAGCTTCATCATAATAATTTAAATTCTACATCTTCATCTGAATCTCCTCAATCAAAAGAAAAGCACCACTTAAAAAGTAGAAGACAACGAAAGCCACTTGTACAGCAAGCTCCCCGTTTAAGGCCAAGCTTTGGATCACCATTAAGAGACTCTAGCAATGATAAAAGCAATAACAAGTTGAATCAATTGGAAGTTTCATCGTCAGAAGATGATCAATCTTTTGTTCTTCCATTAGCTCGAAAGTGTTCCATTGTTAGTGAGGAAGGTAGTTGCGCAGGGACTGATATATCTGGTAATGATGGTCAAAATGATGGGCCTTTACTGGAGATCGGAGCACCATTATTCGAAATAGATCAACCACCAGTAGATATAATAGTTACCGATTTCAGTGACAATGATCCTAAATCAGTTGACGAATGCATTGAAGAAGGTGAAGATGAAATTGATTCATTTGGACTAGGCAATGAAGCAAGCGAAGGAAATACTGAACATCAAAAAGCCATTCAACTTAAAAATGACGATTTCACCGAAAAGGGAGAAGGAAATAACTTCAAAAGTGCTAATGTTAGCTATGTCGAAGATCCGACTTCAGTTGAAAATGAAAATGCCAACACCGATAAAGCTGTTGAAGAATTTTCTTCTCGACTTTTGAAAACATCATCAACTGATTTTGTTGCCAATCAGCTTCATCTTGTTTCAAGTTCACCAGAGTTATTGCGCGAGGATGATTATACAGAATTTTGTAACGATCAAAACGATCTTTCATCTGCTGATGTTTCTGAATCTACCCCTGACCCTGTGCATCTCTCATCCCATCGAATTAAAAACTCGCTCACCAATGCAACTTGTGTCACAGCTTCTCCCACTATGATACTCGCCGATACTCGAAATGATAGTAAAAACGATATTGGTGACCATGTTATTAATCATTTTACTTACAACTCCAAATCAACAACCAATGGCGGATCGTCAACAGCAACCTCCCTTCGAATTATCGTTCAATCAAAGTCTTGTAACAACATACTCTTCGGTGATGAAGATAAATCATGTTTACCTTGTAATACATCTTCATCATCTGCCGTTTCAAAATCTAGGAAAGGTCTTAGTAGTAATTATAGAATGAGTTCCCTTTTAAAACGAAATAAAAGTGATAAAGCTGATTGCTGCAGTATTTGCTGACCTCTCTTCACCTGGAAAAGGGTCAGTCGAGTTATCTAAATTTACAACAAAAAGACAATGATTTATTAAGCTAAGAAAAGAAGAAAAGAGACGTTAAGATACGAATTCATCATTAATGTGTTAATTAAATTATTTATTTCGTCCTTTTCTCCTTCAATTTTCAAAGCCTTTCAATAGATTATGATTCGGTGAAAGTAACTTACTTTTTTGAATTAATCTCTTCTGCCTTTTACTTTTTTTGCATCTTTGTAGAAAACCTTTAACAATCCTTTCCGATTTGCTCAGGCCAAAGACAAGACGCAATTTGTTGATCATTCATGCAAAGAAAATCATTTAAGAGCTGATTATGTTTCTTCAGTTTTGTTGCTTTTATGAGCAAAATAATTTAGCCAAGAATGTAAAAATGAAATTTCCCTCCTACTTCATCATAAGCTATCCAGTTCATCGTTGATCCACCCAAAAATCCTTATTAAAAAATAGAAAATCCTATTTGCTAACAATCTTCATGGTATAATTGTATATCATTCTTCCTTAACTTATTTAACCTGTTGTACAACAATTAATACATGCCAATTCTGTAAATCTTCCCATCAATCGAAAAAAATCCCTATTAAAACAAAATTGCTGTGTTCATTTTGTGTTTCGTTTAACTACACAATTCAATCATATAAATATCCGATAAAATTTTCTTAATTTCAATTATAAATATTTCTAAATAATCAAAAATTTAATAATTCCAAGTTAATATTGTGAAAAATAGGGAAACTAAAAATGAATTTTGGCATACATCATATCGCTATCTTATCAGCTTATTTACGAGCGAGGTCATAGTTGTTCCAAAACCATTTGACGGATGTTCGAATACCTTCTTCGATTGGAGTGAACACGAAATCAGGTAAGTGTTTCCTCAGTTTGAGGTTAGAGGCTGTTTTTTTCAACTGACCATCACTAAAACTGCAGTCATTGATTAAGTTAATCTTTATATCAGGAGCTACCTTATTAAACGATTCTGCAATTAGCTGAGCTGCATCATTGATAGTTATCTCGTCTTCTTCATCAACACTCAATATGATGGGTTCCGTTTGTTGATAGTTAAAAGAAACCCAAAGCATTAAACGAGCCAAATCAAGGGAATAAATAAATTGTCTCATAGGTCTTCCAGAGCCGCATACAGTTAATTGAGTCTCTTTTGTACCTGTTGAAATAAAATCATATGTTGTTGAATTTTCAATTTCGATTTCAATAACAAATTAAGCTACCTTTTTGAATAGCATCTTGAACTTGTAAATAAGCTTTATGAATGAGACCAGGAATTACGTGAGAATCTTCCAAATTAAAGTTATCATAAGGCCCATAAACATTGGTGGGTATAACTGAAGTAAAAACAGGAATATTACAGCCGGATTGTTTTGCTTCTTGCTGCCATTTTTGAGCATATCCACGATTCAAAACATCAATCATTCGTTTTGCATAAGAGTAACCAAAATTTGAATCATGCGGAGGACCAAGATGAATCTGGTTAAATTATAGTTGATAAATAAAAACACGATTAAGTAATTATTGGTTTTGGGAAACTAAAATACAAACCATAGTCTCATCAATAGGGTAAACAGTTTTATCTGGAAAGATGCAAGTTGATAAGCACGAAACACATTTTTCTACCCTCAATTCATCACACAGTCGAAGTACGTTGTCATTGATCAAATTATTGATTCTGAAAAAAGATAAATTATTGGCTTCGTTTTTAAACAAGCCACCAACCATAGCAGCTAAATGCAGAACATAATTTGGTTTATGTTGATGGAATATCTTCTTGGCCTCTTTATAAACACTTAGATCACCGTCTTTAGATCCAAGAAACACGAATTTTATTCCAGGGTAATCTTTTCCGTCATTTTGCTTGACAATCTCTTCCACTGCTTTTCCAACTAATCCGGTTCCTCCAGTTACCAAAAAGACTTTCATGTCTGTAGTATTACCACTGATATCGGCCATAACTTAAGGCAGCTATACTTTAGATCCAAAGATGAATTGAAGATGTCGAATAACAAATCAATATTTTAATTTAGACTGCAAATTTAACCTACACCAATGAAAATAATGATTTTTTGATGAAAAAATTTAGTTCGCAGCTGATAAGTTAAAGAGAGAAACTTACTTTTTGTTTGCAATATTAGGAAGACAGTTCAATAAAGATACTCCATCAGGTTTATTGTACAATGTACAAATAAATTACTGAGATATTTGCTGACGAGACAGGTATAGACAAAAAATAATTGAATTGTCGTATTGATAAATCTGTAGAAATCATTAATAAAAAAATGAGAACAATAGTAAACAAATTGGTTGTTGAGATTATAGTGAGCCTTAAAAGTATCAATTGGAGCTCAATTTGAATTATTGTTGGTTCGCAAAGAAAATTGTTTCTCAAGTTTATGATATCGCAATTTCAGCTTCATCCCTGACTAAGACAATCTTGAAATTATCAGTAATCATATTATTATTATATTAACATAATAATAGCCTATTAGGTCTGAAATTCACAATGTGATGGCCATAGTTCAGTGAGAATTAAGAGATGATCAGATGTCAATATTACAATAAGCTAAATGATCTGATTTTAATTTTCTTCAAATTATTGAGTAATTTATTGGGCATTCAGATTTGAACTTGATTGGTGAACTGTTAAATTAAAATATTCCAGAAGAAAAATTGTTATCACATGGGTTTGATTCAATAAATATTTTATAAACACTAAAATTTCAGAATTTGACTATCCCGCGTCAAATGACAAAATATTTACTTTTTCTGATAGGCCCTATCATAAGCAGCGTCATTATCAACAAACATCCTGCGAAGCAATTTTCCGACTTTTTTAATTTACCATCAAATTTTATCAATTAACACCTTGATTTATTGATTACCTGTATCCAGTTCTATATTTTTTTATCTTTTTCTCTTGGTGGCCACATCACCAATATCAATAATGATAAATTTCTCTTCATTGACCGGTTCTGGTGGTGGTGGTGGTTTACAACCCGAGGAATGGTCGATTCCCAATGAAGATCAATCTAATCAACTAGAAATAAACATTCGTTTGAAGCAGAGTGAGATAAAAATTCTGCTAAATGAACTTGAAACGCTACATCAAATGATGAACCAGCTAGAGAATCAAAAATCAGAGGCCAAAAAACGATTACAGGATATGTCTTCTCAGGTATTTCTTGTTTATTACATTTTATCAATCAACTTGATTATTCTAAAATTTGTGTATTTGACAGGTTGAAAGCTTGCGAACTCAGACGGATCAATATAAAGAAAGTATCGAAACACAAGAAAATGAAATTAACGCAAAGAAACGAGAATTGGATGAACTAAAATCTGAAGAAAATCAAATGCAAAACAAGCTATCTGAAGTAAAGAAGTCAGTTGATGCCATATCGAGAGAGCTTGCAGATAATGCAATTACAATGAGTCAATACAAACTAAAGCTGGTAAATCTTGAAGAGTACGAAAATCGCTTGGAAACCAGTAACTCCGAACTAGAATCTGCAATAATTAAAGAGGACATAGATAAATTAAACGGTATTTTAGCTCGGCCGATTACTCCTATCAGTGAATTGATTTCGGTAAGAATTATGAAGCAAAAAGTGAAATACTGACATTCTTATATATATTTCTTGAATTTCAGGAGTTTCCCGAGATCAAAGACGATCTGGAGTCAGGTTCGTTTATGGATAAAGATGCAGGCTTCATGTCATTTGGAAATGAATTTCAGCATGATCCTTTCGCTGGTGAAGATCTTTTCAATGAAGGTAATCAAACAGACAGTCAAATGTTTACAAACATTAGATTAACAACTTCACTCTTTTCAGATGATCCTTTCAAAAAAGATGTTTCATCTAGTGATAATTTCTTCGCCAATGACAATTTTTCATCGCCAACGGATTCTGGTATCAAATCAGCTTTCGATCCTTTCAGTAATCCACAAATCAACAACCGTAAAGTAAGAATTCATTAAAAATTTCATCTTTTATTCACTCGCTTATTGCTTTCTAGTTAAGAACAATTTTCAGAAGAAATGTTTAAAAAAATGTTCATATTTTTTTCAGGACTCAAACGTTGACCTATTCGGAGCTGATCCATTCTCTCTCAGTCCTCGAAGCTCTAGTCCTGCTCCAGAACTACCTCCTAAGAAATGTAAAGCACCTCCGCCAAGACCTGCTCCACCAAAACCTGGAACTAAACCACCGCCACCCAGACCAGCTCCTCCATCTGAAAGTTTTAAAAAAGCCGTTGATCCATGGGGAGCTTCCGCTGATGATCCTTTTTCTGCTTCCACTACAGCATCTGTTGATAATTTTGATGCTTTTGGATCCAATTTCGCTGACTTTTCTGCTTTTGAACGTAAATAGTTGAAGATTTCTTGAGATAAAATCTAAGCTGAAAAATGATCGAAAGGCAAAGAAGTCAATCTGAAAGTTGACATCTTACGTGATTTGCTCAGTATGTGTGTAACTAAAAGCAAATCAATAGCAGTTTGTTAATTCTTCAAATGAAGATAATAAATAATGTCGTTTTAACAATTTAATCTTTTCACGTTGGTACTACTGAAGACAAAAGTATTGATATATTCCATAATCTTTTTAACATCCGTTATAAAGAAGTATTTATTTATAAATTTCAGTGACTTTAGCAAATATTGGAATCTACGATTGTTGTCGAGAATATGGTTTGACTGATCTAAATATACAATTCAGATTTTACATCCAATTTTCAATCCATTCAACATTTAATTTCAATAAAAAGGATCACTCTAAAATTGTTTTATTTTTTCAAACAAGATGATACTTGTCAAGATTTAAGTTGAGTTCCTATGGCCACTGTTTTCTTTCAGGGTCATCAACGAGTTTGCGAGATTATGAGATTGTACAAAAAAATACAACAGTAAACAAAAATGATGAAGGTTGAGATGTAAAATAGATGAACAGCAATTATTTTGCTTATTGCTAAATCAACACGGCGACCTGGGCCATAAGTTTTAAAAAAAGACTCTTTATCAGTATAGAATTCATTCATTATTTGTTCCTTCTCTTTCCATAAATTTCTTAACCATTCAATGTTTAGTTTGCTACGTTTTATTTTGTAGACTTGACTTAATGAGGTTGCAGTTCCAGTGGAAATGTTCACGAACGGAAGAGATGCTGATCCATTTGATAAATCATTTTTACTGGATTCATTTTCGTCTGAATTTAAGCTTTCATCGTCCAATATATCATGAGTAATTTCATATACTCTAAATAAGAAGTACACTGGTTCAGGTTTAATTCCTTTGGCAATGTCGAAAATTGTTATCGGATTTTCTTGATCACAGTAAAGTATTGTTAAATCAACAATATGGGTTATACCAATTCTTTCATCTAAAAGTTCATCGAAAGCTCCATATCGAGGCCAAACTGTTCGATTTAATTGGGGTAGATTATTTTTCGTAGCAAACTCAGCATTCTTGAGCAGCCGTTTATATCTGAAGCCACCTATAAAGGTAAATAAATAATCAGTTAACATCAGTAATAATCAGTACTCTCAACTTCTCGAGAAAAACATGACACTTTACAAGTGTAATCAGTAAGATAAGATTACCTTCAGGAAAAAGGATAAAACAGTTTTTCTTTTGATCACTCAATCCTGTACAATGTTTCACAAGATCGCCTTTGACAAAACTCTTTTGGTTAAGAAAATAATCTTCGTGGGTCAAGGAGACAGGACCAAAATTAGAATATTTAAATTCAGCTGACATAATCCACATCATAATATAATCAGGATTCTGGCTTAATTTATACATTAGCAGGGGCACATCCCCAGTGCATTGATGATTACCGACAATACATATTTTGACTGGTTTATTTTTATCAACATTTTTACGGGCATCGGGTAATTCAGCTCCACAATTGTAAACTGTTGAACGAATCAAGTAATTTATCGTTAGTAAAGCAAATATATAAAGCAATCATAGAATGTCAAAGATTATTTTAATTGTTGAGCGTAAAACAAAAATGACTTACCATATATACCGGCTAGCCATGACCACGACGAAACAGTGTAAAGACACCAGTTGTAAAGAAACACTTCAATTCTATTGTACAAATTTGAAGCGAACAGTCTTAGCGGTAAAAGCACTATCCAGTTAAGATACAAATAACTAAGTACATGATAAATATTATGGACAACAATCACAAGAAATCGGATATAACCATAAAGTGAGATTAAAGCTTTCATTTATGATTTCACAAGGTAAGACAACCAAAAATCTTAAAGAAGACTAAAGTGCCGGATGGTTAAGTAATCAATAGAAGGTAAATGAGAATTGATCTTGAATAGAAAACACAAAGATGTGATGATTATGAAGAAAGCTTGGCGAACATAGACTACTCATCTCTATTATTATCTTCAAATTAATTTTAGACACTTGATCAATGATTAACTGATTTTGATGGCGTCACCTTTCAAAACAGTATTGAATGGATTAATACAAAAAAAAAAGGTGAATTCAAGTAAACGCATGCTCGGAGTGCTTACAGTTGCTCGCTTTCGATAATTATATCGATGATATCGGCAATTCTGTCAAATTATCGATAATTTTTGAACGTTTTTAAAACCTCAATTTCAGGGATTCAGTGTGCAATGTAATCATGAAAACGAAGTCCATAGATGGAAATTTTCAACAGACACTCAATTGATCAAAAAACATAAGATTCAATCTGAAATAACTGATAAGTCCCATAAAACCTAAACATATGAAGCTAGAGTCTAAACTGAAAGCTCTTCAGTCCAATTCCTAATTCGTAAAATGTTATTAAATTCAGATTTCGGTTTTGATCTAACAATCAGTCTTATTTTGATATTTTTACGGTTTCGGTATTATTCAGATTATAATTTGTCTCAACAACTGAATAATTTTCAAATTTCAACTGGTTTAGTTTATTTGACTGAAAATAGATGTCACTTTGATTACATTGTGTATAAAAAATATTCAAACATGAGATTTTTAACAAACGGATGTAAGGACCGAATGATGATTTAGACGAAAGATAATTTGTTGAACAAACTAGTTTTTAAAAACAACAAAATTATGATTAAATTAGGATAGCCTTTCCTTCCGCTGATAAAATTGTTTATCATTATGTATTAAACAAACAATAACGATGTGTTAGATTTGATACTTAATTTGTTGTACTTCTTACTTTTCTAGTATTTTATTTATCGCACTTATCTTGATTCTAATAATTTGAACTATCTTTATGAGTTTATAATAGTTGATGATATTGAAATATGAAAAATTAACCCTTGATCATTGAATAGATGTTTATCAATAATTTTAAACATTTGACTATCCCGCGTTTGTTTCTGCAAAAATATTTAATACCACCTATCATAACATATAACATACGCAGCGTCATTGTCACTTAGCATCTGGTTCCTGCGAAGCAACTGTCCACTTGATATAATTATTTTTTCTATCGATATTTATTTAATTTCACCTTAATTTATTGTTTCATTTCAAACCAGTTACATTCTTTGTGGTCCAAAGTTACTGTTTATCGAGTCACCAATATCAATAATGATAAATTTTCCACCATTAACCGGCTCTGACGGCAGTGCACAAGCCGAGGAGTGGTTGATTCCTCAATCAACAAAGTTAAAATACACTCAACTATTCAATACACACGATCTTACTAGAACTGGATTTATTTCTGGACCACAAGCAAGGAATATTTTTCTTCAATCTGGTCTTCCTCAAAAAGTGCTAGCTCAAATATGGGCTTTAGCAGATTATGATGTTGATGGAAGACTAACTTGCGAAGAGTTTATTCTGGCAAATTATCTTATTGAGCGTGTACAGCGAGGTGAACAAATACCCACAGTTTTACCTCCTGAATTAGTGCCACCAGCCCAAAGAAAATCAAGTGTTGGTTCTGCATATTCACCTCCCAATGGCTTAAATGAATGGGCGATTCCTCAAGCAACAAAGTTAAAATACACTCAAATATTTAACACACAAGATCTTACTAGAACTGGATTTATATCTGGACCACAAGCAAGGAATATTCTTCTGCAATCTGGTCTTCCTCAAAAAGTGCTAGCTCAAATATGGGCTTTAGCCGATCAGGATGTTGATGGAAGACTAACCTGTGAAGAATTTATTCTAGCAAACTATCTTATTGAGCGTGTACAGCGAGGTGAACAAATACCTACAGTTTTGCCTCCTGAATTAGTGCCACCGACCCAAAGAAAAGCCAGTGTTGGTTCTGCATATTCCCCATCTAATGGTTTAAATGAATGGGCAATTCCTCAGTCAACAAAGTTAAAATACACCCAATTATTCAATTCGCATGATCAAACTAGAACAGGATTCATTTCTGGGCCACAAGCAAGGAATATTCTTCTTCAATCGGGTCTTCCTCAAACAGTTCTAGCTCAAATATGGGCTCTAGCTGATTATGATGTTGATGGGAGATTAACTTGTGAAGAATTCGTTCTAGCAACTTATTTAATTGATATTGTAAAAGCAGGTAGTCCTTTGCCTACAGCGTTACCTCCAGAATTGATTCCACCTAGCCAACGTAGACGATCATCATCCGTTACCTCACAATCATCTGTTACCTCACGCGGTCTTGCTACATCAGCCAGTCTCATCGGATCATTAGATGAGATCAATGTTGGAGCTGATAGTAAGAATAATATTACTACTTTTGAAGACAAAAGGCGAGAAAACTTTGAAAAAGGTCAAGCTGAACTAATAAAACGACGTCAAATGTTACTTGAACAGCAAAAAAGACAAGAAGAAGAACGTGAGAAGAAGGAAAGAGAAGAACATGAAAAGAGAGAACGAATAAGGTTGGAAAAGGAAAAAAGGAAACAACAAGAATTAGAGAAACAATTACAAAGACAAAGAGAACTCGAAGCTGCTAAAGAGGAAGAAAGGCTTAAGCAACTGGAGCAGAGAGAAGCTGCTCGACGCGAAATGGAAAGACTCAGAATGATTGAACTGGAAAATCAAAGAAAACAAGAGATGCTTAATCAAGAACAGGAAACTGCAGCTCAGTTAAAATCCAAGAAAAAGAGTTTGATGATCGATTATGAACAAGTTTGTAACCAATTTAATCAATTACAAGAGCAAGTGAATGAATCAAGGAAAAAAGTTAATGACTGCAAGACGGAAATTGACAAAATGAGAGCTGAACGAGATGTCAAATTGAAAGAAATCAATTTTCTTAAAACTCAGATGAAAACCCTACAAGATCGACAACTTTTAATTGAACAAGATAAAATCAGTTTTTCAGCGCAGTTGAAAGATCTAGCTACTAACAATATTACTGGTATTACTGACTCTGCCCAGTTTGCACTTCAAAATAAAAAGATAAAAATTTCACAACTCAAAACCCAAATTGAAGAATGTGAAAAAGAAAAACTGTCGAAAAGTAAAGATATGCAAAACAAAAGTGCTGAACTCAGACAGTTGAAGGAAAAGTTTGAAACGTTAATCAGTAGGGTTAAGGCCTTACAGGAAACTTATGACCGTCAAATACAAACAGCTAATGAAATTGTCAAGAGTAAACAGAAACAGATAGATAAACCTGTCGAAAGTGCTTGGAGTGAACAAGGAAATGATGCCTGGAATACCGCTCATGATGCATGGCCAACTACCGATACCAATTCCAACTTTGACGCTTTCTCAGCTGACTTTCAAGCTAGTTTTCCAGCAAGTACAACACAAAATTCTGATCCAGGGACTAAATACCGTGCAGTTTTTGCTTTTGAAGCTAGATCTCAAGATGAATTGACAATTAAAGATGGTGATATTATTATAGTTAGGCCTGACCCAAATGCTGCACCCGGTTGGTTACAGGGTGAACTTGATGGAAAGATTGGTTGGTTCCCTGAGGCTTATGTTGAACCTTTAGAATCAACGGAAACTCCAATTCTGCAAGCTCAGGATGCTTTCCCTGAGCCTGAAGTAGCTTCAGATACTTTATTCAGACAACAAGTTAGCACATTCGAAGAGTCTAAACCTATTGACTCAGGATTCTTGGATAACCTTACAACAGCAGTAGCAACAACAACAACAACAACAACAGAAACTCCTGCAGAGACTTATATTGACATAAGCATGCGAAGTTTCCCATTGAATGCAGTAGCATTATATGAATGGTCAACATCCGAACCTAATCATTTGACAATCAATAAAGGAGATATTATCAATGTTAAACAGCTCAAAGATGAGTGGCTTTTAGGAGAAATTGTTGACAGAAGAGGGTGGTTCCCAAAGTATATCGTTAAACCTATTTCAGGAAATATTGCATCTGAAACAGACTTAGAACCCATATATCATGTTTCAATGTATCCATTCCAATCTTTAGAGATTGGAGATCTTGCATTCGAAGCCGGTGAATTAATCAAAGTAATCAAAAAAGAAGGAGATTGGTGGTCAGGTGAAATCACACCTGATCGTATTGGTATATTCCCATCTAATTATGTCAGAGAAGCTATGGTTGAAGAATTGGTGAGTAAAAATTCAATACTGATTTTAAGAGCAATGCTCAACCTACTTTGAAACATTGAAGAAAGTCCACCGAGATTGTAATTTAATTACATAATCTCTACTTGGAATTCTTTTTCATGTATAAGATGAAAGCAATTTTTATTGCATTCTAACCTTTTCTAATTTCTCGTCTTTTTCTTTTCCAGCCGATACCATCAACTTTTGCACCTCCACTTGCGGTGCCTGTGACAAAGACAATAAGTTTAGAGGTAAAACAAATGTAAAATAATTTATTTTTCAGCTTACTAACACATCTTTCAACTCTCCTAATGCTTACCAATCATTAGAGGAAGGACTCGGATACTCCATCTCGATCAGAATTTGCGGCTAGTCCAGCTCGTTCTGTTGATAGTCCCAAATTAAAGGTTACTTGATCTCATCTATACTCTGATTTAACTTTTAGTTTGATTATTTTCTGTTATCATCATAGCTGTTAAGCCGTTAGAATATCTTTTTTTGTCCATCCTAATTTCTCATGAATTACTCAATTTAATCTAGCTTGTAATTTCATTTGAAACTGTTTATTGTTTTCTTTTTAGATTTATAATTTTTTCAGATTTATACACCTCTTTAGATTCACATCAGTTTGAAAATCTCATGATAATGTTACAGTTTTTTGAGCTCCATGAGATTTAATGTACTTTTTTTGTTTTATCAGCACAAAAAGGGCGTTTAAGATTACTCATTATATATTTTTCAATTGCTTTTGTTTATCCTGATTTTGAATTGTTTTGTAATCACTACCATACTGTATCATTTACCTTTTATTTGCTTTATGCATTTTGAACAACAATAAGCTAAAACAATTTTATTTTTTAATTCATTTAGAAGGGTAAACTTAAAAAACCAGAAATCGTTCGTGTTATAGCTCCTTATAAAGCAACTGGGCCTGAACAGCTAAACTTAGAAAAAGATCAGCTAATTCAAGTTCGCAAAAAGAATGCATCTGGCTGGTGGGAAGGAGAAATTCAAATCAAAGGACAGAAACGTCAAATTGGATGGTTCCCTGCATCATATGTAAAATCTTTATCTGGTTCTGGTGCCGGCTCTGGAGGAAGTTCAGCTCGATCAACTCCAGATCCAAATAAAGCAGAGAGTGAAACAATTGGTACTTAATCTTCCCCGTTGTTAAATCTCTCGCTTCTAAACTAACCCATTCTAAGAACATCAATCGACTTTTCCTTCATTACTAATCACTAACTGTCCAAGGCATCTTAACGTCTTTTATCTCATAACTCACCTTGATTCTTGTTTTCGCTAGTATTTGTTTGCTTGTTTTAGATAGATCGCTTCTAAAATAACCTGCGCTAGTCCCTTGTTTTTTTTTATTTTATTTTTTTGTTTTAACCTAACTTATGTTTTGCCATTTCAAAAATTGTCAACTTCAGAGAAAGTCATGTCTTTGTACCCATTCGTGGCTCAACATGATGATGAACTTAGTTTTCAAGCCAACGAGGTGATTAAAGTTCTTTCCAAGGATGATCCTACTTGGTGGAAAGGGCAACTAGAATCAAACAATGCAATTGGAGTTTTCCCATCTAATTATGTTCAAAGTTTGGCTGATGCAAATTTTAGTAGATGTAAGTTATCTTCGTGAAAAGTAATCCCTTTAATCAACTTGTTTATCCAATTTTGTTGCAGCTCATTAGATTTTTAAAACACTAGTTTTTTATTTCATTTTATTGTCTATCTTAGCATTGAGAACTAGGTGATACTCTTGAAGAAAAAACCTGGCATCTTTTTAAACGCTAAGATAGTCAATTGTTAACCTTGCCCCGTCACGTAATAATTATGCGTGTTTTTTTCTCATTCACTTACAGAAGTTCAATAATTTCTAAAGCAGATTTTTTCCTTCCTTCCTTATTTTAGGAGGATCTTTAAAGATTAAGAAAATTGACACACAATAGAGGTTCTAGAGGCAATAATTAACGGGAAAGAGAGAGACCCACTAGTCACACAATTCATGGCCATAATCTTTGCTGGAAATATGGACACAACTTTTATAACCCGTCTTTTTCATTCATCTCCATTGATTACTCATCACCAGATCTTTTTTGCCCAATCGCTAAGCGATGCGCGAGTGTTTTGTATCACCTTTGGAAAAAAATGAATAGATCACCTGAATCTATCTATTGTTCTATAGATTTATATTTCTCTCTTGCCTATCTTCTTCTCCTTCTTTGCCTAATATCATCTTCTTTTGAGTTAAACAAAGTTCCCACTATATTGTATGATTTTTGCTGCCAAATTTTCAAATAATTAGTCAGGAAGTTAACACTAACTTAACTCAAGTTTTACAAAACCCTAGCGTTGCATCGTCTTCCTCCTCACACCCACCCACAACTATTCTTCCTCCTCGATTCCCTTTCATTGAAACTCTTTTCTCTCACTCCTTTTCAAACTTCTAGTCTGCTTTTTCATCTCTTGAGCTATCATTTTTTTTGGCCACCTAATTTGTTTGCTCAGTACTAAAGTTTACGAGTTGTATTATCTCTCTTTGGATTAAAACGGAATGAATATAACTTTTGGATTAATTGGCTTAAGTTTCATTGTGATGTGCCATAGATAAGATTAATGATCAATTTCGTGCCGTTTTTCCCAGTTAATATTTGAATAGTGTTTTTCGTTCACCATCAATCCTCTTTGTTACCAAACATCATTTCACCTTTACCTTCTGTGTTAACCTAATGAGTGCTAATGATGACCAAATTATATCATGTCTTTAGTTGTTTTATCACTTCCATTCAAAGTCGTTCCCGGTATCTCAATGCTATTCTCATTGCCCTTGCTTATGACTAAGTTTGACCCCTTACTATCTATCGCAATTTCATTAACTAAATCACTTTATTTTCTCATCTCTTTCCCATTAATTGTTACTCCCGGGTCTCACCTTGTACTTTCTCTCTCATATCGTCTCATATCATTTGTCCGTCTCCAAGTTTCACTCCCAATAACACCTAAAGAAACACCTTACTTTTCAATTGCACTCTATCCACCATCTTACCATTGAAACCCATTGGACGTACAAATTATTGGTTTGTTGAATTATCTTATTTTCAAAATTCAGTGTTTTTGCCTATTGATTAGTGGGTCTCCTCTTTTCACTATTATGTTTCTTTGTCCTCTGATTTGTTGATTATTTTGTTTCTCTCACCATTTTCAATTCCCAACTCCTTAACTTGTAGATGATATTTGTTATGAAAAAAACATCTTTCCTAACCTATTCGTGATTTGTCTGATTCAACTTCATAGTTAGTCATCAGTGTAAACTAATCATATTGCTCACTAATGAACTAACTTTGAAGCCTTTTAAGGATCGATAGAGAATCTAATGTTTTTCAAAATTACGATCATTAATCATACATTTCATTGGCTTGATATAAGTCTGTAGCTGAATAGTACTTTCATTGATCAACAATACATTTGAAAGCATCTTAATTGAGAGCAAGAGAGATTAAACGATGAATAAATAGATTTGGAAAAAATGCTAAATAGTTCAAATTACCTCCTTTATCCTTCACTTGAATTATCCGTTGAATTTTTTATTTTGTTAATCTAAAACTGTTGATTTTTTTTCCTTGAAATTTTGTCAAATTTTCTGTTTCATTATCTAATGGTGCCTCCAAGAAAGTGTATTGGTACTGATTTTAATTTTATCATTTATAATGCTTATTGCATTATTACATTGATTTGAGCTTGATTTATAACCATGTTTTTAGCAGATTGAAAGAGACTAAAGAGTTTCAAGTTTTTTTAACCTTTTTTAGTAGCAATCAATTTTAATGATGATCACAAAACTATTGAATATCACCAATACACTTTCCCAGTCATCACATCCAATCTAGACAATTATGAGAAGCGACTTGTGTTAACATTGAATCTCTCATTCCTCTGTAATTAAATTAGGTATTACAATTTACAATTGATGTTAAAACTTAAAGTGAATGAGTGATTATATAAATAACAAATTGAATGTTCATCGATCTGGTGAAAATCAAGTAATTAAAACTAAATAATAATATGGAATTCAATTGTATGATCAATAGACCTAAATCAACTTCAATTCAATCTACTTCATTCATTCAGCTTTAAAACCTGAAAAGACGTTTTGTTGTGATAATTATGGATTGAACACACAAAATACAAATGTACTCATTCCTAAATCTAAGCAATAACAAATTTGATTTATCTTAAAACGTGTCTGTCCCTTTATTTCACCAAATTTTCATTATCTTGGTCAATATTTGAATATCTTAATAATTTTTTTCTTTATCATTTTCTAGACAGTCCAATAAGTAATGGTGACCAATTGAATGGAAGTTCAAATGAGCGACAAAATGAAGACGAACGTCAAAAACCAATACAAGAATTGATTGCAACCGAAGAAGTTTATGTACATGATTTAAAGAATGTAATTAGTGTATTTGAAAAGCCATTACGGCGATCCAATGTGATATCGAGTGAATCATTAGACACAATTTTCCTCAACTGGACTAGTTTACTTGAATTCAACTCTAAATTTCTGCAAGCTTTACTCGAACGGCGTGCCTATTATTTGCAAAATAGTGATGGAACTGTTGAACTGATTGGTGATATTATTGTTGAATATATTCCTGGAATGATTGATATCTATATTGGCTTTTGTAGTCACCAGTTGAAAGCTGCTAAATTGTTGCAAAAGAAGACTGAGAATGATGAAGCATTCCGAGAATTGGCAAAAAAATGCTCAATGAACAGGAAAACAAATGGCCTACCATTAGGAGCTTATCTGCTTAAACCAATGCAGAGGATAACCAAATATCCTTTAGTTGTAAAGAAAATTTTATCAAATACTCCAAATGATCATCCAGATCGTGAATCTTGCGAACGAGCTTATGAGTTGGCACAAAATTTGTGTGATGCGGTTAATGAAGCCTGTCGAAGTCAAGAAAATGAAGAGCGTCTTGATTGGATTCAAAATCACGTTAAATGTGAAGGCATCGATCAAAATATTCATTTCAACTCAATGACCAAATTTATGGGACCACGTTTGATCTTAAATTCAGGATGTTTAACCAAAGTCAACTCTGGCAAAGAATTAGTCGCCTTTTTGTTCAATGACTTTTTCCTCTTAACTGTACCTGTTAATCAATCTGCTCGTTTCAATAATCTTTGGGCTTCTGAAAAGGGAATGGCTAACTCATACAGAATGTACAAAAGGCCAATATTTTTAAATGACATGGAGCTAGTTGATGATGCGACACTCCAATCAGTTCCCAACGGAATACTGAACTCATCACCATCATTTACTTCCCCATTTTCCTCTGAGAACCTGAATTTCATTTTGAAGATAAAATCAACGGAACGGGTTTATACTTTCAAAGCGACATCTAATAATGATCGAAACAATTGGATACGCAGTATAAATCTGGCTAAGCATGAATATTCAGAAAAGCTTGGTCAACGTAGAAGTCGTTTAAGTTTATCTTTAAGTAAGTAATAATTACGCTCCTTACTATTAGCATTATAATATAATGTCTTATTGGATGTTATTTACAATGAATTCTATATTTTTACTTTTTAACAGACGAACCTCCAGGAAATGGTATCGGTCGATTACTGGTAACGGTATTAGAAGCTGTCCAATTATTTACTCGTAATTCAACACTAAATAGTTATTGCCGTGTTAGCGTTGGGGACAAATCTTCCGATCAATCAAAATATAGACAAATTTCCGAAACCAAAGTAGCCAGATCTTGTTTCCCCACCGAAAGAGATAAAACAAACAACCATGGATTGGTGCTATTTACAGCAAATTGGAATTATTCAATGCAATTTATTCTGAAAGAACCTCTTCAAAATACTTTTTTAACATTAGCTTGTTTTGATGAAGATCCATTTGCTCCAGATTGTAAGTATAAATCATAATATTATAACAATCAAGAAATTTCTATTGAATCATTTTTATACTTAATCACCTTTTTTGCTATATTTTGTAGTACTTATCGGACAAAGCACTCTATCACTTGACGATCTTGCGGAAGAGATTAAAGACACGACTGCTCGACCACTGACCAAAGCATGTAAACTAAAATGTGCTGATAAAATTGGCATGAACATAAACCCAGTCGTCTATTTGAAATTAGACTTGCTACTTTTTTAAATGCTCAATCTTGAATGGTTTTCATTTGCTTTAAGATTGCTCACTTTATTATTTATTTATTTTTCTAGCTGTAACATACTTAGCCACCAACACTTTGTACTTAATGTGTAGACAACACTTGTCACTTGATCATACTCACAATTCAATCATCATTTATACCATTCAATTAAATTTGATTCAATTACCATGTAAATTTCTTTCCATTATGATTGTAAATCACGACATGTCAGAGCTTAGATTTCACCATCGATATCAGTTCACCGAAATACTTTCAATCATCAAACCATACTGTTAATCGGTAATAAATATTCAATTCACACTCTCGGATGGATTACATGAACTGTATTATTTATATTCAATGTATCAGCTCATTTAGCTCATTAGCACATATTCAGCCCTGATTTAAGTATCAATATTCAATAACATTCAAATTTCTGAATGTTCAGTTGATATGAATTTACAATTCAAATCCTTTCAAATTAATCTGTTTGACTACCAATCACATTGTATATTCAATATATAATATGGTCACAGATAGTTTAACGCAGCTCATCAACACTTATCAAACTGTCGCTAAATTAACTTTTCTTGTTTATAAAGACTGAAATAACTGATTAACGTAGAAATATGAAATTTTATTGAGTTATTAATATCATATGATATTTGCTTTATGCTAATGTGATGCAGTAGTTCGTCGTATAACTTTTATCTATAGTTTTTGCGGGAACATGGACTTTAATTATTCTAGAGATATTTGAATAGTAATGAATGACTTTTTATGCTGACATTACAATGTAATTACTATCTCTTGAATTGATAATTAAGACATAAATTGCAATTGAGTTCAAGACAAAATGATTCGAAAAGACATCATTTTAACGTCAGATTCTCAATTCAACTGCTAATACTTAATCTCGAATTTCCCAAAAACCTGTCAAAAATTAGACTGTTGTGGTTTTATCTGGCAACATAAAAAAATTAAGCGCTACTATTATATTTTCGAGATATCGATGTTCAAAGTTGCAAGAAAAATGGCAAAAGAGTTTAATTTTTGATATCGAAAAAAAGTTTCGCTCTTTAGTCATTAGCATGACTCTAAGTTAACCGAAAATCGAAAGGATCTGTTCTACAGAAGCAAAAAATTATATTTCTGAGATAAGCGCATTTTTTGGTTTTGCATTAAAATCTACATCAGAAAAAAAGAGTTCGATGAGCAAATCTGGTTTCTCAACTGTTCAGAAGGCATCGAAGTTTTCACCTAAATTCATCATCGGACTGATAACGATAATGTAATCTTTAAATCATCTTATATCTTAAGAGCTAAGAATAAACTATTGCATCGGCGGAATTGCTAGTTCACAATTCCTGAACTTTTGTGGCTCAATTAATCTATTGCTTCATCTTTTTATTGCTCTTATTGTTGAAAAACATAAACAGAAAAGGCTTTTTATTCATTGTTTAACAACCTTTTTGACAAGATTAACAATCCAAAATATCATCGAGACAAGATAATTGAACTTATACTTGACTTATAATTGACTCATACACTGACAAATAAGTTAAAAACGGCAATTAAGATCAAGAATCGACAAGTTACACGTTAAACAATTTGATAAACATTAGAAGAAATAATCTACTTTAAAATCTTAAATTATTGATGTTGATTACAATCATTTTGTATCTCAATCAAACATTTTTTAAGAATCAGTTTGATCAAAAATCTGGTTCCCCAGCTATACGAAAAGAAACTTTGAACACGATTTTATCGAAAACTGTTTAACAACCTTTTTCACAAGATTAACAATCTAAAATATCATGAGACAAGATAATTGAAACTTATGCTCAAATAAGTTAACAATCGAGAGCGGCAATTAAGAGCATGAATCGACATTTAGCTATAGTTTGACTGAAAGGGGAATTTCATTTAAATAATTTAATCCTCTCCGGGAATCATGCAGCTCGAGCGCTATTGTTGTGAGACGGATTCATATCTGTCATGGGATGATTCAAACTTTGACCGAAGACTGTTTTTCACCAGATTATTATCAACAAAGATTTTTCTCTATTCCAATATTTCAATATTTCATCATATTTTATTATTACAGAAATTGCATGAGCCAAACAGGAGGTCAAGCTTAATTTCAATTGATGCAAGTTTGTTTCTTTTGAACTCAACAGCAAACAATAAACACGTGTAATATTGATCTAAGTCTCGATCTAAATATAATAAAACAATTGAAGATTTCATAAGATTGGCTAATTTAAAAAACCCTGAAATAGTTTTGTACAATCTTACGATAATCTCCGTGATATTTGATTATCAGATCACAGAACAATAGTTATGAATTGACGCAGAATTTAATCTTTAAATTACCTGAATTACTTCCACTGTAAATAAGACTAATAAGAGATAGGTGATAACATTTCCATAAAACAATTTAGATTGCTAGATAGTTATGAATAAAGTATATGAATAATGAATAAATTGGGAAAACTCTTTAGTCGAGTTAAGATATATTTAAGTGTTCATTTCATCAAGTTCTTAAATCCAAATTGAAATTGTTCTATTCCAAAATCGAAAATGTCTCCTCCAGAAAATCAAATGACATCCAATCAAAATATTGGTAAAAGTCATGAAGTTGATGATCGATCAACTGATTCCTCCAATGATTCCCATCAACCTCGAGTTCCGTTTCGTTTTTACATTGCTGTTTTTGGCCTTTTCTCATCTTTAATGTGTTTCTCTGTTCGAACCATTTTCAGCTTGGCCATTCTTGATATGCTTGAATCCGATTCAGAAACTTTGAATGCTACCGGGTAAGTACCAATATCATAACCAATTGAATTGTCAGTTTGCTTCAACGTGTTTCATTTGACAGACCACCAAGACCATATAAAGTGCGTTGGACTAAGGCAGAGCAAGGAGTTGTTCTTGGTGCTTATTCGTATACTTATGCAGGCTTTCAAATCGTTAGTGGACGCCTTTCGGACAAATATGATGCTGCTCATGTTAGCACAGTGGCACACATTTTATCCCTTCTTTGTACCGCTTTAACGCCTTTGTCTGTTTACGGAGGACTTGGTTGGGCGATCGCTATTCGTTTAATTCAAGGAATTGTCCAAGCACCAATGATCTCAACTCTTTATGTTATCTTTTCACGATGGTTCCCTCCAAATGAAGTTGGCCTTCCAATTGCTGGACTACAAATTGGTTCCAATATTGGCTCAGCGTTAGTTATGCCAATAACTGCTTGGTTATGTCCTCTTGATTCATACTGGGAAGGATGGCCGCTGTCGTTTTACCTTTTCTCCTGTATTAACGCTATCTTTGTCATTTTGTGGATGATTTTTGTTACCAAAAATCCAAAGGATAACAAATGGGTCTCACAAGCTGAGCTTGATTACATAAGGAGTAAAAGAAAAGATACTGAAAAGAAAAAGGTTTGTCCATTCGACTTTAGTAATTTCATAAAGATGATTACGAAGTGCACAAATTAATTATTTTTTGGAAACCTAGATGAAAGTTGCCTGGTCTGCTATGCTGCTTTCAATGCCTTTATGGTCTGTGACAATATCTCGAGCGGCAAATTCATTTGCTTACATGTTAATGAACTTCAAAGCTCCACAATATCTTCAAGATGAGCTTAACTTCGATCTTAAAAATAATGGATTTATCAATGGACTTTTTTACATCGCAATCATGACATCCATGTTTTCCTCTGCTTCAGCGGCCCAATGGTTGATAAAAAAAGGTTATTTTTCCGTTACAACAACTCGAAAAATATTCGAATTCATCTGTAAGTTTCACTTAGTTTTTAATAAATATTATTGTAACTAGCTTTCCGCACATGTCACGAGTTGATATCACTAGATCGCTCTTTCGGAACAAAGTAGAAACCCTTTCCATCATCATATCTACAATTTCAGACCAAATAAACAAAATCTTGTTTAATTTCTATCAGGTAACGCAGGATGTGCCATATCAACCATTCTTATTCCATTCACTGGTGAAGATCCATGGATCAAAGTGTTTCTTCTTGTCATGCTGATGTTTATGAGAGGCTTTTCAACTGCTGGCGATCAATCAATTATTTCAGAAATGGCTCCTGATGCTTCTGGTTTAGCTTATGGAATATCCAATACATTTTCTTCATCAATGGGATTTCTTGCTCCATTAATTGCTGGTGTAATAGTTGATGCACATGTAAATACGATCAATTTTTCACAATTGATTTTTTAAATTTTATTGCAAACAGATAACCAACAATATCTCATTACAGGCTGGCTCAGCTCATCCATGGGACATGGTTTGGATATCATCAGGAATCGTCTCAATGATTGGTGGCACTGTATTTCTCCTCTTTGCAACATCTGAACCTCAATCCTGGGGAAACTTAGACTATGAACCAGGAAAATCAAACAAGAAACGTCCCGTAGGCAGAGAAACAAGTGTTATTCCTTCATCGGAAGTTTACCATGTTGAATCTGACAATTTAACACTTAAAAGGAAGAAGAAGGAAGTTGCAACTGAAATTTACACCATTTCGAATGCAACACCAAAGATAGGATCTGGAACTGTAGAAGATAAAGTTTAAGTTAGAAAATCTTTCTCATTAGATTTAGAATTCAGCATTTTCCTCATATGCTGCAATTCAGAGTTAATTTCACTTGACTTACATTTTATTGATAAAAATCATATCCAGAAAGTGCTTGAACCCCGTTAAAAGTAGCTTAATTCATTGTAAACTTTCATCGACTTATCAAAGCATTGAGAATTGGTTTGGAAGACCAATTGATCACAGTAAATATGAAAGTTTGCAAGACACCAATATTTACCGGGATTATAAAGAATGGAAGAATCCCTTATCCAGCTACCAACTCTTTTCGATGTAATTGGAAAATCGATTGGATTCCATCGAGAATGAGTAGCTTAATCCTTTTTTTCTGTGCCGTAATTTATATTAGTATAATCGCTATTGTATCCATTGCTAGTTATCGGTACGGTCGTTATGATTCACTACATGAGGACAAAGTACCATCTCGTAACAGTAAACTTGATGTTAATAAAAATTTAACAGAGGTACCGACTGATTCCGATATCAGTACTGACCAGGAAGATGAAGGTCCTAAGCAGAAAGATCTAGAGCGTGGGTCGACCAATCATCTGGAAACCAAGAGAACTAGAAGTAAACGACTTTTGGATTCTTATAAAGACCAAACTGATTCAGATTCAAAATCATCAGACAATAACATTAAGTCTCCGGCCCCTAGAAAAAAATCATAAAAAATTATGTAATTAAAAGCAAATTTAGATGTGACATTCAATAAATCATTGAATTATTAATGAAATTGACTTACTTTGTATTTTATAATCCAAAAGCTTCAAGCTAAGAAAGGAATTTGTTCATTTCACAAAAGATAAATTAAACATCTTACTTGATCTAAAATGATTCATAATATCAAAAAAATAAAACAATGATAGACAACTTGAATAAAATTCAGTCACATGAAACTTACAATTACAGTTAAGTTTAAGAGTAAACCCTTTCAAACTGTCACGTCGTGGGATTAGCAGATTGGCTATTTTTCAATAGTATTTAGGTGAAATAGACTTTTTATGAGTTTCATTTCCCAGATAAAAATAAGTTAAATTTTTATTTTATGTTTAAACTAAAAACATAATTAAAATATTCTCAAAATTTGCTAATTAATGAAAACGGAATCAAATAAAATTGTTCATTGTAATCACAATATTAAATTGATACAAAAGTTTCATGTCACAAAAAGTAAACAACAAAAAAGTTAACCATCTAGACACAGGATGGCCTTACTAAACTCATTGAATGCAAGAAGCAAGCAAATTGAGCAAAATTTACTTGATTTAGTAAATTGTTCATGTTTATTCAAACCAAAGCCCTAATAAACTGAAATAAATTACTCTTAATTCTGATAAAAATTCATTAAAAGCCTGTAAACCATTATTTCTTGAAAAATATCCTTAAATTAAAACCAAGCATTGAATGAAAACAAAGCTGTAAAATAAGCTTTTTACCCGCAACCTCAAAATCTGGTTCATTTCAAACAGTTTACTGACAATTAGAGTTGAACCTTGAAATATAATGAGACAATCAAGGTAAATATTGATCGAAACAATATGCTGAACAGTTATTACCATTTTTGGGTGAGATTTCATTTCATTTTTCATCTTTCCTTCCATCTTCCCATCAAATTGATAAATTTAATGTACAATGAAAATGAAATGCAAAAGTGACTATTTGTTATCTTCCTTAGCATGTTTCATTGATCTGAAAAACAGAGCAAAGCGAAATATAATAATAAAACTAAATGTGGTTTAACCATGATATACACAATGCGAAATGATGAGAAGGAAAGAAAAACTAAAAAAAGAAAGCAACATTTCAAGAATCCTCATCTTATTGATTCCTTAACTCTGATATTGACAGAGAGTAAAAACAAAAGGAAAACAAAATATCCTTTTGTTTATCTCACCAATAATATTATTATTATCATATTATTTCAGACTAATATTGAATTGCCTTTCCAGTGATTGACAGTTTTACATTAAAAATATATTGCAATGAATTTTTTGCTTCAATTTTCCCAGTCAAATAACTTGAAATTACATTTACTTTTCTTCTTGGATAATCATTTGGGTTCCATCATTTTTATCATGAAATCAGCCTTCAAAATTGACTTTTAATACATCTTTTATAATCAAAGTTGACCAAATTGCCATTCCAATCCAATCTCGTTTTCATTTCTTTCCACCTTTTCACTGCAACAATTTACAGAATGATATATTGTAATAATGTGTATGATGATAATTGTGATACATTTTTGGAAACAATTGAACCAAGAAACAGATAAGAGGAAAAATGTGAACATTTTTTTCCATTGACTTTTCATTTGCAAGTTTTCATTGTCGATTCAATTGTTGTCATCTTGGATCATCTTAATTCAATTTCCTGGCTCAAATGATGAGGAAAAAGCAGATTATAATTTATATCTGGAAACTCTGAAAGCTCAACTAGCATCATCAATCATGAATATCCGGCCTTTTCTTTACCTTTCTCCTTGTCGTCCGACTATCAGCAAGAGAAGCAAAAAAAACTATCAACAAACCCATCATCATCAGTGTTTTATATCAACAGGAGTTCATTCATGTTTCACATTTGAAGCTCATTTTGGATCATCATTACTCTCATTATCATTAGCATGATCATCAATCGGAATAGCTGGAAAAATGAAGAGAGAGAAGTGAAGAAAAATTTGGGTAAAATAAATGCAAATGTTTGATGGGTTGAAGGTGATAACAAAGTTGGGTTGTCATAATAACCACAAGAATTGAATTGGTTAAGATAAAATCATGAAAGGCAAACAGATCCATTATACAGTCTCTTAATATTAAGAGATACAACAGAAATGGTTCCCAAAGATGAAGATGATGATAATAATGATAAAACACAACATCATACTCAATCATGGAGACGCTTTTTGTAATAAAATGCTTGAAAATTATCAATTTTATTCCCTAACCAAGTTCAACTTTTCCTCCCTTCATCTAAACATAATCACAGTTTCATCAAATTTCTCATCATAACTTCATTGTCTAATGTCATAAAAATATACTCCGAAAGCATTTACTTTTTACTTTCCATTTTTTGTGGTTTCTTCAACACAGTTTAACAACATTATGAATAACCCAAAGTTGACTGTAACGTCCACCAACCCAAAAGTGTATTAAAATCAACTCAAACAATCAATAATAAAGCAACAAATTTGGTGTTGAACCAAAATCAAAAGTCAAACATGATTAGCTTATTGATTGAACAGGGGAAAGTGCTCAAAATAAGTTAAAAATTAATGATAAAAATGATTAAAATGATCATTTTCCGGACAAAACAACGGTTCAATATAATTGTTGGAAATGGGAAAAGCCTTTTGTTGCTCTTTTCACTCTCGGATCAATTTCATTATCATCTTAATCATTCCCAGGCCTTATTAACCATCAATAGCCTTAATAGCAATGATAATATTGAACCATTGAAAGGTTGAAATGATACTAATAGAGACACAGACAATTGTTACAATTAAAGGTGAATGTTACAATGTGTTGGGTAAAAAGGTTTGCTTTAAACAAAAATAATTATGTAAGCTAGCCATTACTTGAAAGGTAAATACAATTAAGGTGAAAAAAAGGATAATGTTTACAGTTAATTGATTAAAATGACATCCATTTAGTTTCATGTTATTAGACCTTCATCATCACCATCATCATTATCAGCCTGTAAGAAGCAAAAAAGGTATATAAAACAGAAGATGATGAAGATGGCTTGGAATCACTTTAACAGAATCATTTATCCATTATGCTTTTTACTCGTTTTTGCCTCTTTTTTCCTGTGTTCCGTATCTTACACCCAATTCAGATATATCATTATCAACATTTATACATTTTCACCCTGTTATATTTGAACGAATGTTCATTCACTCTCATTTTCTTAAACAATCGCTCACTCATCTTAGAGAATCACTTGCAGAATTTATCTTTTCAAGTATGAAACTTGGCTTTCCCCTGTTACTTACCAATCTAACAACATGAAAAGCATTCTCTTGTTCAACACTCACTGATTTTTTTTCTTCTTCTTCTTCATCTCTTTCTTTTCTTCCTTCTCATCTTACTGTTGAGCCACCTTTTAACTGAGTGTTCAGTGTTGATGGGATGAATCCTTATGGGTTAATGAAGATACATTTTGACATTGCTTTCCTTTTAATGCACATTCAGTCTCTATCAGTGTGACTCTCTTGATGTGCTTTCACCCGGAGGCTGGCTCACTATCATCTAAATCCAATAACTTTCCTCTCTATCATCAGGATGATGAGGAAACAGAGAGGTAAAAAATGGCCTCACATTTAAGGAAGACGATAAAAGGATCTGTCTCTCTCTGTGTGTCTCTCCATGTTAACAGTTAAGTCCTACAAAGGAATCCCATTCACCTCATAAGGCAAACATAAATACATACAAATACACTTAACCTATCATATATAACAACACAACTTTAACCGTTCAAAACTCTTTCATCATTATCATCATTTCTTCTTCTTCTTTCCCTTCTTCTTCCTTCATCATCAAACCTTATTTCAATTTTGCCATCTTCCAAGTTAACCTTTCTTCTTACTTCTGATGAAACAAAAAGCCAGTAAAAAACAAGACAGTAACAAGATGAAAAACAAAAACAAATTACTTCTAAGTTTCAATCCTTTTCTTTTCCCGTTATCCAATCATTTGATTCACTTTGCACTTAATAGTGAAGCAAAAAGGAAAAAAAGATACAGAAATTGGGCAAAATTCAACATTTAACTTGAGATATTCAATTGTTTGTCAGAAACTGTGACAACTGAGTAAAAAATGTAATAATAAACAAGTCAACAATGGAAAAGTGATGAAACATTTAATATCACGTAATAACAGTAAAATGCTTTGGAAATGGATTTAGATGAAACACTGAAACTTTTTCATAAGGCAAATGAATGTTCAAAGCCGCAGTGTTTCTTTTCAACGCTATGAAGACCACATCAGGCCACAAACTATCATGAAAGATCAAAAATAATTTTATAAATGAGTGGTTTTGGATTCGCCATCCACTTTTCATTTTTTAAATACCGCTTTTGACCGATTTTATGTTTTCAATGCTTTTGTCTCGGATAAAATATTAGATCAACGCTAAAAACTTTCCTTTCATGATCAACTCATTGACTGAACAGAAATAAAGTGATAGAAGTAAACAGAAAATGTTGAATAAATATTATGAGGAACAAAAACTTCCGAAGTTTGACCTGAAGATAAGATCATTTTCGGAAACTATCTCAACTAATCTCTACAAGGTTCTCTTTCAGCAGGTAACCTAGACATCCAGATACCAATATGGAAACTTCGAAGCAAAAACGATTCAACGGCTCTCACTTCATGAAACAGGTTTAGAGTGACTTAGAGTACCATTGGAATCGCAAAGTTACGTCTGAAAAGTTTGGTCTTCATCTCGTCAGCTGAATAACTCTCAAAGGAATAAGAATTTCGACCTGATTTTCAGGGAGGAATTCTGCACTCATTATAAGCTTTCGATTGATATATGGTTCATTATATTTTAAATGTTGGACCGAAAAAGCAACCTTTGACTTTGCGCCTTTAAAAAGATAAGTTTAACTGAAAGGATAAATTTAACCTGCCAGTTGAGGAGAATGAAGTTGATCAAAGTTGTATTTTTTTACTGTCCACAGGTTTGCTATTAAATATATTTGTTGGATGGGAAAGGAATACATCTCAATTTACTAATGGATCCATCCAATCTAGTTAAGGAAAGTAGGAAAAGTGAATGAGAAATATTAAGTATATAAGATGATGAGGGATGAGAGGGCAATTAAGGGGTAAAAACAATGCAAGTATCCACTTATAATATTACTTTTTTTGCTTCTCTCGCCATGTTTCACGTAATGTTACTGTTTAAAGAAATTGAATGGTTACAGAATTGGTTGGAAGAGAGAAGAGAAGAGAGAAAGAAAAAGCTAACATGATGATGATGGGAATGATGAAGGGAAACGGTGAAAAGGTTTTCTTGTTATCAACAAATATTGAATTGCTATTGAATTGAATGGAATTGGCCATTAATCAAGATTCTTTCAGTTCATTCTTTACGTCTTTACTTGCCTTCTCCATTCGATCATCATATTAAATGTTTTTGCTTCCCTTATTTCATCTTTTACCTTCATGTTATACTTGCTCAGCTGATATATCGTTATTCATCCAATCGATTTAATTAAACTATCCTTTTACTCTTTCTCTCTCTCTCTTTCTCTGCCTTTTCCCTCATCACTAAAACTCTGGCTCCAACTCAGTCTAGCCTTTGTCCAAGCTTGTGTCCAAAATTTCTTGTTCATCTTTTCCTCTTGGTTCAAACCTCTCTCTGTCTGTACATTGAAATGGTTCAGGAAAAGAGAAGATAGAAAGAGTAAAAAGAAAGGAAAGAATCAATTTAATCCAGAGAAAAGCAATTTTCGCCAATCATTTCAATCTCTTTTGTTTGGACTTGTGATGGACATGACTCCATAAAATGGATGACACAATCACTGCAAACAACCTTTTGCTTGACCAAAAAGCTTTTTTTTGGCTGCCTTTGCCTTTTGTATTATAAAGCAAAGTTGATTCCTTGTGTTTAACACACAAACAGTTTTTATAACCTAAACTTAATTGTCTGATTGTTGTTTAGCTTGAAAAAAAGAGGCTCAAAATAAATAACAAAATGAGAGCAAATCTTTGTTATATTATCAATGTAATAACCAAAATTGAATCCAAAGTATAATAACTTTGAAACAAAAAGAGCAACATCCAACAATCAATAGACACAATCAATAAATCCAGTTTCTCACGTTTAAAGTCACTTTCAAACCAACAATTTACATTTTAAAATTGAACCAAAATTGACCCAAAAACATTAACTTAACCAGATTGATATTTACCAATCAAGTGACTACCGACTGGTTAATATGTAACAATAAAGGCGGAAATTTGATTTCCATGTAATTACATGTTCTGATAATGAAATGATTAATTGAATAATCATGTTGATCAAGAGATGAAAAATGATGTAAAATGAAAATTAATTAACTGTAGCAAAGTATCGATTAAATCATCTCGAGTCAATTTCTTCCATTGATTGTAACACTATTCAATATCACATAATTAACTTAAATTACAGTAAACCAGAAAATACAGATTCTTAATTATCATCAACAATGGTAAATGAATCAACTTGAAAAAGGTAAACCTTTGAGAAATTAAATTGCAAATGAAAAGTTCAACGTGATTTGATTAACCCAAATGTTTCAATGAGACGATCAATTAATGTGATCAAAATTGAATATAAAAGTGAAAGATTAGTTGAAACCTTAACTGCAACAATTAGGTTGATTAACTTGGCATTTTCTTGACGCACAAAAAAGTAATTTAATAATAATTCAATTGAATGATTGGCTTTGGTATTGGCTTTGATTATGAGAGATTTAGATTAACCAAGAAGCCTGAAATGGCATTAAATGAGGAAATTAATGTTAACCTTAGCAATAAATGGATGTTTAAATGTAATTAAATGAAAGTCTTTTTAATACTTTGTGTACTTTACTTGATGCCATATTTAATTAAATTGTTGACAATTGATTCAATGTTCAGTTAAGGCCAAGTGAGCTGCCAGTTTAACCCTAAATGATGACCCTTCATGGACAGTCCAATTACACTTGGCTGATGGTGAAAATAGTCAACAACTCAAATTGTTTGTCATTTAAATTAGCTTACCAAATGTTTCAGACTTTTGGTCCTTTTTTTCACTTTTTTGTATTTTTAATTAAAACTAAAACTCTTTCCTTCTCTCGCTTTGTTGCTGTTTTAATCAACATCAATCTAATTAAAGATGAGTAAGATTAAATTGATTGTTACCAATATAATGGGACGCCAAGTAATCAATAGTAACCAAGCTCAAGTTTGCCTGCTTTTTTCAACCTCAAAATGAGAGGAAAAGACTGAAATGCTTTACAGGATTAGTATTAATTAGGCAAACTAAAGCAATTAGCTGATGGTAAATGGTCATTTTCAAAGGGTTTAGTCTATTGGTCATGAAGGGTCACAAGTAAGATGGTTGAAATGGCCAAATGAGTCCAGTTTTGAGTCAAGTTTACAGTTGTTAGTCAATGTAATATGAAACTCAACCCTTTTCATCTCATGTTTGCCTATTCATTTTGAAACATTTGTATGCTAATGGCTACCAAGAAACTTGATCAATCTATCAGATCAATAATTGTTTGCCATTTCATTTCCGTTAATGATTAATCGAGTTTAGATTATAAAAGTTTTAACATTCGTTCAATGGAAATGTTTTTCTTGGGGAATTGGATGAACCAGAACGTGATTCTTATCGATACATTGACCAAATCAAAAGGTAAAAATTAGACATTTTTCAAGCAGAAGCTTTGAAACTGAAAAGGTTGAGCATAAATCAGTTTTGGCAGAAAATTTCAATATTTTTCTCAAATTAAGTTTCGAGTTTGGATCAACATTATTCCCATTCATTTTGAGTCTGATTTACAGTAATATTTAAACAGTGATGAGCAATTCAAAATAAGTTGCATGACCAGAATTTAATTTTTGTATTTAATATTGTAACCTTTTTAAATGTTGTTTTGCATGTTTGCGTTTCAAAAGCATTGACAAAATGAATCGATTAACGATTGTCAATGAATTATTATTCAGTTAAGTTCAAAGTTAGTTTCAGAAGTTACTCAACAATTGAATATTTTCCTTTGAATGTGATTCTTGAGGAAATCCAATTGCCAATACTTGGAGTGTCGGTTATTTTCACTCCAAATTGAAAAGAGATAAAATATTAAAATGAAATCATTCAATCTGTATTTATAATCATACAACTTTTGATATTAATTAGTAACAAAATGTAATTTTCAAGTCTCACTGTGATTTAATTGGTCAAGAAATTGTTATTAAAATCAAGAGTATCACTGAATGACAACTCAACTTATCAAGGATCATGGATTGCTTGCTCTTGATTACACGCAATTTAGCCATCATTTTGGGCTTGATTCTGACTCGAGTTTTATTCTTGGGCTCAGCTTTTACTGTGAGTAACATTTTGCTCGGAACTTTGAGTTAACTTCAATTAGTTTGATTGGCTGTATTATAAGCACTTTATCAAATTATGTGATTCAAAAGCAATATAAGGTTGAAAGATTTTAACCTGCAAAAAAGGCAAAATTTAAGGCAATTTAGGAGTTATTTAGGAAAAGATTAATAATTAATCTTTAATGGTTTTCCTGCAACTTGGTGAGCTTTTAATGTAAAAATGGTTTTCTTGTTATATTAATAGTTTCAATCAACAAATAACCAATAAACTGTATTTAACTTGTATTTTCAATCACTTGTAACCTGTTTATTTATTATAAGTTTATGGTTAAAACTCATTCCAATGATGGCTTTTGCTCACCGTTTGATTACTTACAATATATATTTTTATATATATTAAGCTGTATTTTACCTTTTAATTTAATTTATCCATTGAAAATGGTTTACTTTTAATGAAAAAAGCGAAGGCAGGAAAAGGCACAGTTAAAACATATACTAAATGAAATTTAATCAAATGTTAAACTTGATGTTAATTACTTGCCAATAAAATGAAACTTGTAATTTCTCATCAAAGTTAAGTCTCGTTTTTTTGCATCTGTTTTCCTCTTTTACCATCATTTGCAGTAAAATTGAATCAAATGATGAAGAGAAGAGGTAAAATGAAAATTGCTGCCTTTTCGTGTGTTGAGAGACTCACATTAATTGAATAATTGAATACAATAAATGCACATAACGTATATCCAAACAATATATCGTTCACAATGGCTCCTAATATAAAGGTAATTGAGAAAAATGGTAATAAATTGAAAATTAACTGAGGTATTTGTTGGAGTAAATAGGTAAACCTGAGGTGCCAAATTGAGTGAAAAATGCGTAGTTCCTTGTGAGAATTGAATAGTATTAAGTGAGACTCGATGAGACCGTGAAATGGGATCTCATTAGGGAGTCAATTCAAATTAATGGTAACCAGCTAAATGAAAATCTATGTCAGAGAAAAAGAGAGAAAGAAAGAGAATTAGAAATCGCTGGAGAAAGGATGAAAAAGGAGAGGTTGAAGGCAATTGAGCGTGGAGAGATGAGGATGAAAAAAGAAGAAAATAAATTAGTGAAGACTTGAAAACGAATGACTGTTACTCGTAAATAAAACCAGTTTAATTGAGTTAATTAAGTTTGCATTGACTTTTGTATGAGCAAAGACTCAAATCAAGATCAGATGCAAATAGCTTTGCTTTCTTTCCCTTTGCATTCATCCTCTTCTCCTTTTTGCTGCTTGCATTTTAATTCCAGAGAACCATTAGGTCTTCTCATCATCAAATATAATTATCATTGTTACCATTTTGTCCTCGTAAATAGCATTAACATCATCTAGTTGTAATCAGGCAAGAGAGAAAAAAAACTAAAATTAACAGACACATTCAAAGTTAGTTGACTTACATTTCTGGTGAAATTTTTTCCCCTTTCTGTCTTAAATATCTGTGGCCATATTAACGATCCACTTGATGTTTAACCATATTTATGATTGATAATCAGAGCAATACACGTCAACTTCAAGCCTTGTTAGCAAAAACGGAGAAGAAGAGGAAAAAACAAAATTATTTCATGATTTCATTTTGAACAAGTTGAAAGAAAACAAACCAAAAATCCGTTGAGTTAACCCGTTCTTGTTCTTAACTTTACTTCTAAACTGTTGATAACTTGGTAACAATAAACCATAAAATGACACACAATTACAACATAGTTAAACTGAGCACAATTTTTGAGAAAAGAGCAAATAAATTAAAGAGAGTGAATCATTATCAATCTATCAATTAATAATTAAAAACTTAATTAAAAAAGCTAAGCCAGCTGTTAAGTAACCAAACTAAAAACAACGCCTCCTGGAGACTACCAGATTTACTAACCGATCCAAATACTCAACCATTATCTAACGACTTTGATATTTGGCCTCATCCTGAATGCATGGACTTGATTCATGACATAATCAGAGTTCCTATTCAGTCCACTCGATTCTGGTCACTCTCAATAATGGACTTGTATGAAGCATTAAATAATGAACATAACGTTATCTACTAAACTGGTAATTTGGGTTTGATTAATAAATGAAAGAAAATCAATTTTAATTTAATCTAAATAAAGTCATCAATTTAAACGCTGTGAGACCATTTAATGAAAGGCAAAGAAGCAAGAAAATCGCGAAATAACAAAATGGCAAAGGTTTGTTAATTGTTGAACAAAAAAGTCAATAATGATTGTAATTTATGGGAATAGTTTCTCATTAAAGACACAATGAAAATGAATCAAGTGAAAAGTAAAACTTGTTTAATGAGTAACAATTAAAACCTGTTAATCTTTGCCAATTAACAAAGCAGTAAAGATGACAATTTAAAATGAATTGTGTAAAGAGAGTGAAGCAAAAAAAAGCAACGGAAACGGACTCAAAGTTAAGGTCAAATGAAATGAGTTGAGGCAAAAATGGAAATGGCGCAAGATTGAAAAGATAACAAAACAATTGACAAGATTCACAGTTAAAATGATTATAATTATCATCATTATTGTTATTACTGTTTAATGTAATTGGGTATTGACTGTCCTGGTTCCTATCTTCATTAAGCTAATGAGGTTTGTTACCAGTAAAAATGTTACTCACAACAAAAAACATACACAGAGAAGGCAGCAGAAAAAAAAGTTCATTTGGTTAATGAAGTAAGCTTTTTCCTTTTCAATTTTCCCTTTTCACTTTAACCAGTTTCTTGGCTTAATGCATTTCTCATCATCTTTCATCCTCATCCTTTTCATCTTCCTCTTGGTTTCACATCTTAAACTGATAAACCAAGAAGTGGTCAACTTTGGCCAGCTTTGTCCAACGACCAAGAGAGTGAGACAAAAAAAAGTGTCGCCATAAAAAAAGGCTAACAATCAAGGTGATGATGAAGGATGATGTTGATAATAAGGGATAAAGATGATGATTTGTAAGATTTGATAGGATTGTTGAATTTATTGAAATGGCCTGTGAAGGACGTCAATAAAGCGAGTTAAAGGGAAAACAGTTTTTATTGCAAATCGCGGCATTAGAGAGAGAGAAGAGGAAAGATGATGATGATGATGATGAGAGACAGCAAAATTGGATTGATGTTGATGCACTCACACGCATCATTTTACCATTTATATACAAATTTTTGCTCTTTATCTTCATCCTTCAGGAGTCTGTGAAGAGTGAGATGATGATTGGAGTGAGAGTTGAAATACATGCGTGCTTTATGGGATTGAATTGATGAGGCAGCCTGGGAAGAGAGATGATGATGAGACTCAATATCCCGGTTACTCTTTATTGTGTTTAAATCCCTTACAGTTATCATCTTTTACTTGTTTCGTTTTTTTCCTCATCTTCATCTTTTTACTGTCTTGTTATTAGCATTACATCTACTGCTGCCTTTTATTATTTGTATTTCAACACAAAACAAACACACATCTTTGCCAGTGTTTAGTGTCTCACTTACGTGTGTGTTTGTGTGTCTCTGTGTCTCTGTATTTATACATATTGGTGTGTCTCTATGGATGTTTATTTCATCTGAAAATGATGGAGAGAAAAGTATCTGGCAATTCAATATCTTCCCTGATAGGTGAAAGGTTACATGTTTGCTCAGGATGTAACGAGTTAATCAAGGAACAGTGGCTTCTGGAAGCAGCTGATAAAATATGGCATGAAAGCTGTTTAAAGTGTTCCCTGTGCCATGGTTCACTTGCTGAAATGTCGGACACTTTTTACGCCAAAGCTGACTTATTACTTTGTAAACGAGACTATTTCAGGTGAGTGTCTTACTGTGCTTCAAACCTCTTTATCCTGTTTCATTTCAAATCTATTAACACTTCATGTTTCCATCAGATTATTCGGACAAACAGGAAGATGTTCAGTTTGCCAGAAAGAGATTGCCAGCTTTGAACTTGTGATGAGAGCTCGTGGCAATAGTTATCATCTTGAATGTTTTGCTTGCCAAACGTGCAATAAAAGGTTAGTTAATTTTCAGGTTCCATTTTTGGATATTCATCTCAACCCATTAACATTGATTTTAAACCATTTTACACTTTTGTCTTGCCCATAATTAATTAGCTTTTAGCTTAATTAACTTGACCAAATTTGCCTGTTGTTTATGTTTTACCAAAAGCTAATGTTTTTGGGTTCCTTCAACATTATCTAGTTAATTAAAAAGCCTTTCAACCTTTTTCGTTGTTGTTTCACTTTAATTGTTGAAATGTAATTTAATAAATTGGTAAAAATTGTGAAGCCAATGAAAAAAATGAAAAAAATCATCAAATCCATTGAGATATTGTGTTATTTAAAAGGAAGGTTAAATTGAAATGAAATGATGAAAATAATCAATAACATTGATCATAAATCATCCGATTGACAATTAAATAAGCATAATGGTGATAAATGAGTAAAGTAAAATAATCATTAATTTATATATTGATTCAACATGGAAATGGGTTTTCATCATGAAAAAGTAATTGTTTTTTGTTCACTGTTATTGTTTGTTTCCATGTTATTAAATTAACTTTTTGATTTGCTTTTTCCGCCTTCTTTTGTGCCTCATTCATTTTAACCAATTGGCAACAAATTTAATCACAGTTTATTAATTGTTGCATGTAATCATAATAACGCTCCTCATTGACAGTTTACCTAACAATCAATCAAATTAAATTAAGTGATGAACAAAAGGCGAGCGAACACAACAAAAAAGGTTCAACTTTGTAATAAATCCAATTTAGATGATGTGATACGTAATGATATTGTTGAATCTTTAAAGGTTAAACTGAACCAGAAAAGTTAATTTCAATTGTCAAATAAGTGGGAGAAAACAATTTAATTAAAGTTAATCGTCAGGATGATTGAATCAACTGAAAGCATTTCATTCAATTTGAGTCAATCAATTAAAGTTTCTAACAACAACAATTTAAATTGAAAAAGGTTTTACTTCAATTTTTTGGGTTCACTTTTCATTTTCTGGTAAATCTGGTCATTTCTAATTTCTGTTTAATTATTTATTTAGGTTTTGCGTTGGTGATCGTTTTTACCTGCATGATGATAGGATTTTATGTGAAGATGATTACGGAGATATAATTAATTCTCGTCGACATGTTCATGATCATCTTAACAATCCGGTGATTGCAACCAATAATTGTGTTAATAGTAATGTAAACAATAGTTCAAAAAAAAGTGATCAAAGTGGTGGACATAATGGCCATTCAATATCTCACCAACAAGGCCACCAGCCTCATCAACCCCACCAACCTCACCCTCATCAAGCCCATCAGTCTCATCCACATCAGTCCCAGTCAAGTCGTCTTTACTCATGCCATGACCATTAGTTGGTTCAAGTTGAAGTTACACACCAACAGCGCCCGACAACACGCACATACTTCACCTTTGGTGACACTTGATAGTTCATGAAATCACCATCATCTTCATCATTTTTCATCCCATTCCTTCTTCCCCCATCTTCCTCTTGTTTCTTACAGTTTATTCTGGCCAAAATTAAGTGTATATTATACATAAAAATGTATAAAAAAATGAATAAATCTATCTTCATCTCATCTCGTTTCCACTCACTTTGCTTTTAACAAATGCTACCGAGTAAAAACACACACAAAAAAAACAAAATGAAATAACTTGTACAGTAAGTAAACAAAAATTTGTTGTTTCATTATACACTCTCAATCAAGTGCTGGTGCATTATCATCCTTGATTGGCAACCATTTTTAATTAGACCTTTGCCTATGATGGGAATCATTAAACAAGTGACTGAAAAGTGGAGTGAAAGCCTATTAATTAAGTTTCCTTGTTAAAATTGTAAATGCAAGATAAGTAATGAGCAAAAGAGGATAAACAGTTGAGTTAATATTGATGAGATGAAAGAGGGAACCAGAAGATGAAGAGAGAGAGAGAGAAAACCTTATTTCAATTAACTTATTCAATATACTAAGTAATGGTAGCAATGATGATACATTTAATAAGAGTAGGAGGATGAAGAGAGAGAGAGAGAGAGAAAGAGAAGATGAATTTGATGGGAAAAAATTTGGGTTTCAATTTGAAATTGAGAGAAACAAATGATGTTGAAGGGAATGAATTATTGGTTGGAAGCAAAGTATAATAATAAAAACAGGAGAAACATCAGTAATATAATAATAGTGAGGGTGAAAGTGATAGCAATTGAGATGAAAATGAATGAAGATGAAGGAATGAGAGGCAAGAATGTGAAGATAAAAGATGATTGTTGGTTATTTTTGATGAAATTTTCATGATTACCAGTGAAAATATGGAGGCCATTTTGGTTATTAAATAGATTCATCTTTTTTTTCTTATAACTTTTGGTAAGGGGTGATCATATTGGCCGGGGAAAAGAGTGAGAAGATGATAAAGATGATAAAAAGAGGTTGGAGGCTGGCAAGGAGGAGGAAGAGGAGGGAATGAAACCTTAAGTTGATGCAATTTATAAATATAAACTGGGAGTGAGAAAGATTATAAGTTTAATATAAGGTGAATTGTAATGATATTTGTGTGTGTTTGCTCTGTTTCCCTGTTTCTTACTTTATATTCAACAACAGAGTACAAATAATGATAATAATAATAATAATAAAACAAAGTATATTTATATTCAAAATGGTTACAAATTGTATAAATGAATATTGTTTAATAATAAGCAACAACAACAAAAAACAGGGCAAAAGAAACCAGAAAAAGTCTATTTTAAAGCAAAAAATTGGTTAAGATTTGGCATCTTTTTTTTTGCTTCTCAATGATTAAGGTTTTAAAAAGCAAAGTGTTTAACATTAAAATACAGCGATCAATGTTAAGCTGGGATTGATGATGACAATGTTTGTATACACAAATGGCTGGGAGGTAAAAAAGCGATGAAACTTGATATAAAAGATTATCGAAAAGTGATTCTAGATTATTTGATTAAAAGATGATTGAAAGGTGATTAAGCGATGGTTTGGACCCGTTTTAGGATAAAATGTTGTTCAGTTGCTTCTTTATTGAATGGGAAAAATTAATTCAATTGAATCGTCTCTTCAATTGCAGCTTAATTGAATGAAGATTATTTCTGGTTAATCAATGTTTAACCTTTTTTTACCAGTTTTTGTATTTGCTTTTTCATTTTCAACTCATTTCTGCTGTTCAATTATTGTGTTATCAAGCTTCATGGTTAATATAATTACAAATCTTTGTTCACCTTTTTTTTGAACAACCATTAATTGTAATTGCTTAAATTACGATGTCAATTAAATTTCATGGTTCTTGTTTGCATGTAATAAAAACTGTAATAATGAGTTTTCCTGTTCAATCTCTTTTTATCTCTGCTTTTGCCACTTTAATCTAATCAATAAAAGTAATTTTTACTTACCTAATCATTAATCAATCATCCTAATTACTTGCAGGGGAACTTGGAAAAGGATGAAAAAAAATAAAAACTAATTTGTCTGACTATTGGTAAGTGAATAATGAAACTATCAGTCAATAATAATATCAATTCAATTCAATTCTTTGATTGTTATTGTTATCTGCACTTTGTATTATTAGTCTATTAGTGATAATAAATAGTAAAAAAGAGGCAAAAAAACGTAATCACTGTTACTCTAAATGGAGGTTGACGTGATTTTTTTGTGAGTGTGTTTTGCTTTTCAAATCATTTGTCTATTTGCATTCACAATTTATTTCATTCCCTTGGTGTTTATTGTTATACATATTAGGTAAGTAACTTGTTATTTTGTTTGTGCCTATTGTTTGGTCTATCACCATGTTAATCAATGTTAACATTTACATTCAAGTTACAATTAGAGTTGAACACAAGATGATACTAGAGTTGGCACTGGTGAAAATTGATGCCAAAAATATGAGACATTTCAGGATTGAGAAGGGACTGGATAGAGTTGGGAGTAAAAAAAGATTCATCAGGTTGCAAGGGATGGAGATGAATAAGTTTTGCTGAACATAGGATAATCTTGGTTGCAAGGGGTGAAAGGTCAACAGTCAAGAGCTTAGTAACCTATGGGGAGTAAGTTTGAGTTTAATTGTTCAATCAATTCTCTCCAATTTAATCAAATATCTTTCGTTGCAATTTCAATTTGGAAAAAAATCTATTCTCTTTTATTAAATGCAAAACTTCATGAATAAATTTTGGGCATAAAAATTGAGATAAATTATGTACCAGAATAAAAGGTGAAATTAACGAAAAATAAGTTCCATTTTTTTCTGTAAAAAAGGTTTGGTCCAGAAAAGACGTTGGTTCTGGAAGTTCATCTTGCACACCTGAATCTTTTTTAAACACTGACAAGTTGTAAGAAGCCAGAAATGAGAGGTTACGGAAAGGGGTTGAAGGTAAGTGTGGGTTAGTGGGGAATGGTAAGAGTCTGTAGGATGAAAGACTTAGTAGTCTGTAGAGGAATGGAATGGGTAAAAATGGTTCAGCAAAGATTTGCTTTTGTCCAGAAAAGACGCTGATTCTGAAGTGAACCTTGCCTCAGACCTGAACATTTTAAATCTGCTGGATAAATGACTACCAAAAGTGGCCTAAGGTAAGTCGGGTTTAGTCGGGAATGGTAAGAGTCTGTAGGTTGATTAAGAGCAAAGGAATGGGTAAAAATCGTTCAGCAGTGAGCAACTGCTTGAGAGGCCGAAGGAATGGTTAAGGTTGACGGTAAGGTTGAGGCAAGTCAGGTTGATCTTGTGGCTGGTTACGTACGATGTTAATGATGCTTACATTGGACTTGCTTTTGATTACATCTTCTGGTTTATAATGAACTTTGTGAATCAGTTTTTATGCTGATGATTCTTGGTGAAGCGCACTTTTATTGATCAATTTTGTGTTAATTTAGTTAACAGGGCAAATGAAGATAGGAATGAGAAAAAAACGAGATGAGAAAGGTAAGTGAGAATGAATGAGATTCAAGTGAGGGCGGGTTATATTTTAATGAGAATCTTGTGCTCACCGGATAATATTTGCATTAACTTGATTGCTCTCCATTGGATCCATTTAATTTCATACATTTAACTAATAATTTATGGCCTTCTTCATCTCTCATCCTCTTTCCCTCCCAGCTTCATTTCTCACAGCATTTCTCACTCCAATCAAACTGATAAATACAAGAGGATAGCAGACAGCAAAAACCTTTCACAGTATTTATTTATAGATTCACCTTTATTTTAAACAAACATTTCCATTGAAAAATTCATACAATTACAAGCAAAATAATATAATACATTGATAAAAAAGGGACGAAAGGGGAAACATTTTCAACCAACAAATAGCACACAATATTATCCAAAATTGAAAAGTAAACCCAAAAATAATATCAACTTTTGAAGGTAAATTATAAAACTAAAAGGGAGACAATGGGATGAAAATGATAAAGTAAAAAGTGAATTAGAATTCCCTAGAAGCAAAATTAAATTGAATTTTGTGTAATTTAAAAATGCTGTCTTCCATATTCAATCTCATTGTTTATCATCAACTCGAGAGATGCTTTAGCTTTTCCCTTCCCTTCCCTTAAACATTAACGTAATCACTTAAATGACCAAAAGACTCTTTTCAATATTAATATTTCCATTAATAATAATCACAATAGTTATTTCACTCCCAGCAATAATAACACTCCCAAAGTCTGTCAAATGTTTAACTCTAATCTCGGTCAATTTCCCCATCAATTTAATATATAATAATAATAATAAAATAATGATGATAATAATAATAATGTATCTCCATGTTGAGCTGTGTGTTTCCACTTTAATATCGATTTATATGTTGAACCAGAAGAAGATGAAAAAAAACTCATCACATGAGATTGTTATTATTATTGTTTAGTTGAATAACAATGGATCCAAAATAATTAGAAATGAAAGTTGTGAGTAAAGTTTAGGGTTAATTAAATTACCATCAAATCTGATTGTAATAAAGGCTCAACACACAAAAGATGATCAACAATCTAAACATTATTAAAGAAGCGACTTGAATTGCTTTCCATTCAATAACCATTTCTGTGATAAGGTTAACAATTTAAATTGCTAAATTGGATGCAATTGTAAATCAAAAATGAAAGGAAACACAACTGGCTCTAATTGTGTTTAAACATTTTTGATCAACTTTCAATTTGGAGAAAAGGTTTTAAATGTAAATTTTTCTGGTTTCACCAAATTTGGGTTTTCATTAATTCATTATAACTTCAATAATTGGTGCATTTAATCACTTTTTTCTGGTTGTTTTTTTTCATTCTTGCCTTCAGTTGATTTACAGTAAATGGTCAGCCAATGTTTAGCCAATTGCAATTAGTAATTTGAGTAAAAGTAAATTAGGCAAAACATTTTTAATTGAACTCGGAGAAGGCCAATTATCATAATTGTTTCGACTTGCAAATGTTATTCAAATTGTCCATCATTATTATTGATTTTCTTGAAGAGGTTCAATTTTTCATTCCTTTTCAGTTAATTGCTGATCATAATTATGGCTAAGTAATTGACTTGGAATAATTTGTTTGATGACAAAAAGAACGTTTCTCTTTGCTTTTCTGGTTTCACCCATTTTCTGGTTCGTTTGATAAAACAATTGTAAACGTTTCATTGAACAACAACTTGCTTCTCTCAGATTGTTGATTGAATTTGATCAATGTTATATCCCATATCCGGTTCCGTTTTTACCTGATTTTTTTCACACATTCAGCTGATTTCCTGAGATGAACACGAATTTCCTGGAAACATCCTTTAACCCAATTTTCAGCTTCTCATCAGCTTCGGGTTAATCTGTTCAATCAAGAGAATATCATTTAATATCATAATTTCATCATGGTTTTATTGATAACCATTAAATTGAATAGCAATTACTCTTATTTCATTTACTTTAATAAAATAATCATCACTGGATTATTAATAAATGTCAATAGTTAATCAATCACCAAATTGGTAATCAAAGTAAAATTGAAAAGTCCCTAATGTCCACTGGTAATGATCAAGAAACAAAGTAAATGTTTAATGTGATAAAATTGGCCTTCGCTTTATGACAAGTATTAACAATAATCGTTAATGTGATTGAAATTGTTTTTAAATCTCATCAATTTGTTGTCACTTCAATACCGATTCAAATTGAACCATTACTTTGATTATGTTGAACCAGAATTACGAAAAAATGGCTTCTAAATGAATCAGGTATTAAGTTAAAGATCAAGACTGGACCTCAGAGATTTCAATAAAACTGAAAATGACAATTTTTTGATCATTTAACAAGACTTTCTTGGACAATCAATTAGTCAATAATAGACTGATTGATTTATCGTCTAATAATAATGTTTAACCTAGATGACAATAAAATCAACCAGAAAAGTGTCTTCCACCAAAAATCGACCGTCGCCAAATGGGAAAAAACTTGATGAAAGGTATTATCAAAAGTTACGTTTCCGTGTTCGGTCAATATTGCGCTCTAAAGTTGAAACTGATTTAGTTCAAAACTCGTGATCGAAACAAGATAAATCGCTGAAATTTTGTATAAATATAAGGTCTATTGCTTGACTTGAGAGGATTTTTCATTTCAGATCACGTATTATAACCGTTAGGTCAGGTCATTTAACCTCTAAAGTTGATCATTTGATAAGGGTTCAAACATGATTCTGATCAGTTTTAAATGCTTCAAATATTTCTGGCTAAAGATACAAACGACAGATTTTTATTAATATATTAATATTCAGCCATTTAACTGTTTAAGGCCTTATCTTGGGTGATGGACTCTAGCTCCTCAACCAATTGACATATTCACATGGAACTTTCACCAAAAGTCTAAAATTATCTGAACTCTATAAGGAAAGACTAAGCTCTTCTGCGGTCTAAAAAAGTTTAATTTTTGAACTTTTGTCATCGCTCGAGTGCGTAACTTCAAATCTTTCCCATAACCTCAGAAGAGTTAATTTTTCCCTAAAACAAATTACAGTTGGTTTTACGCCTTTTGGTGAAAACTTCATATTGGGATAATTTTTGGATTGAACAGTCTTGATGTTTCAGCTGTTTTAAGCAAGATTGGAGCCTTTTGGTAATCAAAGTGATTATGTTTAAATTGTTGGCCTCATTTGAAGTATAACATTACTGGCGTCATTAAAGTTTGATGTTAAGAAGATTGAGCTTTTTATGTAAACCCTTGTACTACTCACAATTAGATTCATGTAAATGTGTGTTTCCTTTGTTTTCAGGACTAATTATTGGGCACAAACTATTGATACAAGTATGTTTAATGCCTTGAGGTGAAAATAATGATAACCATTATCATTGGAATGACGTTAAATAACATTGGGTAAACAAATTAAACAGAAATGTTGTAACAATCATCACCATAATTCATGGTAATATTAATCATAATCATATTGTTAATAATGATGATGATAAATATTTCTGTGTAGTCTTCAAGTAAATTATTATTAATAATAATATTCACTTTATTATTTGATTCTGTCATTTTGCCTGAAATCAACAGAAAATTTAATTAACGTATAACAAAAGTTAATTACTTATTTTTTTGTCTTCCCTTCTGTCTGTCTTTGTTTTCATCTTTCTCTCTCTCTCTCTTTCGGCTCTTCATCACCAGAAATTGTTTTCATTAAACATTCAAAGTATTATCAACATAATACATATATCAATATACAAAAGCACTTTTGTTGATTCTTTTACTTTCTTAATAATTAATTATAAAAGTATAATATGGAAGTTAGTTTTTTATGGTTTTTGCTTTTTTTCCTGGTAATGGAGTTAATAGTTGCCAACAACCAGAGTTGAGTTTGCCCGTTAAACAATTCAATCTTTTTAGTAACCAATTGTAGCTATCTGCAATCATCAGAGATTGACATCTGGTCATAATCTGGATGGTTATTAATCAGTAGGGAGTTAAGATGTTTAAGGAGTTTAGATGTAATCAATAAAGTTGATTAAAACATGGGTTGAGATACGAAATTTGGTCATCTTGATGCTTCCTTGTAGCTGCTACCAATTATCTTGAAAGGTGTTTTCAAAATTGGGTTTTAGGTTGATTGAATGAACCAATTTTATTGTCACAATCAATTTCAATCCATGATTAAATGTTGAGTGATGCTTAATGGCGATACATAAGCTTGGAGTTAAATGAAAACAAAGATCACATTTAGGTTTGAAGCAAATTGGTTCACATGTTTTTTTTGGGTTTTTTGGGTTCAATTCAAATAAACAACACAATTGAAGTAAACCAGATTTTAAAGATGAAGCAATGGTGTCAAGAATAATATAAATAAGTTACAATTGTAATTCCTTAGTCTTAACAACAATTAAACAATAACGTTATCTTTAGTAAAGATACTTTACCAATGCCATTAATTTAACACAAAACCCAAAATCAAATGAGATCTTAATGCCATCTGTTGTCAGTGAAGTGAGCAATTTTGTAAAGAGTGCTCAGAGTTTTGTAATTTGTTATCTTTCAATTGAAATATTTTGATTATAAAACATTTGTTTTAAATTAAGCAATCAAATCTATTTTGCTGAGATTTGCGTGGTTGAATCGATCGAGTGTAAATTAGGTTTTTGGTTTGATTGCACTCTACAAGTTTATTTTGATTAAAACGGTCATCAGTCTAATTGCTGAGACAAATGACATTTAACTTTGTACATGTTATACAAATCAGGTGTTTTTGACATTTCCTTCTCGATTCAAAGATTGATTTCAATGATTTCAGTGAAATTAGATTTACGCATTTATCAGGTTATTCCAAGCAGTATTGGTCCTTAGTATTGAAATGTAGATCAATCTAGAACATCTATGTTTACATTTCATTGATTCAAAGTTTCAAGTTACAGGTTTATCCATATTTAATTGATAATTGAATTAAATTATATCATTTAAACTTGTAAAAGTCAATTGATTCATTTGACATTTTACTGAATAAGCCAGAAACTTTAGCAATTTCATGAAATAAGATATAAGGCAGAAGCTCTAAAGACATGTTTCAATCAGAATTAAAGATCAGTTTCTGTGGTCATTTTCAGATGAAATTATCATTAAATAAGACTTGTCCTTTCCTTATAAGCTTAGCTGGCTATTTTTATGTGTGTCAATTGCCAAAAACAGTTGACTTTTAATCTGGTAACACTGCAATTTATAAAAAGTCATCATCTCTAGGAGATTAAATGGTTAAAATGACAGTTTGCAGGAAAAAGAAGCATTTGATTGACCGGCAAATATATAAATAAAAATCGATCCGAGCTTAACTGTAAATTACTTTTGACAGAGAGCAAGACTGAAATGGAGAGGGAAAGATAGAGATTGTCAGAAACAAACACAATTAAGATAATTTGATGTCCATTTTCACCTAAAGAACCTTTTTCTGAAAATTAATAGCGAATATTGAGATAATTAAAGAATTAGGAAAACTTGAGCCACGCGAAGACCTGGGGCCATAATGGATCATTCAGAAGAGTGAATAACCAACCGAAGAGCAGTTAAAGGTCAAGATAAAGGCTTAATAATTTTCATATACTGAGTGATTTTATTGAGTGCTTGGAAATTAATAGAATGAAAATTATGGATTGGTTGAGCTGAAGATTTTAGGTTTAATGAAATGGACAGTATTAAGGAATTAGCTGAAAATTTTAGATTGATCTCATTCAAATACATTGATACACATTTAGATAATAGTTTCTTTACAGAGATTAAGTGATTCTTGGTCAAATGAGTTGATGAAACTGGTTAGCCTCAATGCTTTTACAATGTAACATTTCTCTTTCGCTTGTTCCTAGCTATTTGTAATAATAGTGGACAAAATTCAATTTAGCGCCGGGACAATTGGACAATCGAGTTGACAATTTGTCTGGTGCTTCTTTCCATATTTGTGAGCAACAGGAAAAAGATTCCTGATTTCTGTCCTTTCTTTATCCTTTGTTTTGTCTTTATGTTTGAGAAAAACTACAACAATTGACTAATTTAAAAACGCGAGCTCAAAGGCATCAAAGTAGTAAAAAGAACCAGTTTTTTCACAGAAATCGGGAATTATATGAACAATAAAACACTGCCATAAAAAAAGTCGAAATTGCACATAATTTACTTTTGATTTCAAATAAATATGAACCATAAGCTTGAAACGCAATAGAAATGGCTGGACACACAAATTAGATAAAAATGGCCAGAGTTGAGTTCATATTTTACGATTAACTCTAAACCATAACTTTTTACTGTAACGATGGAAATGCTATTTATCTGGATTAGGCAGGTAAAATCAATGGATCCAATAATTTGATGATCAGTAAAAAGATGCTCAGTAAAGTTTTACTTGTTGATTCCGATTAACATTAAGTATGTTTGTGTGTGTGCGTGAGCTCAGTGTTTCCCCTTTCACTTTCAGAGTTACTTCATCTTCACGCAATTAACAGTTTTGTTTTGATAGTTAATGGTGCATCAGAAGCTGTTCAGCCTTGCTTATTCATCAATCATCAGGCAGCCAAAAAGTTAACCAAGAAGATAGACTCTCTTTTTCATCATCATCTATCTATCAATCTATTTCGGGAAACAATCTTGGTTCATTTACAAGGTTACTATGGTAATGAATGGTGGAACAAATTTGTTAACTTCAACTTGACCATTTAATCAGTTGTCTTATCCATTGACCAAATTATCCTCAACACTGGATCAATTCAACAGCCATTTTGATGATCCTTAAAGTTTCCTGGTTTTTTTGAGTTTCTGGTCATCATTACAACCAATTATTGATTCACCGACTTTTGTTCACCACAAAAAATAAATGAACTGAATGTTAATTTCCTCTTCACCATCAAATTGAGTCCAAACTAATAAACTATCACTTCTTAATTTTGTGCCACTCGGAAATTGGGAAACCAACGATGTTTAAAAGGTTGATTAAGTATCAGTCATCTTTCAATTCTTTTGTCCGTTTTATGTTCAAACCAGTTGATGGCCATGGTTTAGCTGTGTTTCGTATCTTATTTGGTCTCTTGATGTTAATTGATTTACAAGTTGAACGAGCCTTCCATGCAGCCAATGAACGTTGGTCTGATCCAGATGAATGTCGATTCCCGTTGTTTCACTGGATTAAGCCATTACCCGGTCATTATATGAACCTGTTATATGTGTTAATGACATTAGGTAAGCATTAAATTTCTCGCAATTATCATAATAAATCTAAGAAAATTTGTTACTTACGTTCATCAGGTTCGATTGGTATGCTTCTTGGTTACAAATTTAAGCTTGCATCAACAATTTATGCATTAATCTATTGGTATATATTTCTGTTAGACAAAAGCTACTGGAATAACCACACTTATCTATTTGGATTGATTACAATGATGTTAACTGTTTCTGATGCTCATAAAATTTGGTGAGTTCAGCTAGCATGCATTTTTAAAACCAGAAGATCAACAAGTTTTGTGAAAATCAAACAGTAAAACTTTCTGATTCTTGTGGTTACAATTTAATCATCAGATAAACTTATTACAGGTCTCTTGATTACCGTACTGCAAAAGATGAGAATAAAAAAATTCCTTTCTGGCAATACTTCATCATAAGATTCCAAATAAGCTTGGTTTATTTTTTGGCTGGAGTCAAGAAAGCTAACCTTGAATGGATTGGTGGCTATTCAATGAGATATTTGTCAAACCATTGGGTCTTCTCACCTTTCAGGTAAAAATATTCAACATTATTTTCTTTCAATGAGTTGAGATAATGGGTAAAGGTGTTTATGTTGAAAAAAAGTTGGTTGTATTACTTTGGGTAAACCGGGTTTACCCTCACAACAAATAACCCATAGATTGATCATACTACATGTATCTTTGTCGGTAAAACCAAAAGCCATTGTAACCATGTGTATATTTTGCTAGGGGCAGTAAGTTACACTAGGTAAAGGGCAACACTGTGAACCAGTCTTGGATCGGCCATTTTGAGTTTACACGGTTCACTACTCTCTCTGTACAAAGTCAACTTATAGTTGTCTGTCCTTTTTTCAGATAAAGTTTCAGGTAATAATTAAGATCGAGTGAGCATCACAAACACCATTAGTATAGTAATACATCTTTCCTCAATGTTAACCAGTTACTTGGTGAAAAATGAAAAGTTTCGTATCATCAGGGAAAAAAGGCTTTGTAGTAAGATAACATCAATTATTGTAAACCAATTTTTATGTTTAACTTGCTGACTCAAAATTTATCAGCTGCTCATTTGAAAAATATTAAAATCTGATCTCTCCATTTTTCGTCACAACAGACTGGTACTTTCCCCAGATTTGGTTGATTTATTAGTTGTCCATTGGGGTGGCTTTTTGGTTGATGCCTCGGTTGGATTCTTTTTATTATTCCAATCAACACGTCCATTAGGTTACCTATTCACTGGGCTATTCAATGCAATGAATTCACAAATGTTTTCTATTGGAATGTTTCCTTATGTCATGTTGGCAGTTCTTCCAATATATAGCTCTCCCGATTGGCCAGTATCTTTAATAAAATCATTAAACCTTCACGTTGATTCTTCAGACAATCAGCCAAACGATAAAAAAAGAGCACCATCTAAAGAAACACAAGAAGAACAAAAAAAATTTACAAAAACAAATAAAGATTTGAGGTTAACCCATAGTGATACTGATGGCGGGAAAACAATGGCAAAGAACGAAATGAAAAAAGCCGCACCCAATTTGACTAACTACCAATCAAAAAGACTGTTAGTCCCGTCATCTATTGATAATAATAAGGTCACTAAAAAACAACAATTAGTTTGTCTCGTCCTTATAATTTACATGGGATTACAACTGGGGTTACCATTTTCGCACAATTTAACCCAAGGTTACAATACTTGGACCCAGGGTATATATGGTTACTCGTGGGATATGATGGTTCACAATTGGCGCCTTTTAGGTAAACGTATCTTAATAATTGACAAGCAATCAAAGCGAGAGATGTACCTGAATGTTGAAAAATATTCACCCAATAATCGATGGACCCATCATGCTGATATGGCGAAACAGTTTGCTGTTTGTGTAGGAGAAAGGTTAAAGAAGACAACCGATTTAACCGATTTTGAAGTTCATATAGATGTTTGGATGTCATTGAATAAACGCTTTGCTCAGCGTATCTTTGATCCAAGGGTTGACCTGTTAGCGGCAGATTGGTCACCATTCAAGAAACCATCCTGGGTATTACCAATGTTGACACAATTCACAAGTTGGAGGTCAACATTGAAAGAATATGAAGAAGAGATATTGAATTCAAATGAAACTTACGTAGTTTTCATGGCTGATTTTCCAGGCAAGTTTCATCAAATTTGTACCAATACAATATTTCTCAATTTATTGGAAAATGATTTGAAACCATCATGACAGTTGAAACTAACGTATGATTCAATTGATTGCAGGTCTTGATTTTGTCAACTTTGTTGACCCTCAATTTGGAAATACAACCTTCAAGGTTCTTAGTGGTTGGGTTAAACTGCAGGTTGAAGGATCTTTCGTACGCATTATGTCACGAGGAGATGATTGCAAATTACCATCAGGACAATTCCATAGTGTCGTTCCTATTAAATCAGAACCAGCTTCTTATATGTACACGTTTACGAACAAGACTGCCGCTGAATCCGTGTGGGAACCAGATGCACACCGAAAAGAAAATTCAAGAGATGTTTGGATTGTAAGATTTTGTAAAAAATGGGTGAAAAGGTGAGTCAACAAATATCCATTAACAATTAACCTTACTAAAAATGTTTTTTCAATTACAGTTTCCAGATAACACTAGAATCTCTTTGGATAGTTAAAGATATAATCCTCAACAAAATTATGACCGGATTCACGTATTTCACGAAAATTGTGGAAAATTTTGAAGTAAAATAAAAGCAAACAAAACATTTGAGATTATTATGATGTTTATTTTAATGTGTGAAATTTCCAAATAAGATGTGAGCTTTTAATGAATGAATGTCACAATAATGACTTGGTCTTGCAGATTGATGGTTGATTAATGAAGAAAAGGAAAAATAAAAAAGAGAAAAATCCTATCTTAACTATCAGCTTATTTTCCCACTGAGCATATTAATTAATTAAGCGGGTTTCTGGCCAGTAGCTCCCTTTTTGCCAATTAGAGATTTGTGAATATGAGGAATGACACCTAAAAAAGAGAAAGAAAGTCCACATATAGTAATGATAACAATAAGTGAAAAGAGCGCCAAAGGGCGGGGCGGGAAATGTTTTGGCGCCTAAACGTAACATTACCCTATGACCTACTATCGAGAACGTAAAGTATCTAAAATATTGAGAATATTATAAATTTATAAACTTACCGCCACCAGCAATAGTAGCTTTGATCAAAGAATCCAATTCTTCGTCACCACGAATGGCAAGTTGAAGATGGCGAGGAGTAATTCTTTTTACCTTCAAATCTTTGGAAGCATTACCTGCCAATTCAAGAACCTAAAAGGCAACAACAAAACAACAGAGTAGGTTAATAACAGAACAAACACAAAAGCCCGCCAAATAAATCTAAAGATATTTACCTCAGCAGTAAGGTATTCTAAGATAGCTGCTGAATAAACTGCAGCAGTAGCACCAACTCGTCCATGACTTGTTGTTCTGTTTTTCAAATGACGATGAATACGTCCTACTGGGAACTAGATTACAAAAAGATAAATAGAAATTAAATTGAATAAACGAAAAAGATAGACAAAACTTTGCATAAGCAACACTTACTTGAAGTCCAGCACGGGCGGATCGTGATACTGCTTTGGCCTTAGCCTTTCCAGAGTCTTTACCAGCTTTACCTCCAGCCTAATGAATATAATAAAAATGGAAAATGTTAATAGTGTTAACTTAAACTAAAATATCAAAAAAATAAATTGTTAAATATGGAGGGTAGACAGACAAAAAGACATAGATACAACAATAGGAAGGGAAGAAACATGCAAGTAAAATCTAGAGTAACATTTCAAACAGAGCAAATTAATGTCGCAGTAGATTAATTACGTACCATAATTGTTCAGATGAAATAATTAGATGTAATTTAAACTAAAGTACCAAAAGATGGTTAGTCAATTGAATTAAAAGATTTCAAACAAAATCACAAAATTATCCAAATGCAAAGAACGCAGAGTTGATTTTCCCTTTGTGAAAATTAAGACTGCAAAAATTGCTCCTTATTAACGGTCTCCACTATTTCACCCAATCAGAGGTCTCTGTGAATTGTGTTTCCCCCTCAATGACACTAACGCCATCTGCTGAGTAAGATGAAGGCGCGCTTTTGGTAATATTCAATTTTCTTGCTTATCACAGTTTATTTTAAAAGTGTAAAAATTGTAAATTATTTGCTTTCATGTTAAGAAAACAATTTGGAAGTTCATAAATTGTTTCCGATCATTTTTTATGTAATTTTAATGGCGGATAGATGATGTTCCTTGAGATGAAACCGAATGGACATTCCAATGATACAGATAAAGCTAGCCATTCGTTTTTTGAGTTGTACCAGATTAGGATCGGGATTTGCGATATCGCATGTCGACGACTAATCTCTGATATTATTTGTAAACATATTCACTTAACCACGTTTCGATTAAGTGGCTTGATGGAATGAAATAATATACTGAATTTTAATCGTATAAGTTTTCCTAGCGCGATATGATCACTCGTTTGGTTGAAAATTGAATGTAAGGTATTGAAAATTGTGTTGCTCTTTTGAACCTGGAAGGATTAATCCTAATAAAATACAGTTAATTTTAGGTTCAGATAGATTTAATTTGCGGTTGAAATACAAATTAATTGCACATCAATTAAATAGAGCGCCAACCAAAAGAAATATTATAACCATCCCTTGTTAAGTCATTTCATTACTGTGAAAATTAACTTGTATCAATCTAAAACCTTTTAAATTGTGACCTAACCACATCTAATAATTTATTAATTTAGTTATTGAAAAGATGGCTTTAAAACGTATTAAGAAAGAATTGGAAGATTTAAAGAGAGATCCTCCTGCCCAATGTAGTGCTGGACCTGTTGGTGATGATTTGTTTCATTGGCAAGCAACTATAATGGGACCTCCAGATAGTCCATATCAAGGCGGTGTATTCTTTCTAACAATTCATTTTCCAACGGATTATCCTTTTAAACCACCCAAAGTAGCTTTCACAACGCGAATATACCATCCTAATATAAACAGTAATGGTTCTATTTGTTTGGATATACTGAGGTCACAATGGTCGCCAGCTCTAACCATATCCAAAGTACTGCTATCTATATGCTCTTTACTTTGTGATCCAAACCCAGATGATCCGTTGGTACCTGAGATCGCTAAGGTGTATAAAACAGACAGAGAGAAGTATAACGAAATGGGACGTGAATGGACTAGAAAATATGCCATGTGATGCCATAATAGGAGTAAAGAATGTCACTGATCAATCTTAAATCCTTTTTCTTTATCTTCTCTCTTTTCCTTTACTCTATTGCTATCAAGAGTTTTTCTTGAGATAATTGTTCTCTCTCTTGAATTTATTCTTCTTTCTTCCATTAAAATGTTGATTTCCGCTTGAGCTGTTAGTTTTCTCATCGAACTTTCTCCGACAGCTCTATCAGCTTCATCAAATTTTCGGACCATCATGCAGTGGTAAACAAATAGTTATGCAAGAGTCTGTGTATAAATAGAAGAACGGAACTTTAATTTCTAAATTGCAATGAATTTGGCATTGCATAGCGCAAAAATGTAACGCAGAATGCGTTTCAAATAGTAATCCAGATTAACTTGGTCTTCTTTGCACCCTTCAACCTCTTCTTCGCGATATTTGTTGAAGCACTGCGTATCATATACAATAGGAGAAAGACTTTACTCAAATTCAACACGCATCGTTAGTAAGAGCTGGTAATCGTAACGTTATGGATAAGCCATACTCCGATTTCAAAATAGTAGCACGTGTGACAGTCATAGGCATAAGAAAAATTGATTTAGATTCTTTTATGAATAAAATGGGCAAAAAATGATTCACATTTCAGGAGAAACCTCATCACTCGTAACGTGGGAAATAACAAGAAAAGGTTTATTTATTATGATTAATGTTCCGTTCTGTTTCTCAATTTTTTCATTATCTTTTGTTCCAACCATTCGACTGAGCTAAAAACTGGTTCAAGTTTACCGAAAATTTCTTCTAAACATTAAAACAATCGACATTTTAATAAATAAAAAGAGCAAATAACGCGAAAGATTCACTCCAAGATTGAAGATCTAAGGTTAAATGTCGAGAATTGAAGAAAGAACTGAATATATTTGATAGGTAATACAAAATGTTTCGACAAGTTTACATGTACATATTATGTGGTGAATCTTACAGATATCATGTTGATTACTTGATTATTCATGTATTTGTTAATAAGTGTTTTCAGGTTAAGTACATTTACTGACACTATTGCTGGATATAAATCAGGACGATCACCAAATAATCACGTTAGTCGCACAGATTATTAATGCATGGGATCGAACCACTTCGCTTTCACTCCAAACCGGAAAAATTATTTTATTCGACAGGGCCTTTACAAATCAAGGTGATTCTTTTAATTAATATGAGAATTAATTTCAAATAAACAGTGTAGAGATAAGTCATCGATTGAATTTATCAATTTTAGTTCATTTATACATGTTAATTTTTCACCGGATTTAGCAATTATCACCGTCATCATGTTAGCCGGGTCCCTTTTGAAAGTTAAGGTGCCTACTTAATGGCTAGTGTAGTTGGCTCTTAATTGAATCGTTGATTGCTCTTTCTCGCTCTGGTAAAGAAGGAAGAGTGATAAAGAGAAGAGGAACTGGGAAATGGCGAGGAAACAGAAAAAGAAGCAGAATGAAATGGTTTCGGTGCTTTTCTTTCCATGAAAATGGAAACAGCAAAGCAAGGAAAGCAAGGAAAGAAAGAACAGAAAAGGAGAGAAAGAGAAATAGAGAGTAGAAAGCAGAAAGGAAGGGAGAATGGAGAAAGGGGAAATTAAGATTGATCAGTGACATTCTTTACTCCTAATAGGGCATCACATGGCATATTTTCTAGTCCATTCACGTCCCATTTCGTTATATTTTTCTCTGTCCGTTTTATATAACTTGGCGATCTCAGGTACCAAAGGATCATCTGGGTTTGGATCACAAAGTAAAGAGCATATAGATAGCAGTACTTTGGATATGGTTAGAGCTG